TCAAGGCATCGCAAGGAGGTTGAGAATTGCAGCATCAATAACTTTGTCAAGATATTCTAGCTTTCCTTCTCTTTTGATAAATTTCAACCTTTCTGGGAACTAGCCCAAATTTTCCTATTTCTAAAATAGGGTTTCGAGCTATTTTTCAATCGCAATCATTTCAATGGAGAACATCACCAAGTATATTTTTCATCGAGTGAGATCTAACGGCGATTTTCCAGCCTATAAAGCTTGGGTTTGGTCTTCTGCTCTTGAGATCTTTGGGGCCCTTTCGTGAGAACTTAGGGATCTCTCTTGACATCTTTAAAATCTTTCATCGTGTCTGGCACAAGGCTTTTCTTACTTAAGTCCCTATATTTGGCCTGCACCGCATCTTTATCAAGAGGACTGGGTCTTTCCTTCTGATAATTCTCTAATGATTGATAGTTCCACAAGGCCGTTGTCTCGGGCCTCTCCTATTCTTGGTCTATATCAATGATATTTTCTGCGCTGTTAGAAACTCAGCCACTTTGCCGGATGATACTTTTCTGTTCTTAAGATCTGAAATTTTAGAGGATTTGGATAAGGCTACCTGGCCACAAGGTAACAAATTATCATAAGATTAAAATCCAAGCACAAGGAATGCTAACTTGTGCCAAAAAGGTATAGAAGACTTGAAAGTACTGGGGAAAGTTTATGGTTGAAAATATAGGAAAGAGACTTAGCTTTAGTCCAGACAGTGGCAAATTTAAGGGGGGCAACAAGGGGCAGTTGTCCCTCCCTCATCGAGTTGAAGCAAGTCTGCCGCCCCTCTTTTTGGAAAATGTGCGACTCTTTTGAAGAACGAAAATCAGGTGAAAAAGATTCTGAAACTTACAGGTTGGCCTCAAGGATAACCTCAAAGTATACAACAAATTTTACAAAGTGAATGGAGAACCTTCTGTCAGTAGTTAGGGTCTGAAATTGTTGTAAACAGCGTACACCCGTCACCAATTTCTGAAACTTTTTCAGCACCCCAACTACCAATTGCCCCTCCTTTAAACTTGCTCTGGATCCGCCCCTGAGTCGAGAAGACCAAATAGTCATAATGTAGTTAGCATGGCCGGTGGCAATTACCCCCTCCCCATTACTTCCCACTCTTGCCAAAATTTAGTCTACATGTTCCTTCTAGAAATTGATTAAAAAGCGCTAGGTAGGGGTAGAACATATTTCCTAAGGAAAATTAACCTGGTACAAAGCACTGAAACAAGGCAAAAGAGGCGTGGTCTCACTGCCGACGCCCATTACCCTCCCACTTTGCAGTAGGTAGCGACGCCACTGAGCATAGCCAGGAGGTTTACTACCATTTAGTTTCTGGAAAATTTAAGATTGTCGAAAGCACGCCTATCATTCCTTAATAAACTGCTAAACATGGCTTTCGAGGTGAAAAATCTACTATAAATTCATGGAAGGCCTTTTCTTATATTGAAAAAAGGTTTTAGTAAATAATTTTTTAGCATATCGATTTTGATTGACATGTTCTTTTACATCATCTATGTGAAGATTCATTCAAATGTGAAGACTGATGATTAGGTTACACGTTATAACGTTAAAACTATTTTACTCAAAATTCGTGACTTCCGTCATCTCACGATTTTTCTTCTTGTAATGATGAAATGATTGTAATGCAATATTTTGTTTAAAAACCTTAATATTGCCTTATGATGCGGATTTTGCTTTTACATACAAAGCAAAAAGTATGGTTTAGTTAATACCGTATTAGCAATACCAAAATATTCTGATGCAGCATGCAGGGGCAAATTGCATGATAATCAGCACGAATGTTTTATGAAACAATTCAATGGTAAGATCTGACGAAAAAATTCAAATCCTATTGAAGTCTCCGTAGTGGTTTTCAAAATATGACAAACATGAAATACCTTAAATATGCCTCTGGTTATTGCTTTCCATTTGTTTATCAGTGGGGATTTTCTGTCAAAAACAGCACTGTTGATCTATTTACTCCTAAATACTTACTGTTTCAGTGGTATTAGCAGTAAATTATCACACTCATTTTTTATAAGAAACAAAGGTTGATGTTGAGTACTCCAGTTTCTTAATGTTCTGAAAATTTCAATATTCCATGTTTCTTAAGAGGTTCTTAATTATGATGTCATGAATGATGTTATGAAATGTTTGTGACCTTTTCTAACATGTCAAGAGAATCGCGTCCATTCTGATGCTGTATTTAGATGTGGGAAGTATATTTCTATTCTTTGTGTCTTAAGTTCTAGGCCAACAGGGCAATCATGTTCTTGGATTTTACAAAACTTCGTTGTTCTCAGTTTTATCACGATTTAAGTACTGAAATTTCCTAAATTTTTCTTCGACTCTCCAGTACTCGTTTCTTATAGCCAGTTTCTTATAAAAAAATGAGTGTCCGCTTTTCTATCAGAGACAATTTTCATACTTTTTCTGCTTGGATTCTAGACTTCACGGAGAAATAAAGTTTGAAAATTTGTAAGGGATTTGACCGCAAAAATCATTCCGAGTGAACATTACCGCCCCCCCCCACCCTTAGTCGCTAATCAGGGGTCAAATATCATTTCGGTCATTTATCTTTATGTCGACATAAAATCAGTATCGTGAGTAATAAAACAACGAAAACTTCCAATTAAATTAAAATTTTTGCTGTACATCTGAATCTGAGGTTAACAATTCTGTACAAAAAACTTGAAGGATTTTTCAAAATGATGCTGTAAGTTGAATTGGTATATTCGCAACTTTTTCTCGAAATCAGTGATGAGACATAAACTAAACTCCATCTCATCCAATACTAATAAAGATCAACTGATAAAGTAAGTTGCTTTTAAGAGCATTATTCAAATAACAGGCTGCAATATTATGAGATATAATCCACGATTCATCTTTCTTTACTGTCAGCTCAGACATTCATTAGACAAATAATGTTTCAGGCAATGCGTCAAAATCAACCCAATAAAAATCAAATCTCCTGAAAAATATACCAAGAATGAGACCTGGGAAAAAATCGCAACAATTTTACATGATTAGATGCCTTGGTTAATTATGGTGATATACCATTTTCAATTAGCAATTATACGTCGAAACTAGCTTTAATACTTATCTAATGCTTAAGTTAATGCCAAACAGATGCAAGTATTTTTTAAGTAAATATACGTTTTTCATATTAATTGATTTTACAGTCTCCATTTCCTGTACGTGAAAGACAGAGTTTATTCACCTTTTCTATCGATTACGAACTCATTGCAACTTTAAATATTACCGGAGCAGCTTTACTCAAAAGCCTTAAGAAATAAAAAGAAGCTTCAGTAACGAGAAAGTGATTGAATCAGGGCTGCATCATATTAAGGGGTAGGGGTCAACACCCTTGTTATTAACAACTATGTGTCTTTTGTTATTGAAATTATTTTCGGCAAAACCTCCTCTTCTTTTTTTATAGCTCGACACTCTTTACTATAAAATATATTTCAATGCTAAATCTTGTGGTACATGAATGCCCAGTTTCATGAGCGTAAATTGCGTCTTTTTGACAAAACTCTAAGGCTCTCCACATTTTGCCAGCTTCAAGAGCTGACATGAATTTTAGTAGGCTTATTCATTCCTTGGTTGCATTTCTTCTGGTGCAAATTGTTTTGAAAAGATACTAGATGCAAATATCTTGCCATATATTTTTCGCAACTTTTCCTCAATAGCCTTAGTCCCATCCAACTCAATTACTGACAATCTTTCGCCAATTTTTTTCTGCAGCCCAACAATTATAGCTTCTTAACTGTGTTTGGAAAATATAGCACATATAGAAACAGAACTTGCCTGTACGTCTATGGTTGGCACACTCTGAGTATGCCCATTCTTTTATGGATTGCATCAAGGCAAGTTAATTAATGCATTGGAACGAATGAGCATGGACTCCATATACCCTTGTTTTATTCCTCTGCTACAACCATGTATAAGCTGTTTGTTCGAAAATGGTTATAGAATGAAAAAACTCTTGTCAATGATTGATCTTCTTTCACAATATCAAGGCTTGCATCTTTCTAGGTCACCTTGCAAAAACAGACTTTTATGCAATATACCGTATCAGTTTACACCTCTTTTGAACGGCAATGTAACAGTCATCATTACGTCGGTAGATAACCTATTGTTACAGTGCACATAAGCCTCATAAGTTTCTCCTCTTCTTTGAACAGACAGGAAAAACCTGGACTAACTAGATTCCTGCCACATGACTTTGGACATCTAAAGCAATGCACAAAAAGGCAGCTGGTACCATTTGGAACTGATAACTGCAATGGATAGGTAAGTGAGGTAGTGATAAAGGGTAACCTTCTAAAAGCGGATCCTTTAGAGGCAGGGAGACGTTGGTAGTCACTTCACATTATATTTTCATGTAACCATGAAAGGTATCGTTTAATTTCAACATGATAGAAGACTTTCAGCGAAGTATTTATAACAGCTAATAAGATTTAGTGAAGAGCCCAATTATGTCATTAAGTAAGGAATATTGTCTGATATCATTAAAATGTCATAAGGGCAAGTGGGAAAGGTTCGTTCCTCTGGTGCGTTCTTTCATACAGCTAAAAAGTGCAGACTTAATGCCGAGTTTGCGAGAGAGAAAAAAGGGCCCAGCACTGAGTCTTGTAAGAGCTCTTGCATTTTTCCTTTGTATGAATTTCCCACGTCCAGCATGAACATATTAAACAGTTAATGCCCAACATGTCATTACAGCATTCCTATCTTCCTATTGTACAAGGCTCATTCTCGTGCTTTCTACCGGGGACTACTACAGAAACCTGTTAGCAAAACATATATGTCTCATGCAGTCTTAAATGTCTACATGTATATGTGCATGATATATGACGCTGTTTCATTCCATCTGACTGCATTACAGCTGATAATTTTCATCCCGCCCCTGTTTTCGAAGAACGCTAGTGGAGAGACATACTGACTCACATAACGAATCTCATTTGAACATTTCATAGATTGAAATATAATTAATAATTTTTAAAACAGAGTAGCAAATGCGACCCAAATTTATTTACAAACTCCTTCTAATTTAAACAATTATTGAATTAATAGATAAAATATCAGATTATCAAACTTTTTTAACTTTTTACTTCTGCTTTACCGTTGGCGGACAAATAACTAAGGCGTTTCCATAGCATCTTTGGAATTATCAGCGGAACAGAAGGCTATCGTTAAAGATATCTGAAATAGGTTTTCAGTGTTATAGGGGTCTTGCATACGCTAGGTCGCAAAATATAGCAAAAGTTAGATACAAAAACCATACTAAAACGTCAAAATTCAAGGCAATAAAACAAGTTTCAAAACAGCATAAGATTCGTTGTAGAACTACCTTCCACTTAAAAAGGAAGCGAATTTGTGAACTGCTTGGAAAATCGAGGCCATCTTCCTGCAAATTTGCCGTTTTATAAAACGAATGCAAGATGGTTAAAAAACAAAATAGAAACACTACATGTAAAAAATATATTTACAATTTTCACCAGTTTAAAATATTGTTTTTCAAAAATCTGTTGTAAGACATCAATTTGAAGTACAAACAATAGCATCCCGTGAGTCTTTTTTCCTAAAAGTAGAATAGGCAGAACATGGTTGACAAATATTTTTTGGTCAATTTGTGGGCATATTTAGAAACATTACAACTAACAAAGTGACAGTTAAGGGAATGGAGTCCTGAGAATATGGCATCGAGGTTACAAAGTTGTTTCTATGGAGAATGGCAACCTCGTGTGGGCGTAATTAAGGTATGGTGCATGAAGATAAGTTAATTGTGCATAGCGTGAAGATAGTGGACACCTTAGAATAAACCAAAATGTTAACTGGCATGACATAGAAAAAGCCAACTTACATCGTTCAAACAGTTGCTTCATATATTTTACACCTTCATATCCTTTCATATTTATGTTTTCTTTATATACATATATTTTCTATTCAATGTAAATAGTTCATTTGGTACAGGTTTTTCTGTTACTCTTGAAGGTTTCCAAATGACTCTATAAACTATAAAACTATAAACATTCTTTTTTTCACATTATCGTCACCATTATAACCTTAAGCCCACAAAAGTTCAAATGGTTGATTTGGTAATTTCTCATTGATTATATTGTTAGGCTTAGGAGACTAAAGCAAGGCTTTTGAACATTGATTGCTGATTTACAAATTAACAAAATTGTCTTTGATTGGGTTCGCTAAATAGAGACAACTTGATCACAAATTTACAGGCAGGTGAAACCACATAATAGCGATAGAGAATTTCGCACAGTGGCTTAACAACCTGGACCATTCCTGAACCGGATCATAGCTCCGTCCACGTATCAGACTTGCGTAATACATGGATGTTTCAACTGGCAACAAAGGAAAATTAACGGAGAGACAAGTTTATTAGCCGTCAATAAAAGACTGACTGAAATAAATAAACATGACTTGAACATAGATCTGTTCCAAACAGTTAATCAATAATCAGGCTATACTAATTAGGATTTAAATTGAATTGAAACCCACAAAGTTGCTTTTGGGCAGAAAGCTGTGCAGGAAGGTAAATCGAGTGGTCTTATGAAATATTTCTGGACACTTTAGGACAGAAGTTTCGTCATGTTCAGCTAAGAAAAGTTTGAATATATGTTCAGTGGAAAGCTTCAGTACTAGGCTGTAAAACGAATAATGGAGCTATTTCTTGGAACTCAAAAAATGTCAATATATAGAACTTTTGTGTTCAGTGCTAAGAAAGCAAGCTTGTGCAATTTATAACATCAAAGCGAACTTAAGATTTGATTTGAAATGATAAAATATCATCATTTCAAGACTAGCAAAAATGAACAAGAAATGTGATGCAAATGAAATGGAAAACGTGTTTTTATGCTGAAAGTTTTTGATTTCAAGATTTGAAGAAAACTTCCTTAGTTCAAGAAATTTTGACAAAAAAAATGGAGCCAAAAGTTTGCTGCAAATAGCTCTTACGCTATTACATTTATCGTTAAAGATTTAAGTAGAAAGCCAATTTTTCGAATCTTTAGTCTGGAAGCATATAAGGAAGGAAGTAGACTACCTTACTTACATTAAATTTTCTTTTTTGGAAACGCAAATCGGTCAAAAGATATCTTAGACTGCTGTAAACCTGATTTGTCTTTCTTGATATGATCAAGAGAGGATTTTGATTTTCTTGATAACCCAACGGTCTTGCATCTCCCCAAAACCGAACGGTTGGATGATTTCAGTATTGGCTCTGAAAAAAGGAATGATCGTAAGAGAGCTGTAAAAATAATTGATTTTATTCAGTAAACTAGCAAAATATCAAGGTTGCAAAAAAGCGGAACCAGCTTGCGAAAAATTATGCTACCGATGGCCATGAAGCAAATTGTTTCACCTTTTCTTGATGCCTTGAGATTTTGCAGTGCAAAAAGCTTTACTAAATATCTTAGACAATTTATAATTCTGTAAGTCAGAAAATAAGATTATAAATGAAAGTGCTTTAGCAAATCTCGCTTTACCGTAAATCCTCGAATTGGCCCCCCCCCTCGAAAAAGCCCCCCCCCTCGAATAAGCCCCCACGCTAGAGCTACAAATTGTCAAAAAGCCCCAGCACCCCCTTGAATAAGCCTCCACTGCTACTGTAAATTCTCGAATTGACCCCTCCATTTGATGATTTTTGCCATCTGAGGTTGTCTATGGCGTTTTATTGAATTACCAAAACAAATTCATACTTTTGGTAGTAATTAATTAAATGCTCATAAAAAAATTCCTACTAAAATAAACGATGTCTTTAATAACGTCTTCTTAATGTCAACAATAATTCTATAAGCCCCCCTCGTATAAGCCCCCCCTCGAATAAGCCCCCATCCAAAAATATCAAAAATAAATAGGGCTAATTCGAGGATTTACGGTATGAATAAGAAATTTTAGTGACTGCCAAAAACCTTTCCCGTAATTCTCCAGATTTTTGAAAGATACCCCATAGCAAGAAACAGAGCTTTGGCTTGCGACGCATGCAAGGTTCAGCTTTCTAGTATATTACTTTTGTGCACCTTTCTATCTTTCATTTTGGAGCCTTCGGAATGAAGAACAACGAAGCTTTTTTACTGCAAAGCTACCATCGTTGGAAACAAAAATATTATGATACCAACTTATACGATCACACAGGATTGTTGAAGACAGCAGACAAATTCTAGACTTGTTTTAAAGTCGATATGATCTTGCTTTGAAAATAATTTTTGAGGGTACGTAGGTACAGTTTTGAAACAGCCCTTCCCCGCGAACGTACACTTTCATGGCAAACACCCTTCCACCCACTGAACGAGCATTGTTCATCAATGGATTAGCCTTACATAACTACCGCATAAATACAGATTCAATATGATATGATATACAGATCTAGAGCCTGGCTTCTTTATAGTAAAGGGGCACCACTGCAAAAAGCATTTGTTTCGTGAGGACAATGTCAGGGCCATTCTGCTCTTATATAGATGACTCTGTGTTACATTCCAAAGGGAGGTCATCCAAAACTAGTGCTCCACTCTGGCTCAGGGCATGAAATGATCGATAGCCCAATTAGTGTTGCTGTATAAATACCTGACAGGCTTCTGGTTTCCAGATGAGTGACAGACCGCTAGAAAAAAGTAACACAGTAGCTAAGAACAAAATTCTTTGCCATAACCAAAAGAAAGATCTTATTACATTGAAAATTTGCCGATATCTATCTGACGAGAATAAGGTTTCTCTCAAGGCTCACCTTCAGGTCATCAAATTTGCTGATGGACAGAAGGGTAAGGCAATTGAGAGATGCTTAAATGGCTTAAGTCATCTTTCAATCAAAATTAACCAATCAATAAGCGTGTGAGTGGTATCACGCTCACTGATTGGCCAATTGTTGATTGAAAAATGATTTAAGTCACTTTAGTAACTGTCAAATGCCTTTAACGACTGAAACGAAAGAGCCCTGGTCAATCGAGAAACCAACCTTGGGGGTTTCCAAAACGAAATGATGTACGCATGTGCTCCTTGACAAGAAACACTTTGTTAAGCCAAGCTTATTTATAGAGAGTACGAGGGCGTAATCTTATGAATTAGCTTCATTTAATCCTATTGGTTTATAACAAAACGTCGCCTGGCTGATTGAAGTTTCAGTAGCTTGCAGTGCTAAATCTCTAATCTTATATTTGATCTCACATTCTTTGCTTGCCTTTTTATTTAGCAGTCGTGCTTGATAGCATAGGTGTCAAAAAGTAAATCTAAGTGAAGTGACGGTCAGGATTAAGAAGATCTAAAACTGTTTGCAATTTTTAAACAAGAGAATTTATAGCATAGTATGTTTAGTATGCGATAGTATTGTTCTGCTTTTCAGGATATCTTGAAAATTCACATATTATGCAAAACTTTATTAATATGATGAGCGAAATACTTTAGCCCCACCAAAGTGCAAAACAGAGTACCCCCCCCCCATCTTATGACAAGAAACCATTCCAACCCACATTTTAACCCCCTGGGCATCTCTGGACTTATTTCTACAACTGCAGCCTATAAGCAGTCTCTAATTCATTATTTCTGAGTCAAATATCCTTACCTTCTGCGACATTACTTCATCTACCTCAAAACTGGCAGAGCTGCATGTGTTTTCTCTCTCTTCTTTATCATCTACATATAACTGCGATAAATGCAAAGTCTCTTGTCCTAAACTGTTTCTCTTGCTAACAGTCACTTCCTGTGAACATTCATTTGAGCTTTGACTCAAATCTTGGCTTGATCTATTTCCGTCTGTAAAGCTATCTTCATTGAAACTCTTTTGCGTTTTAAAAAGCGATTTTCTTGTGTTGAGTCCTTGCTCTGTATTTTTTGTGTATAAAAACTTTGTTAAAGAAATTTGGGCAGTACTTCGCTTGTCTGCATCACTAGAGCCTTCGCATGTGTTATCGATCTCAAAAGGCAATGCTGGTAGGCGAGGAAGCTCATCCTTGCTGCTGGGAATTTTTCTACTGTTGATCGAAACGACGTTGGACTTTGTCAACTCTTCTTCAGGTGGGTTTAGGGGAAAATCACCGTCTGAAAGTCTGAAGGCCTCGGTTTTAAGGGATTTCTTTGATTGCGAATCCAGGTAGTCTACCATGCTGTACTTCACTCTCTTAGAATCAGGTGGGGATTCCATATTTCCGCAGTTCTCCATTATTACGTCATTTTCGTCCTGTATGTTCGATTGCTCATAATTATTCGTTGATATAGAATCGTTCTCTTTTCGATCACTGCATGAGCTAAAGTATCTAGAAAAAAATTTATTCCATTTAAGATCTTAGCTTTCAAAAATTGACTTGAAATAATTTAACTGTCTGAGTGTGGGGGGCAAAAGCCTGTAGGACACAAGTGAGTACGGTTTATCAAGAAGTGACATTTGGTGACCACGGAATATGGCGATCGATCGAAAGTGCTAATCTGATAGAGATTTACTTTATCATTTATCATAAGGTAACAGGCAGTAACAATGCAAAACAACAACGATAATCCAATGTTATAGAATAGAATTTTAAAACAAATTCAATATATACTTCCTTCTTATACCTTTTTAAATATTTTATCATTTATCATATATGTTGGCTGTTTTGATACTATAATCAGAGGCTGCGTCTAACACGTCGTGGTTGGTTGTGGATGGAGGGGGGGGGGTGTAGTTGGGATGTTCAATTACTTTAAATTATTACTAATTATCAATTATTATTTTTACTTAGAACCAAAAACAACTCGAGTTCTGCATCTCTAATCTTCATTTCTTTTCCAGATACTAATTGATAGTTCTGAATCATTTATTGATGTGACCTAGCCTCATTCGTCAGCGAAGGATGTTTTAAGGGGGAAGGGGGATGATTGAATACGAGATTGGAAATTGATGCTTGAATTCTGAGGTTGGGACGCGATTGCAGTAAATAAATTCATATCACTTACCTACTGCTTTTTGTTGCATTCTCTTCTTTTTCGTTGTCCTCATGAACACGGAAGGGATTTTTAAATTTGTGTTGTTTCCGTTTAACAAAAACACTGTGATGTCCGTACCTTGATGCGGTTGGTACCTTCCTGTTTCGATCATCATAGAGAATGCCAAGAGAAACCTGTGGGCTCTGCTTTTCGTAGAAGCTTATCTTCTGAAGGCTTTTTTCAGGAGGAGATGTGTCATCTAAAAGCAAGAAATAAAATCTCCATAAGTCTTACAATTTTAAGAGGTTGTAGATGTATTTTTCAAGGCAAGATTTAAATGAACCCCTAAAACACTGATGAAAACTCATCAAAGGCCACTGAAAGTTAAATATGCCAGAAAACAGTGTAATAATTTTGCGAAAATTTCAAGAAAACATCATTGGTGTTTTAATAGAGCCCCTTGGGAAAATCGAGTGGAGCAGTAAACATGAGGGTGGGGGCTATCCATTATGAAAATGAATAGTAGCACATTTTTATTCTGTGGTTGTAGCTTAGTTATCACAATGGTTGACCATATAGAGGAGGTATTAGAACGAGGCTTTTTGTCCATTGTTCGGGGTTGTCCGTGACAAGGAATTGTTCGTTACAAGGAGGTGTCCGTCAATTGAAAATTCACTGTACTGGAAAAGTATCTTTTTGAAATATTGTAGCAAATATTTCACGAGTTTGCAAGCAGTTTATATTTAGAGTGCAAAAGTTGGTGACGTAGCTAACAATTTTAGCTTTAGATTCTGCATCATAAAACGCAAAATTATGTTGATTTAAAAGTTTAGCATTGCTAATGCTCTAACAACTACCACAAGGATCTTTATTTATTACAGAAATATCTGAGTATAGGGTTGTTCTTAATGGCTAAATGATACGGACATTTTAACACCACATACCTTACAAATTGGGTAGAAAACTTACCGTCTTTTTTGGATAAAAAATGCTTTAATTTGCCTGAAAATGTTCCTGCTTCATCACCAGAATCACTTTCACTGTTTGCAGTATACCTTTTCTCTAACCTTGTTTCATCACAACTATCCTCAGATTTATTCCCATCAAGGGAATAATGTAAATTTGGATCCTTATGTTTCTTTGGTTCTTCTATGAACGTTTGTACTTTCTTTGCAACTTCTTTCGATGATTTTGCTTTCTGAATAAAAAATAGAGTTCGTTTTACCAATTACAAAGGCAAAATCAAGCTTTGGATAATTAAAGCAATGCTGAAGGTTCTGTAGCTAGGTCTATTCAATAGAATGCAAAGTCTAAACTTCAAAAAATCTTAAGCAGGTATATACAATGTTTGCACACAGTAGTTTCAACACCGAAGCAGTTTCAGTCAATTTTTTATCTGTGCTTATAACTGATTTACCCCTAAAACAATGTTGGAAATACCCCTCAACCATTCTAGCTGCTAAAAACAGGTTACATTCGAATAGTCTATTTCTAGGAAAGTAATCCAGCATTGTTTGAAATTGGTCAGGGGTAACAGCGAAAACGAATGACAAAATGTTCCTTTGGAAGATATTGTAGCAAAAATAAAGAATTTCTATGCCTAAGAATCGCGTCAAAAAGAATGCTCTTGCTTAGCAATCTGGTTTACGGGAGGTTCTCTGTTTTCCCAGGGCTGTTCTTGTCCATGGAACTTGTTTACCAAATTGTTAACACATTTAAGTATTGAGTGACAATCTGTAACTGATTCAATTTGCTAAATATACAAACGTACAACAAAGTCTTCAAAGTCTGCAAGTGTTTCTCCTGTAATTGGATCAAGATTTCCAAGAGCAATCTTCACAGCCTTCTCTTTATCCATTTTACTAATGCAAATTAAGGGTTTTACGCAATTTAATGGAAGGCAGCAGAATATGGAAGAGGTCTCATTCTATTTATTCAAGGAAATTTATCGGGTGAATTTGCTGCAACAGAAGCTGATTAGTTTGCAAAACATTAGGCTTCTTTCACCAAAAAGTGTACATTATTAAAAGAGAATTTGAAAAATCCCGACCTATCAATGTCATGAAGGGACAAGAACAGAGATTAGAAATGTCTAATCATAATTCAGATACTTCGTAAAGCAAATTGGTGTCAAAACCAAGCATAGCATAGTTATATAAATAGAAGTATTATTGTACATGCTGTTGAGATTAAAGCTGTAGCAGCAGAGGCGTAATCATTAAACTATGGCAAATGCAAGAAGAAAAGATACGGTCCAGCATACGACAGTTCCTCCTCTGTGACGTCATCTGTTTCTGAGACTTCATTTAAGCGCACAATTTGTTTGCTTCTTGGATCAAAGACCGACTGATACTTAAAGACAGCATCAGCCTTACGGAAATCGTCCGCATAATCATCAGGAACGCTAAATTTGCTTTGCTTGATTAACTGTATTGCCTTAAATAAAAACGACAAAATTAACAGAAATTGAAACAGCTAATTTGATAACGTTGCTAATTCTATCAATACTTTTCCACAAAATTGTTTGCAAAGAATCAATGGGAGCAAAAGCTTAACAAAGTTTTATTTCTACCCTTTTCCTTGTAAGCAATATAACATTTCGCGATTACTCTCTCTTGTACCCAGGGTAACAACTTTTGCGGCGTCTGGAGTAGTGATTGAAATGAGACCAATGATTATATCACCAAACCTAAGCTTGGCTCCCGAATACAAAATATATCAAATTGATTCAATTTTTGACTGATGCACGTAGTAAATTTGATAAAACTAACCTTGTATGCAGTGGTACTTCTTAAGAGAAATTTATGTGCCTTATGAAGTCCAAGTCCCTTGACAGAGGGCAGATAATCACAACCTGAAAGAATGCACATGTGGCGAAACTTCTCCAGTGTGAATGATTCTAATGCGACTTTCTTCACTTTGTTCAACTGAGCAAGGTCGATAAAAATACCATCCCCATCGCCATTCATTTTAAATAAAACCTGGATAAAAGAGCGTTTTTAAAGAAATTGACAAAATAAGAATAGAAATAGAAAACAGATTTTTGCTTGAAATAATAAAAAACATTGGTTAGTGCTTTAAACATCACATCCGAGCTTGTCATTGCATACAAGAAACTTGATGCGTTGCTTTGTTTGCATCTATGATCTGATAGAATTTTGTACCTTTTTACAACCGTAAATCAAAAGATCTGAATCTTCGGTGATGGTGAATTGTGTGATTCCTTGCATTTCCAGGTAGGCCAACTGAGCATCAGCTTCATAAGGGGCAACTATGCAAAGAACTTCCTTCTGTCGACAAGCCTATGCAAACAAGAACATTGAGAATTTGCAAAACAACAAACAGCAATTCACATTGAGGATTTGTATAGACAATTGCTTGCTATCAAAGAGTTAAAGAGGGGATTTATTTCTCAAAAGCAGCATCAGTCCCAGAAAGGTTTATTTATTGATTATGTCTCTCCAAGTTCCATTTTCAGGACCAAAATGCAGAAATTGAGAGGAGCTGTTTACCATACTTCACTCATAATGGCATTCAACCTAAATAGTTTGTTGAACATTAAATTTTAAGAGTATTCACTTTTATCGAAGGCTCAGAAAAATCTGTGATTGAATTTTGATCAGTTCCTCTTGTGTTTGTTTTTACAACTGAAACGGCAGATGCTCTGCTTTCTACCTAGAGACAGGAATTGAGATTTCTTAACCATTTAAGGACATGGATTCATTTTTTTCAGTTTAATATAACATTTGTCATGTAGATAAAAATTTTCACAAACATTAATAACAACAATGTCACAGTAGCTGCTGTTTTTTATCTTGTTTATTACCATTATTTCCATGATGAATTGTAATATTCATGAAATGGTAAAAAATTTGTTCAAACCTGGATCACTTCGGTTGCCATCATAGGAGTTATTTCAACACATCTTTGAAAGAAATCATTTGCTTGAGAAACATTCCCAGCCCTTAGAAATGCTTTAGCTTTCTTTAAATTTTCTTGCCGTAGACTAAAAATGAAATTTATTAACGTGAGAAACCAGAAATGCCACTAACCTCAAACTTGAATCATGTATTAAAGATGACTTTGACAAAACCTTGTGTCTTTTAATTTTGTATCTTTTGAATATTTTTATATTCCTAGATCTCTAATAACTGTAACTTCCATAATGAAGTCATTTTTTAAAATTTTCCAATGTTTTGCCATCTCTTTAAGGGTCCCCTTCACCTTTTTAGCCCTCTAGCTCAACCAATGTCATAAAGTAACATGCAAAGAAACAAGTTCAACTCCCAAATAATTTAGCTCCTCTTTCTTCAAATGCTAGAAGAGAAATCGTAAAGCCAAGTTCTGTTCAATGATTCCTGATGGGAGTGACTAAATTGCATTATTAATAAAAAGTGAATAAAACACATACTTTCTCCTTTCTTTTTCTTTAGATGCTTTAGCAGGAAGATAGCCACCATCAAACACCATGACGGGCGTGATGTTATAATTGATCAGCATATTCAGTCTTCTAATGACATAATTTATATACCTGGAAGCACAAAAAACTGGTAAAATGTTTCACCAAAGCGACACAAAAGAAAATGATACAAAATTAAAAGCCCTTCATAATTTTTTACATAAACAGACTAGAAACATCCTTGGAGCTTTTCAGTTATCATTCATAGAAATAACAGTTTGTGTTTCAAATGCTAAAAATCACTTCCTTTAAAATTGAACACCAAATAGATTATCCAGCTGAAAAAAGATTAAAAAATGCTGCAAAAATACAACAAAATTTTCCCATATTTTACACATACCCTTTCGTCTTTTTACCCTCCACGATGTCTTTAGCACAACCATAGACACCTTTATGAAGCCAACAATATCCATCAATACCAACAGTTTTTCCATGAAACTCACTGACGGATGTCTTTCTCTCAATGTCTCTTAGCAGTGGCAATAGTCCTTGAATGCCCATAATGCTTGTACTTTAAACAATGCAAATACATAACTTGTTTGATGCAACATAAATAAATATTTAAATAAATAAATAATTGTAGGGTTTTTAGAAAAATTGAGAGTTTACACAAGAATGTTTCATGCCATTTTCAAATCATGCTGTTTCAAGAATTGTATTTATATGATGCCTACTATGAGATAAATTTCAGTGTGAAGGAACGGCCAAAACTACATAACTTTTTGTGGTTTTCAAATGGTACAGTATAAATGTGGTCAAAGGGTTTAACAGAAATGTGCTTAAACATGCAAAAATGAAAATATCATGTCACAAAAACAAATTTTCAATTGAACATTTAAAGATATGCCCATGCAATAGACAAAACTTTGCCCAAAGTAATAAAACCAAAACTTTGCCCAAGTAATATGCCAAACATGGTGTAAGTACTGCTGCTGTATGCCAAAGGCTTTTGGCTTAACATAAATGTTTTCAGGATGGTTGGTGGTCAGGCCCTAAGGTAATTGCCCCTCCCTTCCATTTTGCCTGTTATCTCCACTGCAAACAAATCATAATTCTACAACCAATTTGGTCTGGAAGTAGTTTGAAGTTTCTCAATTGATGAACATCTTAATCCACATCAGATATTTTCAGTTTGATAGTATATGGGTCTGTTGTTTGTTGTTTGGTAGTAGTCTACAGCACAAGTTTGTTAGTGTTATTTTAACGAATTCTGGTGTTCTCCTGGTTCTGGCTAAATCTCCTGTTTTCTTTAAGAAGAAATATAAAATATCCAGGTTTTCCAAAATTTGGGGTTGATGTCTGTTCTTATCTCCAAGGAAAATACAATTCTGGTAAGATGAAATTTGTTGGCATCCTGGTAATCACAGGCTTTGAAAAGTTTAGGCGTACAATGGTGTGCGATGGCATGTGATTCATAAAATGGAGACCTTATTATTTTTATGAAGACCTGATAGGCAAAGGCTTTTAAATACCATGTATGTTTTGGAAGAGGTGAATCACTGTTTGAAAAAGTGTTCAAGGTTTTCATACAACCAAATAATTTTTATAAAAGTTAGAAGACGTTTCTTGAAAACAAAATAATTTAACATTTTAATTTAAAGCATACAAGTTTTTAGGCCCTGTTTCCATTACTCCGTATTTTTGTGAGAATGGATACTATTCAATTTTGAGTTCTAATAATATGGTCAAGAATAGAGTCATTTGATATCAAACCGGAAACATTCAAAAACACTGTTTAAAGTGAAGTCATTCGAAAACCGAATCATTTTAAAATGCATTGTTTTCTTGGAATCATCTCAGCAAAAAGAGCTCAAACAAAGGATATGAGAATGGATGAAAAAGGTGTAATGGAAACACCCACATTATAGTTTTGACCAATGCAGTGACACCGGGTAAATGTGGAAACACATGATTCTCAACTTTGAGCATCATTTGTTTCCATATTTACCTCGTTTGATCAGGAAAATGGGTTAAGATTTGGCAAATATAATTTCACAGAAACTATAAAATCTCAACTAACTACCAATTTATGCAAATATCACAGAAAAAATTTGGGCTGGAGTGATCCTTTAACCAAGCTATATAGTATGAATCACTATGGCTAAGTGCAGTTTTTGGCAGAATGAGTTCTTCAGATTCTTCTCACATCTCTCCAATTTCATTATAGTGGGTATGGAATAACATGGAAGATATTTATTTTCAGAGGTGGATCCAGGAAAATATGTAAGGTATGGGAGACAGGAGGAAGAGGGATCTGCCCCCCACCCCCCTCCCCCCAGGAAATTCTTTAAGGATCACACCTTTTAGATAACTGTAGAATTGCCCTGGAACCAATTCATTTCTCATTTTTCTTACTTCAAAATGCTTGTGTGACCCCATGCTTATAATATGAAGTTAAAATTTTGTGAAATTCCCAAAACAAAGCACTTTTACAAGAAAAATGCTTTGAACACACGGTGAGAGCCATTCTTCTTATTGGAAGCTGCATTTTGCTTATTATTAATTTGCTGTACACATTTATCTGAAACTAAACAATGTGCACACATTGCACAACATGTCAGCACTGTTGCACACCTTTTTATTTGCTTTTGCAAACACAACACGATCTTGTCGAGAACTACCATGCTCTGCAGACTGATGCCCCCCCCCCCCCCCCCGATCCTCCGTGGCGCAGCTATCGCACAACCGATGTATGATATTGAAATGTGGAATCTATGTAGGTTATGCGGGAGATTTACAGCGTGTATTAACGATTTCCCATGGTATTTCTATTGTTTACTGACAACAGCGTCTGATGATTCTGTCGAGGACCAACGTGGTCCTAAGCGCGACGAGCAACTCTGTTATGTTAATAAAAAAGGTTAAAAAAATTTGGTTACGCCTACCTTTTTTTATTCAATGAAAATAGCACTAATTAGTGAATGTCTCATTTCAAGCAATCACAATAAAAGAACACTATGCTACATTCCATCACAAGGTAGCATCAAATTTCAAGCTTCCACCGGAGAAGAATCCACTACCATTGATTTCTGCTTGGCGCCAAATTTGGTGTTAGGCCTCGCCTTCATCAGGAGGTCGTCATACCAATGCAAGATGGACGAATTTTCAGTTTGCTTCAGTGATCCTGTCGATTTGGATTTTCATGTTTATTCTTTGTGGCTGGAAGGACTAAATGGTATTATCTCTTTATTTAAAAAAGTATCATTCTAGGAGCTTTCTTATATCACATGATTGATTAAAATGCAGTCTTTAATTCTGCCAATCCATACAAGATCAAATCAACTTTGTTGAATTTCAGAAGAGGGACTGAACCAGATTCAGGTTCATTATATTTTAAATTCTACAACATACATTTCTACAGAATACTAAATAAAAATACAGCAAATTTGAATAACAAACAAATATTATCCCAATGTTATGTGGAACACAAACTATCAGGGATAAATATATGTATGGGAAAACATTTAAGAAGGAACAAAGAGGAGAGAGGCCAGACTGCATACGAGTCTGGCACATGTTTACCACATGCACGGGTACTTGCATACTTGAAATGTTGCTCTTGCACACCCAAAATTTGTTAAGAAACTGCCATACTCTGTAGTCCAGGTACTGAATGAATGCATACATTAATCATTTGGTGACACAACTTTACCCAAATAATTGCTGATGCTGATGTGGACCTACAGCTACAATCATGATTGTAACCCTACAAAGTTACAAAAATGGATATGCGTTGACTTTCAACTTTTTGTCTATTTCCAACATGTCATAACCAGAAGGTTGTCAGACAAAGTTACTCTGCCCCTCTAAGAGAACAGCCTCCCTGATCTTGTAGGTCTAGTAAAATCATTAAAACAAGTGATTCTGCCACCAGACAACATCTTTTAGATAATCCAGATTGTGCCAAAGTCTATGATGACAGCATACTGGAAAAACCAGACCCTATGACCCTAGGACCCCTATGACCCCTAGGACCTTTAACTACGAAGAACCAAAAAGGACCCTTAACTACTACATGATTTTCGGCTCCCCCAGAGCCATGCTTTTTAATGCTATCATGTTGACAGCTTTGGAAGCATTCCGACTTTGGCTCAAACATTGTCATTTAACAATCGTCTGTCTCCTGTTCTTTTATGAGTTCCAGGAGGTGAATTTCCCACCAAATTCGCTACGGGTTTGTTTCGAAAATCCCTTTTGATTTCCACCAGTCTGCGAAATTATATTGTGATTTCCCCCAAAACTAAACATTTTTAGGTGCCTATTGCGAAATATTTCGCAGAGGTGAAATTAGAATTCTGTTCGAAGTCAAAAATCAAAACTGCGCCCTCCCCCTCGATATCTTCACCAGCGATTTGGCTGCGAAATTCGCCTCCTGGCAATTAACCTGTGCAGTGTGTGCTGTATGGGCGGGGAAGTTAAAGAAGTGCGGAACTTCAGGGAACTTTTTAATGGAAGACTTTTGATTTGGGGTTGTGTAAACGCCTTTTAATATTTTGACTAATGGTTTGCCCTGAATTCTAGTGCAGCTGCACCCTGCTCTGCCAACATTGTCCATTTATTTCAACAATGTACTTCCCTCTAAAGGCCCCCTAAACCCTGGTCTGACAAGCTCCGTTATCTCATGCACAGTATTTGAAGGCTGGATGAAATGTTTTTGCTTCTCTTGTCTGGTCAGTTACTTAAAAGTGATTTTCCATGCTTGCGTCGGTGGTGTTTTTTGTCATTAGTCCGTTAGGAATGGTGTGTGCGTCATTAGTTAAAAGGCATGGCTCTTGGGGAGTCGCAAATCATGTAGTAGTTAAGGGTCCTTTTTTGTTCTTCGTAGTTAATGGTCCTAGGGGTCATAGGGGTCCTAGGGTCATAGGGTCTGGTTTTTCCAGTATGCCTATGATGACAACATGTTTCTAATAATTGACAAAGCCAGATCGTCTTTTCATTTAGCAGTTTTGGAATCGTTCTACATGCAATGCAAAAAGCCGCTATTGTATAGACAGAAGGTGTTTGTTTTTGCTCTTCGACCCCAGTGGTAATTTTCCTATAAATAGTGGTACTTACTGGACAACCTTACAGGTCATGTACTCGCTCTTTCTGATTGGCCTATTTTGATTCTGACATTTTATACTCCGAGGAATGTTGGACGAAAAAGCTTTCCATATGTTGTAGAATGCTATCATTGTTCAAAGCCATTTTCAAATTTTGTACTGCCAAAAAATTCACAGTTGTTCAAAAATTTTTTCAGTCAACATCATTTTTTACAAAGAATGTGATGATGCCTCTTTATGCATCTTTTTACAAAGAATGTGATCACCCATCAGGAGTTTTGGTTAATTTTAAAAACAAAGGTATTGCTTAAGAGCCCTTTGACTGCAATGATATCATGAAAATTAATCAATAAACTATAACAGTGATACTTTCTTTCTTACAGTCTACAGCACAATAGCATTGGTGTTTAATTGAAGCATCAAACAGACTCTAACCAATGTACACTAGTCATAAGAAAGATAGCAGGAAATGCCTAGATGGCTTTTGAAATGAAAATTCAATTAAATGATTTTCTAGTAGTCCTAATGTCCACAGTGTTTGCATGATGCTGCAAAGAAAATAATGTGTTGCTCATTGAGTGGAATTAAATAGCATTTCTAGAAAGACTAAGTACCAACTAGGAAAACTTGAGTAAGTAACAGGTAAAGGCGTAGGACTGTAAGAATCACTTAGTAGGTGGCTTACTAGTCATATGTAATGTTTTGATGCAGAAAATTTTTTGACACTTTTTTAATCAAAAAGTTATGTTATTTGTTATTTGACTAATAACAAGTGTTTCTTTCTTTATTCTGCAGAAGAGGAAGCCACCAGACAAAGAAAGTGCATGGAACCATCCCTTAATTTTCCAAATGCAATTCTTCTCAGTGATACCCGAGAGCAGTTTCAACTGTTTCAGCTTCTTGAGAAGTTCTTGCAGTCTCCATTGACTTTCAGGACTCAGATGCTATGTGCACTGTCACAAACGGCTCAGCAGGAGCTTATCCAGAAGCAAGTATATTTTGAGGTTTTCTTTATGTTTCGGAATGAAGCATTCTTTGCTAAAAGATGTGTAATCAATGTTTGTCATCTCTTTAGCAATTTGTTTTGCAACAATAAGTTGGATACAACTGTTTAAATATAACACAATTCACACGTTTTCTAACCCTAAGGGTTAATTTGAGCCAGCCACATACCTGCAAGGGGGCACAGGGAGGCTCTGCCACCTAGATGAAAATTTTGATATCAACCTGCCCCTCTGGATACTCTTTTTCCAAATGATATTTTGAAATGCTGGCAAAGTTATAATTCTGTGAGTTTGATTTGGTCCAAATATATCTGTTTGTTATATATCTGCTGTCTTGTTTAAAGCATGCCCCCTCAGGAATGGTTCTTGCTCGAGTTTGCCCACCTTAGCCGACATCTACAGCTACGTGGTTGATTTGAGCTGCAGTTTTATGGACTGTGGGGCCCTGGGCTGAATGCATCTGTGAGCCCCTTGTTCTTGCCATCAAAAGCACAGAATCTGGGGCTGGGCTCCCCACACACACCTTAGAACCACCACTGGTTACTTCTTCAATCACAATTTTTGTCATGTATCTTAATGCCAGTTTGTAATCAATTTGCATTAATTTTCCTATTAAGGTACTACAGTTTTGATAAGGATGTCATAAGAGAAATTCTCGGACGTAAAATGAGTGCAAAGTTGCGAAAAGACATGGATGATGTTAGCGAGAAAACTGGAATTCCACTTAAAAGGTGCAGAAGACAAGTAGGTTTTGGCAATATTGGCAATATTGCAGAAGGCCACCAGTAAAAGCTGTTATTTGAATGTCCTTTCATTACTTTACTATGATTACTATTGTCCTTTGATAACATATTTGCCCTGTGGATAGATTTATGTAGACATGTTAATTCACAGAGTTTCAAGGACGAAATCTCATTGTCTGTTGTGAGCCTAAAAAAAGCATGAATTTCTCAGATCGACACACTTTATACTGTGTCTTTATGAGTCATTTGTTTTAGCTGAAGGAGTCTAAATATTTCTATTATTCATTTTTATGGGTCATTGAACCAAATATAGCGTAAGTGAAATCTTGTTTTCTTCACTAAAAAAGCTAGAATAACATCCAAGAGCAGGCATTCAGCTTAATAACATAGCAGGATTCAAGTCCAGAAAAAAATTGTTTTCAACCAAGAGATAATAAATAATGTTAAAGAGAGAAGCAAAGTAAAAAAAACTCAATAAAATGAAAATGCAAAGAAGAAGAGAAGGGTCTACATTATTATTCAGAATTGAAACACATCATTTCATTGAAAAAGAAGATTACTAGTATCACAAATTTTTACCCCTGACAGTTTGATAATGTGAAGAATGTTTTGAAAGCATATGAAGATGGAGAAGGCAGTGCCTTGGATATCATGCAGAGACAGTTTTTAGTGACGGAGCCACTAGCAAGGTAATTTTCTGCAGCCATGGATTCATTCTAGCTTTTCTTGCTTCCGCTCTTTAGCATCCTGAAGTACATCTTTTTATCCCCTTCTTGTGGTAACAGTCTGTGAAAGAAATAATACTTAAAACTATGTTGCTGCTATCTACTTTCCCGCCTGTATATCCCTAAAGGATTTTGAAAATATCTGCTTTGAAAATGACAAGAAATGCCTTGTGCTAGTTGGTATGTCGTATTCGACTAGACTGTGGTTGATATTTCCCCACAAAGACCCTCTACCTATCCCAAGAAATATGAAACAATCCCCGCCTCATTCTTAAGCCAAATACTAAAGATAGGCACAAGAACAAAGAAGCATAGAATTAAGAGTTGAAAACTGAATTTCAACACCTACATCATAGCAGAGGATGATATGAAATCCTGTTGAAGCATCATATTCTTAAAAACAACCGTTTATGTCGCTATATTACAGGTATTCCGAACGGTTTTGTAATGTTTTCTTGCGCAATTTATTTTGATTTTATTTAGTTTTAAGCTCAACACGTTTTGCCTAGTTCTGCCCTTCATTTCCCTAGCCATTGAGACTTGCACAAAGCGTTTCTTGAATCCAACTTCAAGCGCACCTGGTCAAATTGATGGGATTACGAGAAAGTAGCCTTTTAGCCCAAAGCCCAAATTCATTGCAAATCACTTCGAGATGGCACTTCGATTTGCAAATAACCTACTAGGTTTTCACTTTACTTTTAAAACCAATTTTGACGACATTGAACTGTGTTTGCAACATTTATATCAAGCCTTCTCAAATAACAACCTTTATATTTTAAAGCCCCCTCTAGAACATTTACAATTGATTGTTATTTAATAGAGCTTTCACAGTATGCTGTTTGGTGCTATTTTGATCAACTTTTTTTATAGTATTTATGCATCCCTTGTGTTCATCTTCGTGAACAGATTTGAAACAGGAAGAAAAAGGTAATTTGTGCAGCTCTTTGCAAATGCTTTCAGTTTATTAATCTTTTTCGTGTAGCTCATAGCTCTTTGTTTTTTTCAGTTTCTTACCCCTCAACATTATCCATCACAAAGTAAAACGTCATTGCTTGTGGACACGTGAGGACATCTTTATTGACAGATTCTCGCTATCAAAGAGCGGCATTTCACTATAATTTTTTATATCTTTTCTTTCCCATTTCTTATTCTTCGTTTTTATTTCGCTCTTCCCGTTTTCATGGTTAGCCACACAAGTTCTTTTTTCCTTCACTTTCTACCGTTGTGAGCTCCCCTCTCACTGATTTTTAGCGCTGTTGTGTTTTCTTTTATCTGGTCTCCCCCTCCCCCCGTTTTCTTCTACGCCCCTTCCCCTCCACTGGTATGCCAATTTACACAATATGAAAAAATATGTATTCCGTATAAATATGAAATAACACAATATGAAATAATAAGTATATAATAACATTTTTGTTGAACCTCATTCTTGGAATATCAGGCTTATGACTTTTTAAGCCACCACGCTGCCGGCCAGTGATGCAAAGAAACATTGAAATGTTGCTGAGTAAAGGGTTAAGAAGAATATGATCAATTTCAGGCCCTTTCCGATGAAGTTGACGGATGACTACTTATATGCTACCTCTCAATATTGTTTGCAAATTGCGAAGTTTAAAGCCAAGACCTCTTATTTAAGTGATAATGAAGTCGCCAGATAAAGCTTGAATTTTAATTTAGCATCAGGAATCAATTAGTCGTGAAATAACTATCAATGTAGTTCAGAATTATTTTCTTTTCTACTCTTTAATTCGTGCAATAAATTGAGGAGGCATTACTTTTGACGGGTAAGTTATACATAAGGGGGTTGTAACATGATTCTCTTATTTACAGGCTTCTTTATTTGAACTTTGATGACTTTGTCTTCTGCGCGGAGCAAATGCTGAAGCATTGGTGCGTTGGTGGTAGGTCGTCATTGAATTGTGCAAACTTCTATTGAAAACGAAGAAGTCAAACTGAGGAGGGGTGCTATTTATTGCCTTAGTTCCGGAGAATGTCAGACGTTACTGCAGTTTCAACATAAAAACGTATCTGAATTTTGACAAGTAAAGCGAGTATAAAGTGCAATTCGTCGACAAAAGGCAAATATTTCGGACGAATTGATCCTAGGGTGGGGCTATTTACCCCTATCGCCTCCCAAATTTTCTTTGTATTTTGTCGAATAAAAGAAATATCTCTGACAAAATATTTGGGAGTCTACAAGATGGGAGAATTTGATCTTAGATTTGTTTTAATTTTGATTTTTTAAAGTCATTAATTATGTTTATAGCAGCTGATTACTTTCTAATGATTTTAAAATATGACTCTGCTGTATGAACAATTGAAACCGAATTATAAGTATGGGAGACAAATAATCATACATATGCTACATAGAATCGATACCTTTTCGTTTCTGACAAGATGTACCTTAGATAATCAGAATCTTGAATTGTGAAACATTTGTTCAATAGTCAACAGAACTGAAAAAAATATTTTTTTATTTTAGAAATACATTTTTTGCCAAACTATGCCTGCTATAATTCAGCCGGGGAAAATTTGGTATTTTGTAAATTACAGCTCTGCTCCGATCCATGAAATGAAGATGTGGCAGTAATTGCATTGTGCCTGGGGACGGCAAATCCATATTCCTCTAGATTGTGCAGGCCTGTTAGAAATATAGGTGAAGAATTCCTTTCGAAAAGATGTCTTTAAGAGATGCAAGGGTCATTTCCCATATCCTTGTCCCCAATAATTTTTTCTACCGGAATTTAGGCCAAAATCTTTCTGCCAACGTGCATTGTAACTGTTGTAGTGACTCCATTTGCAGCAATCTCAGACTCGACTCTGTTGTGAATTCTGCTCTGTTTACTTTTAAGTTTGATGGTTCAGTATATCTTGTATCTGTTTATCTCGATATGAACTTCAGTTTTCCTTACCACCATGATATTCAGTTGCCATTGGCAAGGCCTCAACGGACTGAGTATCATTTGAAAATTTCCATTCCAGATATTCTTTGTTATGATGACGATTTGGATCGAAATTTTTTCCAAGAAATTAGAGATCTCAAAAACCTGATATCAGACAAGGAAATAAACGATCAACTGAAAAAGTAACTTGCTTTTTCGTTATTACTGTTTTTAATTGTCTCCATGGGCTTCCGAATAATCATCTTGTGAAATATTTGTTTGTAGATTATTCCAGACCATAATGTGCGACCTTCTTGAATCCAGGTTAAGATTTACCACCATATGTTTAGTCTGGATATGATTTTTCATTATTTTATAGTTTGAGCTTTTATTGTAGATTGTATGACGATATAAAGTTGATCGCAGAAATCGTTCCCAGTGAAATTTTCACTGTCTCAGTCGCTAAAAGCTTTACAACCAGTATAGAATTTCAATCTTTTGACAAGCAGCAGCACTCTGAAACCTTTCCGGTAGACTGTTATTCCGATCTTCATTCCAAATCTCTAGTACCAATGAGTTTGAAATATTTTCTGTAAGAAGATGAAAATTTAAACAGATTATTGACTCTGCATTAATGACCTCTTCTCTAAAGGGAGCGAGTAACAGAAATATCGTTTCCCATATAATAAATGATACTACTTTGAATAGTATTCAAGAAATACAACCATACTTATAAGCCGCCCTCGATTATAGCCGCAGCAATGTGGATAATCAAAAAATGTAAGCCGCCCTTGATTATAAGCCGCACCCTCTAAACCTTGGAGAAATACTTGGCTTGAAATGACGGACACAGAAACTGATAGTGACCTGATTGTGTACATGAATCAGCAACAATATCGTCTAGCATGGGATCATCAATAGCGCTCAGAAGTATTCTTTCCACATCTTCTACATCATCACCCTCAGCTTCAAGGTAGCAGTAAGGTCGGCAGGATCTGGGGGAAAAAAATGCAAGCCACCCTCTTTGATAGGTCGCCCTTGATTGTAAGCCGCAGCAAAACTTGACAAGCAATAATCATAAGTCGCTGCTTATGATCGCATATATACAGTACCTAAAAATTAAGGCTATTGCTGAATTTTGTAAAGGAATGGCATGAGAAATTGTTTCTAATTGATAAAGTCTACTTGATTAGATTGTCTGGTGTATATTTTGTTTAGTTTATTTCAACATAGAGAGGGATCACTCTTTTCTTGAATTTTTAACAGAAATTTCAGCAAAACTTCTCAATATCTGTCTCTTACAACTTCAACCTTTTTATTTTTTCAGTACGGTAGTAAGTCATCTTGAAAACGAAAATCATGTTGGGTTGGCAAAGTCTGTCGATGCTTGTTTTCGGGTGAGACTTTTTTTCTGTTGTGTTGGTTATGAATTTAAAGAAAATCTCTGTTTTTGTTAAATTAATTGAAAATCAAATTTTTAATGATGAGATTCATTTTCAAACGTTTTTAAAAATGCACGATTGCTTAAAATGGTTCCCTGAATGTTTCTTGCAATCGTTATGTTTGCTTAGAAATCTTTTCTTAAATTTTTAGAACCAGTAATAAATTTTTATAGGAACACAGAATTTCATCTATTTTGAAGATTGCAAAGAAAATTAAAAGTTCTTTGGATTTACTGATTTTGTATTAAGCCATATTCGTTACTTTATTGAGCTGAAACAATGATGTAAAGCAATAATTGCTGCATGCAATCATCTTGTCGTATCTTAGGAATTATTTGATCACATAGAGTTATCTTCATGTTTATTTTTTGTAAACTTGAGTACTTTTTTATCTTACATTTATAGTTTTATGGGGTACACTAGAGGAGCTTTATCTGTTAACCAAAGTATTAAATACATTTTCTGTAACTAGACTTAGATATGCATAAGTCCTAATGCATAATAATGCATAATAATTAGATATGCATAATTTAATCTTTTTTGCAGAGTATCTCTCAAAAGATTTTTCATATTGGATCTAGTATGCCCAGTAGCCGAGAAGTTAGGGAATTTTTCAATCACTCTGTCGAAAAAGTAAAGCATTTTCTTTTTAATGTTTCTTTATAAGTTTGATTCAGATTTATTAAATGTCAGCATGTACTTAAAATTTTAGCTATGAATTATCAGGCACCTGAATTCAAAGTACACAGTTAATAGAGAAATCAACATGTACAGATTCTTTAAGATGCTTAAAGTATCTAAAATTTTCTGAGTTACTTAAGTGTGTCGCAGCTGTGCTTAGATGTGTTATGTTTCAACCTGGGTTACATTGGAGTAGCATTCGCTTGTATCTAATATATCCGTTGAATTGCTGGATCTTTTGTAATAATCCCTTTAACCATGATACAAACATTTAACTCATTTCCTATATATGCATTGACGGCTTTATTGTTTAGTGTTCACCTCATGGCTGCAAATAGTATCGAAGCCTGGGAAGTGGGTTCCCTGAAAATTACAGAGTTGGCAGAAAAATTTCCGTATAAGTAAACAATTTCAGACAAAACTAAGTCATATTCTTGAGTTATACAGCAAGGGATTTATTGCCATTAAAAGTGTCAGTTAGCTATAATTGGAAATACAAATCAAATAAGAATTTTTCAGTTTTTTCAGATCTTTTCAATGCAATATCATCAACTGGCGGAAAAGTTCTCATAAAATGTAGTAGTTTCCCCGAAAAAAAATAATTTTATAGCCATGATTTAACTCTTGGCTGACTGTAAATGTATTCGTTAAAGCCTGGTTGAAGTCAAGTAATCTTTATCTCAAAATCTTTATGAAAACATCATGTTTCAGGTCGTTAATTTCTAGTATTCTGTTTGTATTGCAGATTATAGAACCCATAAAACAACTGGAATGGAGCAAGCATGAGTTTGAGTTATTTCTAGATGCTTTAATCAATTGTGAAGGTGGTGTTAAGCCATTAATGAAGTGAGTCTTTCAAAAATAATTAGTTGGAGTTAAGAGGTTTTATTCCGTAATGTCTGAAACCTATAACCCTTGAGAAACGGTGCAAATATTTTACACACCCCTATCTTCCCCCATTTCAATGTTGATTTATTTTCTATTTTAAAAAAGGCAAGTTATCCTATCAGACAAGCAGATTTACAATTTGACTTCTCATCTCTTCTTTCTGTTGAGTAAACTAGCCGTTTTTCAGCAGTTGCTATGCAGTAATTATTCAACTATCCGACCTACCGTTAATCCGGACTTCGATTATACGGCCCTTAAAAAATGATAAACCTTAAGAAACATTTTCGGCATTTTTGATAATATATCGGGTGCTCTTTTCTTGCTTTCTATTTGAATATTTTTATGAGTTTTTGAGGTGTATTAGATTATAATGTGTGCTTAGAAATAAACTTTCACAACACTCATCTTGTTTATTTACGCTGATTTCTGCCGTTACTCGTATATTTTCAATTATCCGGAATTTGGGATTATCACCACGAATCTTAAAATCACGTGTCCCGAGAAAATTGAATAAGTACTTTATTTTATAATCTCTATAAGGTTAGTTAACACAAAGGTGCGTCATCAAGCTCTTATTTGTTTTTATATTTTCGCAGGTCAAGTGCCCCGCCTAAGACTGGCTCAAGCTATTGTCGATTTCTCAAGCCTATGAAAGAGTGCTTGTTACAAATGTACCACACTTGATGCTGGCTGCTACAAACTGGGTTGAAAATTAAATCTTTCGATTGTAAATAGCAAATTGTGTATTTTAGAGGGTTTTGAACAAAATTAATATAGCAATTAATAGCTCAATATAAATATATATCTGATTGGAATCTTTCCGAAACTGCATGGTTACTTATTAGACTTGTGATGGTTTATTTTGCTACCAAAATATCAGTTAAGAACTGAATTTTTCACTCTCCTCCGTGTTTAACCCAAGTAGATTGCATTTTGTTTTGTAGAAGAGATCTTACCAATCCCACCCAGCATTTTTCAATTTATCTGCAATTTATAAGCAAATCTAGTCTAGCAATATACAATATCCGTACCTTCTACTTTACAATACAATATTCATAATTTTCTCTGAAGAGCGGTATTCATTGAATTGCGTCTGATAATAGAGGCACAATGTTTATCTAATGTAAAATGCAGTTCTTTCTTAGAGAGTGAAACTCGATCTCGTCGTCAAGCAAATACATAGGTAGACCTGTACTGGTTCGAGCTCTGCGGGCCCCACTCAATGCAATATAGGAATCAGAAATTAGGTTCATATGCTAGGAAATAAACCTCGAAGAAAAAGGTTTATCAAGATACAGTTTAAAAGTTCTTCGTCTGCATGGTACTGTATAGGTGTATTTAAGACATTGTTAGTTCTAGGAGATTGTGTATACTAAGGTAATTAGAAAGATGAAGAGGGTTGCCCTATCTTTTGAAACATTTCGGAAGGTTTAGAAACTTTAGTCAACTATAAATTATGAGCTATGTTGCTGGATTGAAAAATGACCTGTATTTTCAATCTTTGTCAGACTAAAATTTGGGGTGATGCTTGTTTTGGGCATTTTGTTACAGTGTATAATGGCAAACTCTATTGCTTTTTTGTAACTATTCTGATGATGCACAATTGAAGCTGTTCTTAGTCTAGATTTTAGAATTGAAAATAGTATATTTTTTGTCTTTGTCGGATTCCCTCTTTTTTTAGATTTTGAAAAATAGTTTTTATTGGTGATATGAAACCATTATGTTTTTATTGAGAGAAAGATGATATCTTTATCAAAATAGAATTGGACTTTTATCAGGTCCAGCTGTCAATAATGTCATGAAGAATGTTATGATGATGGCTGATAAAAACATGAAAGAAATAAGTAAGATATTTCAACGGTTAGTGTTATATACGAATATTAAAAAATCGAATATTAAAAGCTCTTTTTTTCATTCGCATAAGAAGCTGGCATTTATCAATGGACTCGAAATCAACCTAAAAATAGCCATTATTTTCTGATAGACATTTTACTCGTGCCTTCTATGTGCCTACTAAATAAATTTTGGTCCCTAACTTTTGAAAAATCTCATTGAAAAAAGCGTAAAAAATTTCAACTTTTTTCAACTTCCTTTTTCTATGCAAGCAAGTTTTTCACTTCGAGGGGCTTACCACTCAAAAAATATCGTACACCTTTGGCGAAAATCTCTTTGTTTTTGGGGAAAATTCCTAAAGATCCTATTGTTTAAAAAAATTTCGTACACATTTTAGAAACATTGGTACCATTCTCATAAATCTCATTTCACTTATAGGTCGAAATATAATCTGGTTAGTTGGAAATACCCACTTCTCCACTTTCTTATTTATTTTCTAGAAACACCACATTTTAAAGAATTAAGGTTCCGTAATTCGCAATATTAAGAGCCTGGCGTCTGACACACGCCGGGGAATTCATAGCAAAATATCAGTATCACCGCAGCCACGGGGCAGGGAGACTTCAATAATGACATTTGTGACATGTACCTGTTGTTTCTTCTACACGGTAAAGCAAAATGTTTTTTAAATATATCGTAATTTTGCCATCTGATGGTATAGGTGATAAACAATGACAGGTGATTGAAAATCTTGACTTTCTTCACATCCTATATCTGTTTCCTTCAGCTTGAACAAGAATAGATAGCCCACCTGCATCTAACACAAAAACACACACGGAGTGACTCATTCGAATTTCGTTTAAATGGTTGCCATGGGACATGAATCAAACAATCGGAGAGACTTCAGCCAATAAGAGTCGGTTATTCAACGGTCTCTTTTGCATGTAGCCAGCGTCCTTTTCAAACAGGCTCGAATGACAACTTGAGTTTGAAATCACTTTGTGTACATTTTGAGTAGGTGGACTAAATCCCTGCCTTTGACAGTTTTGCAGACATGTCATAACAGTTCAAGTATGCGAGAAAGAGAGGCTTTTTGGAATAATTATTGTTAAAGGAACGAAATGGTAGCAATACAACGTCTGGCTGTTCAGTTAACGATGGGCCTAACCAGAGAGTAACCGCTTCCCAAAGTTAAACGGAAGAGATCGTTGAATTTTGTTTACTCAAAAAAGCAGGAGAAGAAATGGCATGAGCCTTTACCTAGAGACTCTTTTTTCACAATTGACGGTTTAATCTGTGAAATATGGCATTGCTGAAATTTATCGCTGTAAATGAACAATCTCGTACACTGGCAGGGATGACTGCAAACGACGGATTTAACCGGAGGATTTTAGTTCTTATCCTAATTTTTCTAACATTCGCGGATATTGGTCAGACTCAAACAGCAATAAGAGGACTATATCCGCCAGTTACAGAGCTATCGAAGTTTAAGACTGTAAAAGCATCGTCAACTTGTGGGCTGAATAACATTCCAATGACTTATTGTATGTCTTCAGTAAATAATCAAACGCTAATAAACTGCACACGACTGAACTGTCTATTAGACTGTTGTTCCACTTGTGGTAAGACACAACCAGCTCACACAAGTATACTTTCGGGATCAGCAGTCCAGGTAACTCAAGTAACTGATACAAGACCTGACAGTGCAACTGGCTCTCGGTCAAGTAGTTTTTCCACTGGCTCTTTCATCACTTATGCAAACCTACCTGCTTCAAACATTCTTGAACTTGGAATGTCAGTTTGTTCTTGGATAAAGAAGCAGAGTTCCAGTCCAGGGTATAGACTGTTTTCCATTTTTTTATTTGTACTAGCCACATTGCAGCTTGCTTTTTTGCTTGCTTTGTCTGCATCACAATTTGTAAGATGTATGATGTTGGTTGAGATTGAGATTTGCTGCTGAAAGTGATTGAGATTCTGAGCCTTGCATGTAACTGCAAGTTTTCCAAACTGTGCATGGGTGCACATAATACTATACCAGGGTAATCCAGAACAGGAAACTGCTGCATGTTTAACCCTAGATAAAGCTACATTGGGCTCAATTGGAAGGAATTTTGCCCCTAGCAACTTGCAGAACAGATTTTTGGCAGTTAGTAAAATAGCAAAATATTTTCTCTACGCAAGAAACTCCAAGCTAAAAGAGGTTTTAGCAGTCAACATTGATTTTGATACAATCAAAATACATTTACAACAAAATACATCAATTAGTCTTTGTGGATGAAATAGTTCCTTTTTATAGCAATTATTTCATTTCAAATTCTGAGCTGCTAATTCAAAAGTTGGGGTCTATATTAGACTTTGAATTTGCTAGATTTTGTCAAAGTGCAGAGGATTAGCAGGAGAACTTGCTGAACAAAAGAGCATACACCTCATACTGCTGCAGGTTGTTTGGAAACATGCATATGAATTGCTCTATTACATGCAAAAGTTGCTGCATGTTTTGGCCCTAAATTGGGTTGTAGTTCTAGCTTTACAAAAGGAGCACTAGATATTTGGCCATGCGCAAGTGCGCCTAAATACTAAACTTTTTACCTATGACTATTTTTAAAATCTCTGGTCATCAGAGCATGCCTTAAAAATTAGCTATAAATCAAGCTAATACACAACCCCAACACCCCAACGCACTTATCATTTTGATGTGAAGTAATATTCGATTTTACTATATAAGGATTTTGTGGCACTTGACATTTAGCTACTATCCCTTTGTAAATGCAAGGTTTTAGTGAAAAGTGTGACATTCTACCAACTGACTTTTTTAACTTGCAAAATGTCCATTAAAAGTGAATCTAAATCCATGAGACAGCTGCTACATGTTTACCCCTTGTAATGCTGTGCTATGCTTTGGCACTGCTTTTGTTAGTAAATTATGATATTAAAGATATTCTTATTCATGTTATGATTATACAGTTTTATCAATAGTAAGAAATTTTGTCATTCCTGTTTGTTGTGGTAATGACATGTACATATTGTATTGTATTGTAGATTATTTAACGTTAGTTTTTACAATAGTGAATATACACTAATTAAGACTAACATGAAGGAATTTCAAGGATTGCATAAGACAGTTCATTTTCTGCAAAACAAGCATGCACACTTGTTTTCAAGGAACCAAGTTTTGATCAAATTCTTAAATTGTCTAGTATTTTGTGCTGTCTTTATTGATTCTGGGAGTGAATTCCAGATTTTAGGCCCTTGAAAATTTAATGATCTGATACCATTATTGGTAGTTCTGGCTTTTGGAATGTCAAGGGGTTTTTTGAGTCAAAGGTTATGACCTGTTGTTTTGGGTACAAAATAGTCTTTCATGAGAACAGGATTGAAGTTGTTAAGTGTTTTATAAACTTTGAGCGCTAAAATTCTAACTGATTGGACATGTATGGTAGTTCCTTTTGAGTTAGCAAGTAAATCTTTGTACGAACATGAATAGTCCGAATAGGCTAGTCTTAAAGCCCTCTCGTTAATTTTCTCTAGCTTATCCTGACTTCCTTTACCACATAGCATCCATATCAATGGACAATAATTGAAGTGACATAGTATAAATGAATCCATAATGATCTTTTTTTCTCTGTCACCCATATGCTATAATAAGCTGTTTTGTATCATTTCCCATGCTTGAATATGTAGTTTCATATTATTTCCTTTTTTTAGGGCTTTGATATCAAAAGGATCAGCATCCTATGCATTCATCATTAAGCAGTATGATATTGACTTTCTTTATACCACAAGAGATGCAGTTTCAGTGACAAGGAATGCCACTCTTAGAAACATCAACTTTTTGGAGAATAGGTGGCAGCATATTGCCTTTGTTGTGTACAACAGAAAATTATCCGTATTTGTGAATGGAAATGTTCAGAGGACTGTGATACTTGATGGAATCATAAATGATGTAACTGCAGATGCAAGAATTGGCCAAAGGCTGGATGGTAAGCTGGATATTCTTGTGATGCTAGCTATGCCATAAATATTGTGTACATATAAATCTCTTAACACCAATACCCTATAGAGCAACCATTTCTTCTTTAAGACAAACAGCAAATGTGATCTCCAGAAACTAAATGTGATATCCATTAAACTCTTATAGGGGTGTTTTTTAAATGCAGACATGAGCAGGAACTTTTTTCTGGAAATTTCTCCTCTCTCTAAAACTGAATATTTATGAAAAGATTTCTAAAAATAGTTTTGAAAAAGCAAAGATTTAAACATAAGTGTTAACAATCTTCAGTGTATAAAACACTTTGCCAAATATCCAATACATATGCCTAAGGTATGTTTTGGATTATAAAATAGAAAAAATTGGTATCTAATCATGATTTGTATGCAAGTATGTGGTATCAAGCTTTTGTAATATTTTTAGCTTAAACATTTTCTTTTTTTGCAGGCTCTTTTCAGTTTGTTGGTTTGCTGCAAGAATTGAAATACTATGCAAAGGGACTTACAAACAGGTAAGTGAAAAATTATGTATATAAAGTAAAAATCTATGAAATTTAGTGTTTTTTTTATACAATGCAAGAAACTTGTTTAAGATCATGCCTCATTGATTAAAAAGTTTTTTTATAACAATGCAAAATATTGAAGGTAACATTTAAGAAGCATAATTTGAATTTTGTTTTTTTGAACTGTCAGAAAAATAAATAAATCGAAACCAAAACATGTGAGCCAAGAAAACTTTTTAAGGTAGAATAAAATTGTTGAGACAAGTGTTTGAAAAAGTAGATAGATATAAATCTTTTATATAAATTTAAAATCTTTTAAGCCAATTTCATTGATTATCGATAAAATCTATTGATTATATTGATGATTATTAACATTTTCTTTAATTATTCTAATAATTTTTTTTAAATTCTAGAGAAGTTATTGAGGCTATGAATGGAACATTGCTGCCTGTCTATGGCTACCCACATTGTCGTTGCCCACCTTCCCATCCAAGGATTTCTTTGTCAAATCCTTTATATTGTATTGAAAATGGAATTGATTCGTCATCAAGGCCACAATTACGTCTAAGTGCAGAATCACATATACCAGAGTTTCTTGTTGATGGGGATGTTGTTAAGCCTTGGATCTCAGAGCTTGTTGAAAATGCTACTGTTGAAATTGATCTTGTGTACCAAAAATTGCAGGTGTGATTTGAAACTGTTCAAGTAGAAGATAATTTTAATCCTTTAATACCTTTCACTGGTGACTTTTGGCTTTCTTTGTTTGAACTTTTGTCCTTAAAAACTTAGCTTGAGAGAGTCCTGTATACCAGATTTGAGCGTGGGTTTCTACTCATTTATTCTTGTTACCTTTGTTTGCTCTTATCATTTTGTAGTTTTAATTTTCTCTTTCTTCTTAATGTTAACTTTTTATATTGTACTGCACATTTAATCTTCTATAAATCCAACCTTTTGTTGAATACCCTCTAACATTGTATTCATTAATACTACTTCATAATATGGTATTTCTTCTTTCTTTTGCTTCTGTCCACACACTAATATCCTTAGTTAAAAGCTCCTTCTAGTTTATAAGAAGTGGTCTTCAAATTGTTGGCTCATTTCCAACCAAAACTTTTTCTAATCATAATATTGTTAATTTCTCGAATCCCAATTTTGTACATATGTACAAAAGTGTACATATGTAAGATATGTCTCAAACAAAACTATTTTATCTCTAGGTGTTTCAGGTGCAAATCATGTTCTATAGTCCTCCTTCAAGAGGAATCAAGATAGAGCGATCACTTGATGGTGGAAAAACATACATGCCCTGGCAGTATTTTGCTGATGATTGCCAAAGGATGTTTGGTCTTGTAAACAATGGACCTTTGACAGCACCAGATTCTGTGAACTGTCTGCAAATCACAAGGTACTATGTGCATTCTAGGAAGCACAAAGTATGCATATATTATTTCAAATGAATAAACTAAGCATGACCAGTAACAAATATCTTGATTGCAGAAAATTTGGCTTGGTAGAAACTGTAAACAACAGGAAAGAAAAGTTATTAAAAGTTGCTTTCAAAACTTCTTTACAACCTTTGTTCTTTATTTCAGTCCTGTGCGCACTGACTTTGAGTCTTTATCATTCCTGACACAAGAGCCAGGACCAGAAAGCAAGCCCCAGCGACCAATTGGAGAACCCGGATGTTCAGATTTTCATTGTTCACCAAAATTATTGCAGTTTGTGAAAGCAACAAATGTTAAAATTAACTTTTACCAACACATGTTAGTCCGAAATCCACTTCACCAATATTTTGGTGTGAGAAGAATCCTAGTCAGCGGAACGTAAGCGCTTTGAATTCAATGATCATTTCATGCTTTAGTTACACAACTTTGTTATTTCCTGTTTCAGAAACGGGTGTTGTTCCACAGCTTATTTTCATCATGCTATAAATTTGACCCTATCAGATATGGCATTCACATGTAAGGACTTGATAATTACTGTTTGTTAGTAATGATGTTTAGTAGTGATTTATTACTGTTAGAAATGATGGCAAATACAATGCAATACACATTACACTGTGAATAATATGAATTCAAAGTATGATTAAAAAACTTTGAAATTTCTTATTAAATCTAAAGTTCTCAATAGTTCTATGTCAATATTTTTTAAACTACTCTCTGAATTTCTTGTCCATTGTTCATTCTTACATTAGTTTCTACCTCATTTCTAGATGTGATTGTTATGGCCATGGCTCATCCTGTACCACTTTTGAATCAAACAGTACACACAATGCTTCATATATCTGCTCATGTGATGCAAGGACATTTACACAAGGATCACAGGTATCTTGAAAATTGTTTCCAAAATTGTTTTAAATAATGCAAGAAATTGATTGAAACTAAAACTTTTTAATCAAAAAAGTAGTTTTGTAGGCTACAATCATAATCTAGGGTAATAATTCCTCAATCTCTTGGGAGATAGATAAAACACCTTGAGTTATCATGGGAGATTCATGCAAGCAAATTACCAATCATGTTAGGGGCAGGGGGGTAAGAGCAAGTTTTATCTGCAATTAGCCAGTTGTCATTTCATAGCTTGCCTTCTGTGAATTCTTTACCATTCCATCCTTCTTTAGTGAGAACCATTAAAAAAAATCTGAATCATATAAAACCCCATTAAAAGTCAACTAAATCAAAAACCCAATTTTGCTACATAATATATGCTCCTATTTAAGTAAACATGCTTAGAAATTTTCATTGATAGTTTCACCACCACAATTGTAACTGCATCATTACTTTAATTATGTATGCCTGTAAAACCTAAGTGTGTCTTGCATGTTTTCATGTTCTGGATATGTTACAAAATTTTATCCTCCCTTGCCTTTGTACTTTTCTAATTTGTTTCAAAATCTTTCTTATGCCTGGCAGCTTGGTTGTATTTGAAATTAAAATCTCTTCCTCCTTTACCCACATCCCATTTCATTCTCTTACCAGTTTGTAACATCTGTTGATTTTTCATATCTAGCTTCTTGTTCTGCTACAAAATTGAGAAAACCAGTTTCTCATCCAATTTAAATTTCATGTCGCAATATTTACATTTCAAGAGCCTGTACAGATCAACAAACTCATGATGTAAACCTTTTTTAAATTCTATATCCTATTTTAATGAATTTTTGTCAGTGGTTTTACTTTTGCTCTTTTTCAGTGCCAAGACTGTCTCCCATTGTACAGAGACAAGCCTTTCAAGCGAGGTATGGTCTTGAATGCATACCCTTGCAAAGCATGCAACTGCAACAACCATGCTACAGGCTGTACCTACAACAGCACCCTTGATCTGAATCCAAACGACAGAACTTCATTAGGAGGTGGGGTATGTGACAATTGTCAGCATAATACAATGGGGAGATTCTGTGAGACTTGCCGGCCATTGTTTTTCAGGCCTAGTGGGAAAGCAATCAATGCAGTTGATGTTTGTTCTCCATGCGAATGTGTTGGCAATGGTGTAGTTACACAGAATTCTGACTGCCAACGGGTGAGTTTTGTTTCCTGCTTTCAGTGAACAGCAACCCCTGACCCTATTGGCAATAATATATCTAAGTAACGGAAATGACAACTAACAATTTAGTAAAATGAAATTCTCTTCTTAAATCTTCGTAGAAGTGACCCAAGGCAATAGATATCATGCTACAGTAAGATGGGACCTTGGTGCCACAGTTGTCTGTAACAATGTCATTCCATTAAAGTGTCTATATTTTTATGAGTTACAATAATTTAATGCCATTGTTTGTTTGCTGTTCTTTGCCAAATGCTAAACATAATCTGATATGATAATCTAAACATGGAGTAGATATTTGCTTGTGGCATTTTTATTCTTATTCCCTAAGTTTGTTCCAATTATTACTTACACTTATATTGCAGAGAACACAAGCGAAAACCTACGAAAAGTATTGTCAATTATTTGATTATGTTTTTCAAATATGCCTGCTGACTGTGCTACAACAATTTAATATTTGCTGAAATAAATAAACCATTTTTTGCATCTAATATTTCATCAATCAGGATGATTCGAATTCAAGTATTATCGCCGGTCAGTGCAGTTGTAAACGATACACAACTGGAAGACAATGTAACAATTGCAAAGATGGGTATTATTTCATGACTGCTAGCAACCCAGAAGGATGCCTTGCATGTGAATGTAATACTGCTGGTATATTAAGCGGAAATGTGTCGTGTCACATAACAAATGGACAGTGTAACTGCAAAGCAAATGTGTACGGATTGAAATGCGGTGTATGTAGACCCGGGTTTTATGGTCTGTCAGCGAGTAATGTTGATGGCTGCTCCTCTTGCAATTGTGATCCATGGGGCTCGACTGCAAGTGCCTGCAATGTGAACACGGGTCAGTGCCCTTGCAAATCGTCTACAGAGGACCTAAGATGTCATCAATGTAAAGATGGGTATCACAGCTTAACCTCTAGTGGTTGCCAGCAGTGTAGATGCAGTGCGGCCGGGACTGATCCTGGTATGTAACGTGAAACTCGGAGTGAAACTTAAGAACTTTCCTTCTCTTTACACCAAAATGTGTACAGCTCAGTCTACCTGTCGGTATTGAGATCTCTCCAACAGATCAGACTCTCTCAATTAGATCTAAATGATAATTGCACTCGTCATCTATGTTTGGCCGTAATTTAAGGTCAACAAACGTTGCAGCCTGTATTTCTATTAGGGACAGCAGTTATGTTCCATTCTTGATCATTAAATATGTGTAACAACGTAATAAAACAAATACAAAGGATCATGATCAAAATAATTAAGTGGATAGAGTCTTTTATTATTTTGAAACTTGCAAGTTATCTATATATTTATCGGTTCATGGTATGATGATGTCACTGTATGGCATAATCGTGTGAGTTAATGTTAAGTAATTACCCCTAGAACCTTCTCTTTCTATCTGCTTTATTTGTTACCAGCTCAAATCAACCTATGTAACAAGACAACTGGCAACTGTGTGTGCCGTAGAAACGTTCAAGGACGCTTTTGTGATACATGTAAAGTCGGTTTCTACAACTTATCGAGAACTCATACTGATGGATGTCTTCCTTGCGATTGTGACACTAAAGGAACACAGGGTAATACTGGCCAGTGCAATCCACTGAATGGCACATGTAGCTGCAAGTCCCTTGTTCAAGGCAGACGGTGTAATGTTTGTAAGACTGGCACTTTCAACCTTACTGCAGGGAACAATGAAGGATGTACCAGATGTAACTGCAACCCAAAAGGGACAGTGAATGGTGCTACCACGCCACAAGGTAAGTGAACCACGCTGTTTGGAAAATGTTTTGGGAGCTTCCGTTCTTTTTAAAATTAGCACAGCCTCGAGGGTGTTCAATTACGTAGCTACGAGGATTATTCTAAATTAAGCACAATTTTCGCCATTTTTTCCAGGCATTTAGTGAATCTTTTGCTTGTATTTGACTGTGCGAGCGACTTCTGCCTGGCCTTACTATAATAAACCTACAAAAACAGATACTTCCTGATTTTATTCATCTTCAAACAACTTGCAAATATTTTTTCCCGAAAATATCTTTCCTGCAGTTACCCCTTGAAAGGTGGCCAACAGACATCTCCCTACAACAGAAATCTCCCTACCACAGAAATCTCCCTACCACAGAAATCTTCCTACCACAGATATCTCCCTACCACAGAAATCTCCCTACTAGAGACATCTCTCTTCAACGGACATCTCCCTACTACAGACATCTCCCTATAATAGACATCTCCCTATAATAGACATCTCTCTACAACAGACATCTCCCTACCACAGAAATCTCCCTACTACAGACATCTCCCTTCAACGGACATCTCCCTACTACAGATATCTCTCTACAACAGATATCTCCCTACAACAGATATCTCCCTACCACAGAAATCTCCCTACAACTGATATCTCCCCACCACAGAAATCTCCCTACCACAGAAATCTTCCCACAATAGACATCTCCCTACAATAGACATCTCCCCACAATAGACATCTCCCTACAATAGACATCTCCCCACAATAGACATCTCCCTACAATAGATATCTCCCCACCACAGAAATCTCCCTACCACAGAAATCTCCCCACAATAGACATCTCCCTACAATAAAAATGGACATCTCCCTACTAGGAACACTTCCCTACAATAGACACCTCCTTATTACCGACAGTATTTCAGTGACTTTGTTACTAATTTGTAATGTTGCTTTGAAGAAATATGTTTTTACCTTGATTTGATATCTAACATTATATTGTATCATTTTTTATCAGCATCCCTTCCGTGCTTCAGTAATGGTCAGTGCACTTGCTTAACAAATGTTGTTGGCCTCCGTTGTGATCTTTGCAGCAGTGGCTATTATTGGAATCCCAGTGGACAAGGATGCATTCAGTGTAACTGCAATATGCAAGGTTCATCTGGCCCATCTTGCAACGCGACTGGGTATTGCAACTGCAGAACAGGGAGTGGTGTTGGTGGGCAGCGATGCGACCAGTGCTTGCCAGGGTTTTATAATTATAACTCTGGAAGGTATGTGGGCAAAAAATTGCTTATATTGCATTTTTGAATATTTTTTATGGTTTATAGGAATGCCATTCAATACATGTAAAATTTAGAAATAGCGAAAAGTTTATTAAGTGGAACAAGCTCATAGGTCCACTCGCAACTCGAACACAACGAATTAAATTTCCTGGCCTCCATACACCGAGCCATAAAATTGAACAAGGCTAGATGAAATTTTTTGGCTACATCTCTCAATTCACTGCCTTCTCCAAACCCCCCCCCCCCCCCCCCGGCGTATTTACCTCCACATAAAAACGTGATTATGGCTGCATGTCCCTCCTTCAGTCTTATGAATATGGAAATAGTATTGGAAAAAGGAAAGACGGCCTACTAAGTTCGACTTACTTGATCGTTTGTTTTCACCACCCCCCCCCCCCATGCACTTGACAATATTCATGCCATGCTTAAACTATATTCAATTTGACCCCATCAATGCTTCGTCCAGACTCTTCCTCCTCAACCCATAACTGCACCAACCCCTAAACCACAATCGATTCTCTCTTGTCCCCCCTGACTTGGAATAACATGGGCTTCGTCTGAGTTATGTTGTTGTTGCACGAGGTTTTTTTAACAAGTTGATTGTTCTTTTATTAAGCTGCACGGCTTGTGGGTGCTCTGTCGCTGGTAGTGTTGTGCCGAACTGTGACTCGACGGGTAGATGCTTACAATGCAAACCAAATGTCCAAGGGTCGAAGTGTGATCAATGTAAACCTGGAACTTCAAACCTGCAAGCAGCTGATCCCTTTGGCTGCAGTGGACGTATGTTGGCATTCTTTATATACTCCGTCACACATCTTGTTCTAATTTTGTCTCTTTCCTAAAACCTAAGTTGCCTCTTCTCTAAGTTTTCTTTACCTTGATTTTTCTCCATTCGTTTTAAAACTTGTAAGTTACTTTACCTCGATTAGCTTTCTTTTTCTAAGATTTCAGCAGTCATCACTAGAATTATTTTTCATTTTCTGCTGGTTTTTGTATTGCAGCTCCGTCTGAGCAAGGGCCTGCAGTCATAACGAACATCACATCAACGTCCATGATCGCTTCCTGGTTTCCTCCGGACACACCAAACGGGCTTATATTACGTTACGAGCTGTTTAGAAACGGAACACTTGTATACAATGGTACCAGACAGTCGCATAGAGATACAGGTCTTGTTCCGTACACTTTATATTCATTTTATATCATTGTCCATACCGCCGGCGGCTCTACACGAAGCGTCGACAGCAACAAGGTTTATAGTACCCTCCAAGATAATCCGATTGGAATGAACCCACCCCAGATTGTCAATGTCCAAGCAAGATCGATTGAAGCAAGATGGCAGCCTCCTACATACCCTAACGGACGAATAATCGCTTACAGGATATCATCTACCAGCAGTCGAAGCTCTTCTTCAGTTCAACGTTACAGTGGACTTGGTCTAAGCACTCTTATCACCGGACTAAGGCCATTCACCATTTACAATTTCACTGTTACTGCTTGCAATATCATTGGATGCGTACAAAGTGACGTCACGACTCAAGCAACCCGCTCAGCTGCGCCTGATAGCCAGCCAGCACCGTACCTGAATGCACTTGATGGCGGACAGTCTATTTTCGTTTATTGGGATCCACCTGCTGAACCAAACGGAGTCATACAGTTTTACGATCTGTTCATGAGACAGTCTCCGTTCAATACTGCTGGTGCAACAACCGCAACAAAGTTGAACCCAACTCAGAGAAATTTTACCGTCACGGGGCTGCGTTCTTTCACTGAGTATGAGTTTCGTGTTGTATCCTACACGTCACAAGTCAAAGGAGACACTTCTAGCTCGTGGTCAAGAATAAGAACCTTAGAAAGTGGTATGCCAATCTTTGAAGCTTACTCTCTAACTTATTTTTAAGTATCATAACCGCAAAATTTAACCACTTACAAGCGGGGTTTTGGCACCAGAAGTTCTCAAGATACTGAACACTGCGAGGGGGGGGGGGTTTATTTAATGAATTTGATCCCAAAAGAACCTTACCCAACCTGAGAAATAACATTCTACGGCAGGAGTTTGGCTCCCCTGTGCGAAATTCATATTGGAGGGGAGGCTGCCCATTGCATTCCTTCTCATTCAGTACACTGTTATAGCGGAATTATACTACAGTTTGACAATTGTTGGGGGGCTCCAGCCCCCCTTTCCCCGGTTCCAACGGCCATGCTCCCTAGCCCTTTCCTGGTGCTGTTTCTACTTTCAGTATTCCTTTCCTTGAAAAGTTTCTACTTTTGTCTCATGCTAGGATTCTACGATTTCTTGTCTTGCCAGACAATATTTTATATGACAAGTCAATTTATTGAGATCTTAGAATTCACCTGCAATATTTTTGGTAGAATGAAAAATTCTCGTAACGATTTTATTTTTATTGCTTTCAGTACCGGCGGGGTCTGAATATATCAGCCCCAGGACCCAGGCAAGCTCAAGCAAATCAGTCAATGTTTCATGGAGTGCACCAGGGTCTCCAAATGGAAACATAACACGCTACGACATCTACAGATTTGAACCAGCTGATCTATCAACAGCTATACTTTCAAGCTCTGCATTGGGAACTGTCCGGGTATTTGTCGTCACGAATCTAAGGCCATACACATCGTATCAGATTGCAGTTAAAGCTTGCAATTCTAAAGGTTGCTCAGGTTTTAGCAGCCGAAGCACGGTTCTTACTCTACCTGATGGTAAGCACTATCTTATGAGCTTAGCTTTTGTAACCTCCATCAAGATACAATTTAGCAAAGGAAGTATAAAATGAAGTCATGATTCTAATGGAGCCCAGTCTACCAAATGTCGGCTGTTGCCTTGTAGGTTTTTGTGTGTGGATCGATCAAAGTGATTGTTCAAAGTTGATCATTTTATCGTGTTTTTTTGTTCAGTACACCTTATAACAAATTGGTATCCTATATGTAAAAATATAGTGAAAGGAGAGAATAAAAGCTATTATTTGATGCTTCTTATTATTATGTAGAATGTTATTCTTGTAGCCATTTGTAACTTAAGAAAATCATCTTATTGCTTCTAATTGTATCTGATTTAAAAATAAATCTAGTTTTTTAGTGGTTGTCAGAAAGAGTACTGACTTTACTATACTTCCTTTAACAGTTCCCAGCGGCCAAGGGTCTCCAAACGTCACTTCTGAAAACAGCTCCTCGGTTCAACTCACGTGGACTCAGCCAACCGTTCTCAACGGACCACTACCTGTCAGCTATCAAACTGAACGATCTTTTGCCGCTTTGAGTTACCCACCGCCTCAAGTAGAGCCAGGTGTTCGATTCCCAGGATTTGGTTTCTATAAACTGCCTTCGAGTATTATGCCTGATAGTGCAGAAACACGCCTAGAATTTAGCATTAGGACAAGATTTCCTGATGGCCTCGTTTTCTATGCAGCTTCGGACCAACAAGAGGACATGCTTGCTGTAGAGCTTCGATCAGGTAAACCGTGGTTCATTTTCGATACTGAAACTGGCCCGGCAGCCTTCACCGTCTCAGGGTCTATTCGAATCGATGATGGATCGTGGCACACTGTTCTTGTGACTCGCACAAGGCGTGATGGAGAGATTCGGGTAGATGGTGTTCACGTTGGGAGGGGATCTGGTGGGGGATCAGCGAATATCATTGGTCAAATATCTTCAGTTTACGTTGGGGGACTACCGACGAGCCACCAGAATCGAAGATCAGATACTGGTGACGTTGTTCTAAAGCGAGCTTATTTTATCGGATGCTTGAAAAGCATGAAATACAAGAATGTGAACATCGACTTCAACCAAGCCGTGCAGAGCTCCGTTGATCACTTATACACTCACTGTCCATCCGATTTAACTCTTGGCATTCATTTTAAAGGTGGTGGCTACGCTGTTTTGCCTAGTGGGAACTTCAGCGGAGGGAGCCTTTTCGTGATTCAAATGTTTATAAGGACGACATACAGTTCTGGGCTTCTGCTATTTGCATACGGTGGCAGCACCACTGCAATTGCTTTGACGATCGATGCGGGAAACCTGACATTATCGTTTAAAACCCCTTCAAGAACGGGTAAAGAAAGTGCCAGATACCCTCAGATTTGCGATGGTAGATGGCACAATGTGACCCTGACAGGGTTTTCGTCGCTCTCAGTTTTACACATAGATGGTTCCAGCCTGGCATTTAGTAGTGTACCACCTAATGCTATTGTCAACTCAAGGGTATATTTAGGGGGAGTTCCTAAAGAATCAGTGGCAGCGAATATGCTCAAAGCATTGATAAATACAGATTTTATAGCCTTTGGTGGCTGCTTGAGAAGCATTCAGTTTGCACGCAAGGTTGTTGTGCAGAGAGATGTGCTAGAAAGCCGAAATGTCGCATTCGACGGGTGCCCCGCTGATTTCGGACTGTCATCGTCAGTTGCAACATGCACTGATCCATCAAGGGTAGTAGGGCAAAGACAATCCTCCACTTCGACTGTAGATTCTGGACTTCGAGCATTTAGTGGTAAGTATTTTAGACTTTTGTTAAACTAGACTTACAAATTTTTTAATCCTATTCAGTTGTAACCTTAAAACGCCTAATCTAAATAGAGCTTGTATGCTATACGGAAAGTAGTTTCAAGGAACTGAATTTTTCCAACCTTTTGGTTACAATTCTTCAAAAATCATCCCGCAAAAGCGACATTGCTAAAATTTCTGCGATAATATTCTTTGTTTTAGTCATCGTCATAAAATAAGTGTTTATTGCCTTTTTTCGTCTCTATTATTTCGTTGATTGCTACTAACACTTATCAAAGATGAACAATTTTAAAGATAGCTCTTCAAAACAAAAGAATTTGATCAATAAAACCTCATTTTTCTTTTAGAATACTTGTACCGCATCAGGAGTTTGAGGGATGGGATTGCAGGATTTGCAGCGAGTGAATGGCTGTCAGTCAGAACCAGAGAGGGAGGTAATAGCCTTGTCTACAAATACTCAACCAGTTACTTTAACAATTCATTGCTTTTGTGTTCTTTTAAATTTTTTGACTGTGCTTTAAAACTCAAATCAGCTACAAAGAGCTCTTTTCATGGAACTGTACCAAGCTGTCGCTTCTCTTGGCCGGATGTGTACCCTTGTGCTGCTTAAGTCCCAACGCATGTTTAGAACATAGTGCATGTTTAAAACTAATGAAAAGCGGGCCTCTCACTTTCTGCAGCCTTTCAAAAGCATTGCACAGCAGCTAATCTTATTTTCAAACATACTACAAACGCGCACGAGGCTCTGTTTACTTACCAAACCTGGTCATATTTGCTTCCACTTAGAAATTTTGTTTCATTTATAATCATTTTGGGACGGCAACCCTGTCAGTCCATGAGAAGTGTTTTCCGGGAGCTGTGGCAAACGTTTATCAAATTTAAGTAGTATGTAAAAAACGCGAAACTGTTGAATCTAAAGACTCATGTCATTTTGCATTTTAAATGTCGATAAAACAAAACCTTGCACTAATTCTACAGTTGCTACTTCAGCTAAACTTGAAGTACCAGTGGGCACAAAAATTCTTAAACTGTCTCCATAATAAATTTGCAACCAAAGGTTTGCGATTTCAAAAATTTTCCCATCACTGTATCTTATTTTGCCATTCTCTTCTCACCAACTTCCTGAATACATTTCCCTCTTGCTATAAACCCTCGTTTGCAACTTCCCACTTTTTTCCTTATGTTATGAAAAATTAGGATTCTTTGCAAATGTTAAGGTTGGGCGATTGTTATTCCTTTAGCACCAAGTGGCATCGCTACTCCTATGCTACAAAGCTACCATGCAAGATGGATTGACGTCGGCTGGAGCAAACCTAGTGTGAGCGGAGGATTATTAACGAAATACCAAGTGCGAGCGATTGATGTTAGCAACGTATCTGCTGTTGCATTTGCTGACATCACTGACACATCAGTTAGGTCCCACAATCTCACTGGCGTACAGCCTTACACAACGTACAACGTAAGCATTCGTGCGTTCACCTCTGGAGGGTATGGTGCAAGTGACTTCCTTCAACTTACTACGAGAGAAGCAGGTAGGGATTTGCCTAAAGTATTTACCAATTTCTTCTTTTACCCTTCTATTTCCTCGATATGCCTTGTTTGATATTTATCCGCTGTTTCTCCTTTTAACTTTTTTTCTCAGCAAGAGAGGTTGAGGAAGGCTTTTATGCTTGCGAGTCAATAAAATCATTTTATTTCGCGGCAAATATTTTCTATGCCGGAGCGTTGGTATTAGCATTAAAGTAATGTATAACACCAATGTTTATAAAAACACGAGTAGTTTCAATCTCCTTTATATACCTCTGCTTTTCTGAAGCCCTACCCTAGCCTGGTAACCCTTGCCAACACCACAAAAATGGAAGCCCTTGCATTCTGCTTGTTTTTATATTTTCACTTTGTATTTCATATTTCATTCATACTTTTGAAATTCTCACTTAAAACTAGTATTTTTGCCGTTTCAGCACCGGAATCACTGGAGCCGCCCACCGCAATCGCATACCCACGCGCGTTATTCTTAACTTGGAAACCACCGCTGAAGCCAAATGGCAGAATCCTTTTATACCAACTAGAGGTGAATGGCAATGTATTAACAGTACGGTCAACTGATCCGCGGAGTTATAACGTAACTGGCTTAAATGTTTATACCAGATACCGTGTTATTCTGCGTGCTATCAACACTGTTGGTTTGACGTCATCAGAAGCATTCATATACACAGGCCAACTCCCCCCTACAGGAATTCACGCTCCCCAGCTACGCGTCCTTGGCAGCCGTAGGATCGAAGTAACCTGGCGCGTACCAGACGTTCCAAATGGAGTTATATCTAAGTATGAAGTCCTTGCCGCTACTTCAGATGTCGTTTCTCGATATGCAGTGTTGTACAATGCAAGTAGCAGTACGTTTTCTACTGTTACAGCGAATATGACGCCAGGCATGTTGTATTACTTTCGCATCGCCGCATCAACCGCAGGCGGGCGTACGGTTGGTAATGTTTCTACGGCACAAACCTTTGAAAGCTCCCCTGAAGACGTGCTACCACCTGTTTGTGTCCCCATTTCGCCAAACTCCATCAACGTGACTATACAAATCCCGTTAAAGCCAAACGGTGTCATTATATATTATGAACTCTACCATAACGGTGTTCTAGTAAAAAACGACACCCGTTTGTTCTTCCAAGGAACAGGTTTTCTCCCGTACACGAGACATACTTACAAGACAAGGGCTTGCACTGCTAAAGGATGCGGAGAAAGCAGCACCGTTGTTGTATATACCTTAGATGCGCAGCCGCTTGGAAATGTGATTTTACAGGCCAATGAGACAGGCTCCAGATCTTTTTCCGCGCGGTGGACTGCAGTTCCGACACCAAACGGAATCATAAGGTATGTCTAGTTTTCTGATGTAGTCTTTACCCAAGCATGTGCATCGAATTGTCGAGCAGCTATTCAAATGTACTTTTGCATGGAACTATTTGATAACTTTCAGAAATCAAGCTATGAAGTAAAGTCCCTTTCTCGCCTTGGTAAATATCGGGCCAGATCGGGGATCAATGTAACGAAACGATAGAAAGAACAAATATGATATAATAATTTTCCCTTTGTTGATATTTTGCGTCTCAATCTTCGAATTTTTTTAAAGCCGCCCTTGTGTATATCTGGTTGTCCATTCTGGGAATTGGTTGTTTTTGTCCTTAGGTACGCTGTTTATGTCACTGGGCATTACTACATCAACGTCGACTCTACCGGAAATCCGTTAACATACCACACACGTAACATGACCAGAATGGTGTACAATGGCAGTTTAGCTAATGAAGTTTTTACGTATAACGGGCTATTACCATTCAGTTACCATGTAATACAAGTGAATGCTTCAAACAGAGCAGGTTACATCCTGAGTAACACAGTTGGATTTTCAACTCCACCTGATGGTAAGAATATGTTGACAATTGCATTGAGCTGCACCACTTCAACTTTTCATTTAGCTCATCAAACTTCTAGCACTGCTTCTAATAATACTTTTTCCCTTTTTTCATTTGTACTCTTTTGCTTACTATTTCCTGCAATGCAATCTTTTTATTTTCTCGTATTTTAGCGCAAACATTGCCCTCAATTCTGCTCTAACAGTGATTATTTTGTTAGATAATGTGTTTGCATCATCGCTCGAATTTCTGCATCCCTTCCTCACTTGTTTTGATAATTTTTTACAACCACATGAAATCACATTGACTGAAAATGTTAAGACTCACTGGAATATAATTGCGCGTCGATCGAGGCTTCAAAGCAATTCATGTCGTCTTTGCTTTCTATTATATTCAGCACGCTGTCTTCTAAATCGTCGAAAGAATTTTGCTTCAAGCAACTATAGTTTGCTTCTAGACATTCGAAAATTGTATTCTGCCGTCGCCAATTGATGTCCATCCATTTGTTGTTTATTCACAAACAGATTTTTAATTGCCTAAACTTGACTTTGACAGTGGCCTGATGAGGTTTGAAACTCAGAACTGTCCTGTTTTACACATAAATGCGTACACAGCTCTGCCTGAGTAACATAATTACAATATATTTATAAACCGATAAAATATTCTTATTTTACAGCTCCTGAGGGTGTCCTAGCCCCGATCATTCTCGCAATCAATTCAACAGCATTGAATGTCTCTTGGAGTCAGCCTCAGAGACCCAATGGTTTGATAAGATCTTATCAACTGGTTGGTCGGTTTCCTTCTCGAAACTCAATAAATGTAGATGTCTTATACGAGGCGGGTATTTACTTCCGCAAGCTTATTGGTAGCTTACAGCCTTACACCAATTACAGTTTCAAAATAATCGTCAATGGAACTGGGGGAATAAGTGAAAGCGCTTGGCAAAATACCACGACTCCTCAAGATGGTAAGTACTTAGAAAACTGGGAAAGGGCATCCAATATGTCCCATATCGGGTTAGGCTTCTAATATTGTGTGTCTGTTTAGTGCCATATCAGGTTAGGCTTCTGATATTGAGTTTTCTTGGAAACAGAATATCTTAATATTTCTTTTCCAAGATTATAATATTTTTTAGACATAAATGTCAAAGCAGTTGCCTACAACTACTTTTCCCATGTCTCCCTCATTTTTAATAGTTGGAGATTAAGTTGTATTTGCTGTTCAAGGTCCTACTCCGTTTATTATAGCCCCCCTTTTGGCCTTTTACGATAGTTCCAGCACCCTTTCTATTATCTGTCCTTCTTATTAGGCCCTTGAAAGTAATCTTTGTTATGTTTTTTAGTTCCAGAGCACATTGATCAGCCAAAAATCGTAAACATAGAATCACGGACTGTCTTTGTCGAAATTTCTGCGCCTGCCAAACCCAATGGTGTTATTATTCATTATATACTATACTTGAATGGGACTGAGGTAAACCGAACTCTAGAAACGAGATTCGAGGCTAGAGGATTGATGCCGTTCTCCTTTTACGATGCGTATGTCAGTTGCTGCACTGTTATTGGCTGCAGGTCGAGTGTCAAGACAAAGCTGTTTCAGACATTGCAAGATGGTAAGTTTGTGTTTGTGCTCAAGGCATGCTTTGTTAAGTCATGTTATTCTTAAAGCTCAAAAGATAGGACTGATTTTATGGATCACTACAAATTTTTCTTAATTTCCAGTACTTGTTCAAAATGCCTTATTCCTGCATGAACAACCTAAGTGCACTAACAACCTAAGTGCAAAAGTTGACTTCACTCATTTCAATTTGAGAATGCTGTAGGGAAGTAAAGCAAATTTCGTCGATGTTTTGTTTTTTAATCCGTTCGCTGAAATTATATCGACTTTCCTTCAACAGTACCTGCCGGATTATCAGCACCAACTCTGCAATCCAATGGTTCCAGAACAGTGATCGTACGTTGGACGAAACCTTTGACTACAAACGGCATCATACTGGCCTACCAAATACAAAGAAGACTTGCAGGCGACGCTCACCCCGTCGTAGTTGGAACTGTCAACGCAACAACATCCCCCAATATCTTCATTGATCGAACAGTGAAACCTTGGCGAACATACGAGTTTAGAGTCATTGCGAGGACAATCGCCGGGGGAACACCAGGGCCATACAGCTCCATCTCAATGCCTGAAGGAGGTGAGCCTACGTAATAAGTTAATGCCAGTCGCCTTAATGCTGGTAAGATTGAGAAAAAGTGGCAAAGACGTCATTGTTTATAGGGCTAACTGAAGCAGTAACTGTGCCTTCACATGTTTTGAGAGCATTTAAAGCCTTGTCTAGAATCACTTTCTGTTTCCCTGCCTAGCTTTCAACGCTTGTGCAAGATATTGAATCAACTTAAAATTTATTGTTGTTATATTCCAAATGATCCTGCATTGAATGAAGTCTTCTCCATTTTGCCAGGTTTCTCAAAATAGAATTAAAAGAATTCTTATTAGTATTGCTAAATGCTAGTCAATCTTTGTCAAAAAACCAGATGTAACTGTCACTAAAGTTTCTTCAAAATCAAAACTAGATTCTCTTCTTACTCATGTATCATTTAGAAAATCGAATGAACGCCCTTTGTTGGTATGAGAAGTTGACAAAGTGTCTTAAATCTTGGTTGTTTTATTTTTCAGATCCCGAGGGCATACCTGCTCCAAATGTGACAGTTCTGTCTCCCTCAAGTCTGCTCATACAATGGTCGAGCCCATCTAGTCCAAATGGTCATGTAATCCACTACTACGTCATAACATCTGGTCGTCGAGAGCTAGTCAACCGTACAACAAACCTTTCGTATACATTGACTGGGCTTGGGTCGTATATTCAGTATTCTGTGGTTGTAGCAGCTTGTACTATCGGAGGCTGTGGAAACAGTGAACCAACTCAAGCAAGGACCCTCCCTTCTGCACCAAATGGTCAACCCACTCCAATGGCCAGTGCTCTCTCTGCTACAAGTTTGCGAGTTCGTTGGGGCAATCCCACCCATCCAAACGGTCCCATTGTTCAATTCATCTTGTCAAGGAGGACTGCTGAAGATCTGGTTACAGGCTCCCCTGGAACCTTGTACCCTACAAGCTGGATAGTTGTCTACAGGGGGTCAAGTCAAGTTTATGATGACGTTGGCCTTGGAATCTATTCTTTACAACAATACAGGGTAATAATTATTTTCATGGATCGTGGTCCACGATATTTTGTATGACGAGCATTTCTCTTCCTGTAATAAAGAAGTTTCAAATGAATGTGTTCAATTCATTGAAGGAAATTATGGATAGTTCGGAAAGGTGTTCCATGAACCAAACATGCTGTTAGCTGTCTATTTGCAATTACACTAAATATATAATATTTTAATCACCACAGTAACATGATCAATTTGAAGCCTTCAATGCGTTTTTGTGTTTAACACCCAAGGTTCAAGTGGAAAGTTACAATTCAACGTATTATATATGCACATAAGAGCTACCTATATTCAAATTCATATTTCTTCAGTTCAAATCTAAATTCTAAACGTATTCAGACCATATTCTGAAGAACCTGTTTCTAATGCCTCTGTCAATTCAAGGTTTCAAATGTTATTTTCGTCTTCTTCAGGTGATGGCTGTTACTACTATGGGCAATACAAGTAGCAACATATCAACCTCGTTCAGAACAGGGGCAGCCTCGCCTCTGCAGGGTGTCAATCTCACTGCATTCGCAATAGATCATTCATCAGTCAGGTTGGCCTGGACATTGCCTTCCTTGCAGATGCTCAGAGGACCTGCAATTCGCTTTGATATTTCATACGAAATTGTTGGTGGACCTGTCTTCATTTCGGGCTCTTTGCAAGGCAATGAAACAGGAACAATTATCAATAATCTCAAACCAAGAACTCGCTATGCCTTTGAAGTAAGTTATTTTGAATACAATAGCAGTGTTTATGATTTGTAGAGCTTAAGCTGATTGCTGTTGTTTGTAGCCCACTCTATCTTTTGTTGACTCGTTGTTTGTAGTCTCGACACGAAAGGCAGACCTTTGATATTTAGAATAATATTTGGAACAATTTTAGCGCTTTAGTTTTATGCTAATGTCAGAAAATCTTACAGTCATCTTTTATATTACCTTATCCACTAATCAATCTAGTAATGTTAAGTAAGGTTAAACTAGTGAATTATAGTAACAAATGTGACTTTATGTAGACTGTAACGCCTCTCTAAGTGGATGTCGTAGGCCAGAGGGAAATGATAGCACTTTTCTTTACGCTGGAGAATGTTAAAAAAAGATTAAAGATGTATCAAACATTCATTACTTTAGCAAAAGAAACCAATTGTGTTGTTGCCTTCGTGTTTCAAAGGCCTGTATAACCAGCCATTTTGTCACATTTCAGGTCACTGTATTCAACGGAGCAGGCTCTAGGGCGAGCCCTAAGGCAACAGTTCAGACACTGGATGGTTGTAAGTTGACGTGCAAGCCATTTTTACTGTAGAATCAATCTATTGTTTCTTTACATTCAAGTTAGCATAAAATATAAGTGATTGAATGACTTTTATCGCATTTCGGAAAATATCATACAGCTCCCAAATCGCCTCGCATTGGTTCCAAAATTCAATGTTCCAAAATATTTATCCGCTCACCCCCTCAATATTTATCTAATAGTTATTGCTCATAAGCCTTATAAATAATGGTATAAAAAATCTAAACAGTTCAAACTTTTGTTGCCGTTGCTTCCCGAACCTATTTTATAACCAAACTTCTTACCATAGTCTTTCTATAGTTTTTTCCACGATTATTCTCATACATTCTCAATGTAAGTTATCGTTCTATTAAAGTTTCTACAGTGTACCCAACTGTCTTTATCTATTCACAGCTCCTGAAGGACTGGCTGCGCCCACTCTCTATGTTGTTTCATCGTCAGCAATTAGAGTGTCTTGGACAGCTCCACGTGTCCCAAATGGTGTCATTGTCAATTACACTATTTTTGGGTTCGTATATCTCATATCATGTAATTAAGGGAACTACTTTCTTCATAACAAATTCTTCTGGTCTTATCTAATTTTCCTCTACCCTTTTTATATATACTGTTTAGCTGCTGAAGAGAGTTAAAATTGGTTTAATGTAAAGCAATTTCCTTTAAAGAAAAATCAACAGATACATAAGAACGTTAAGTCACCTGCGAATCAGCATAGGTCAGTCAACAAGCGTTTTACCATCCAGGAGCTTCTTGATTGGCCAAAAGCTGATTTGCAGATGTCTCAAGCTGTTTAGTATTTGTGGATTTTCTCTTTATCTTTGCAAATAATCATCGAGCCAATGATTTGCCTTTCATGAAGAACTTTTTCTAGTTGTGCTTAATTTTCAATGATTGTGCTGGAAGTAAAATGGGCAAGACGGTTTGAATCAGTTTAGAAGACGAAGACGCCTCTAGGAAGATGCTTGACAGAAAGCACAACTTTGGTAGTATAAGCTAAGGATATGATGAGACAGGGCCGGAACTTCGTTGGCCTTCCATCGCCGTTACTATGCTTTTATTCACTTGCACGCGGCTGGATACCTAAATCAAGGGTCGTACCTGGATTCAAATCCATAATGCTTTGTACAGTAGTCAAATACCTATTTATCTGGCTTCTCACAACTGGCGAGTCTTGAATGAGACAGCGCCTATACTGAACCCAGAAAACACTCAACATTGTTTTTGTTCGTTTTTCAGAAACAATAAGCCCTACGATTCTGTTTCTGGCACCACCTATTCTCACACGCAATTCAACTTAAAAGCATACACTGATTTTACGATACAGGTAAGTTGCACGCTTTGCACTTTCGAAAATCTGAACATTGTTTTATCATGTACGTTGAAGCATCAATCACCAACAAATACAGAGCCTTTTGTTGGGGTTTTAGCTTGTAGGGTACTAAAGATCACTGGATAGAATTTTTCTAGGAATCTTCCAGAAAACGCAGAAATCATCTCACATTTCTATAGAATTTTCACCGGACAATCATCTGTAGATAATTCTCATTGTCAAGTTTTCATACTCTGACCGTTTGACAAAATGAAGTAGGCCTTGTAGTGAAACTGTCTGTTTTCGTTTTTTCCTTTAGTTTTCAGCAGCTCATCATTTCATTTCAAAATGGCCTAAAGGCAAATGTGCCTTTAATGTTTTCTATTTTCTTCCGTTTTGTTTTTGCTGTCGTTGTTTTCATAACCTTTGTTTGAAGGCGTCTATTTTGAATTAAACTCAATATAAGGAACAGCAAAAATAGTATGTATTTTGCCGATAGCAAGCATATTTGTTCTGAATGCCATAGTGCAATTTCACTTTTCGTTTTGTATTGGATTTGATAGGAGTTCAATGTGACAAACTTTGAACCAACAGTTCCTTCAGTTCACCGTTTTGGGTATTTGACGCCTCTACGTAAGAAAGCATTGTGATGGTAACTGCATAACATACCAAGCCAGCCTAACTGTTTGTTTTCAATTCAGGTCAGAGCTTGTACGCAATACGCATGTACACTTAGTGGTGGGACAATCGCAAGAACACTAGCAGCACGTGAGTTATATGATAGTGCCAGTTTTGACTAAACTCTCTGTTAGTTCTCTATGCAATTTAGAACAATGATTTATACCTGTCAATACTTTGAGATTCTGATTTCTTTAGACAATGAGTATCAAATCTTTGAAAATCCAAATATTTAGTCGAAAATATGATTCACGGTTTATCTGCTTGTGTTTTCAGCTCCTGGACTGATAAATCCACCACAATTGCAACCTTTGACTTCATCTTCAGAGTTCGCTGGTGTAAGTTTGAATTATAGTTTATTTATTTTCATTCTTCTTACACGCTTTCTTATTTCACAATATAATTACTATATATCATGTCACGAAACACCGGAAACACAGCATGCTAAAGTACATATTCATCCAACACTGTTCAGAGTATAAACGTCGGATAAGGACCGGAAGTAAGCAGAAAATTTATATCCAGGTTTGGATCGAAAGTAACGTGAGAGGAAGAAAGACGCGTCTGATTGGTTCTTTTTTTACCAATCAGCATCCGCTTACCTCTCACCTAGTTGGAGATTCCAAGAGAGAAAAAAAACTCTACACAAGTCGGGATCCTTTGTTTTGATGTAAAAAGTTTTTTATATGAGAAAGCTATAGAAGCTTCGGAATGTTTTTACCATCAGCTGATAGAGAAGAAAATCTGTGAGAATGGAGACAAACTTTTTTATAGAGACATTCTAGAGTTGAAAAAAATAACAGAACGCAAATATCTTCTGCCAGAAAGTCCAAAGTTTTCTACCTTGTTCTGAAAGTTATACCATCTTTTAGCATACTTTTTCATACTTAACATTTAACATACTTAACATACAAATATTTTTTCAATTTTGCAATAGCATTACCTGTTGAACCAAACGGACAAATGGTTGGATATCAGTTATACAGAAGAAAAGTCTACAACTGCCCAACCACGTAAGTTTTCCCATTGAGCTCATTTGTTTTCTCTTCTTGACATAGGGGTTTCATTTGTTAGTAATTTTGCTCTCTTACAATCGTGAGCATCGTGAATTGGCTTACATTTCCTTTTTTTGGTGCACTACATTCACCTTTGAGAAACAGATACTGCAAGCGTTTTAGAAAATCGTTTAGCCATCTATCTTCCATTTGATTCATACAAATTTGGTGTTTGATCGTATCTGAACAAAATAACTGTCTACTTCCAGACAAAACCCAATTGTGAAATGTACGTACATTGAATGCAGTATTACCGAACAGATATGCAATGGGAGGTGCTACAATCCTTCAACTCAGGTTTGTGTAATTTTGACCCAACTTACCTCAGTATTTATATAATGTGAGGATGTCGCTAAACAGTTATTTAGTGCTGACATTAGCATGGCTTTTCCTAGAATTCAGACATGGTAATGTTTATGCTACATTTTGGTTTAAAGAACATGACAGTTCTAAGGTGCTTATTAAAGTTTTACGCTTAATGCGATCATAAGACAACACTGAATGAAATAAGTAATTTTAATGCTTTATAACTTTTATTAACTCTTGCTACATTGGATTTGTTAATAGAAAAGGAATTGAGAGAATTGTATTAGAAAAGAGTTTTGGAGAGATTTTTTATTTCTTGGTTGCCCTATGGTGCAGCTTGTTCAATTTTGTTGGTTTCTTTTATCAAAAATTACAACTTATACACGGTCTTTTATTTATAAATTTTATTTTGTCCAAGAAAGTACATTGCTAAGCACATCGAATCTAAAGATCATATTGAATGGTTTTGTATGATATCGTGAAAACAAGAATCTGAAAAATATCACTCTTTAATGGCAGGTTTCATGACTCTTTTTCAGATATGCTGCGATGGATCACTACATCAGATTGACAGTACGAAGTCTTGCTGTGGAAAGAACTACATTCGCAAGAATTCTCCAACAGATGTGTGCTGCGGAGGATCATTTCATTTCAGTCAAAGTGGCTACCAATGCTGTCATGGACATTATTTGAATGTTCCTGCGGGTTCTATTTGTTGCCGAGGCCAAACCGGTGTTGTTGTTGGCCTTGGAAATACTTGCTGCGGCGACGTACCTTTTAACGTTAATGGGACAAAATCGTGCGTTTGCGGAGCTCTATACGATCGGTTAGTACTATGAACAATTGAAAATTTATCGGTTTAGGCACTTGGCCACTGCAAGCCGCCATTTTTAACTACCGTTTCCATATTTTTGTATGCTAAGTGTACATAGCTATTTGAATTCGTCCGTCCTTGGTGCTAGGCCGTCTTTACACTAATATTTGGAACTGGCTTTTTTTTCTTCGCTGCTCGTTATCTTTGTTGGTACCAGTTTGCAATGATTGTTCTATTGTCACTAATATAGACAAAATAACACTGCCTAGCAAATTAACTATAACAGTAAAAATTTGTTTAGTAAATATTACATGAAGTGAAAAATTCCCAAATGAAATGAGAATATAGAGTCCATACTTCCATACAGGACGTTTATGATATAGTTACACACGTTTTAAGCGTAAGACATTTTAATTCTTTGCAGGTTTCCACTTCGAAAATGTTGTGGTAGACAGGTAATCTCAGGGGCCGAACAGTGTTGTGGAAACGAAACAGTGGGCACGAAATACGACTACAATGCAACAAAGTCTTGCTGTGGAACTGATTATGTTGACAGAGATACCTCGCTTTGCTGCGGTAACAGTGTTGGGCAGTTTAGGGTAAGCATGCAAAAGATAATTGGATGAACGTGCAATATGAAGCGATTTCATGGGTACTTGAAATAACGTGTCTTCTACCACCGGAATAGACCTTGCTTTTCTTAGCGGTAGAAAAACCGTAAGGGAGGGGAAATTTTGAAAACGCTGTTAAACGATGTTTACTTGAATAACAACAAAAAACTCAGTTAGAATGGTTGTGTTATAGCAAGATCAATCTAACAACAAAACGAAGCTCGGCACAAAAGCTTGGAGAAAGCGTTGAAGTCATTATCATTGCTAAAATTTTGAACAGCCTTTGCATAACTTAGAATGGATGTGTAAATCACGCACAATCTGCTTACCGAATCCCATGCAAGTTCAAAACTTTTTTGAAGATTTTACACACTCATTCAAATAGAATAAGATCTTGTACACTAAGCAAAATCTAAATGTATTTTTTAAGAATTTTCAAGTCGAAAAGGCTTTCTTCATATCTATGCAATAGAGTTCTGTGAGATATTCCGTAATTTGTGCATGCAGTTTTTTATATATTTTACCAATAAAGATTTATGTTCGTCCTCTACAGGTGCATTCACATTCAAGTGTGGTGCAGAAGTCCCTTATGAAGTGCTGTGGAACCAATCAGATTTTGCAGACAACCAGTTGCTGTAACAATCAAAGTTATGACAACAGTTCTCAATTTTGTGCTGACAGATCGACATACAGTGAGACGGACTGTGGCAGCGGTCGAGTTTGCCGTAGGGATCAAGCCGCTAGCGCCTATTGTAATCGATGTGATTTCAACCCAATCCGATCGATATGTGGCAGTGTTGCTGGGTATTTTGATGCATCTGCAAACGCTACTAACAGCACAGTTAAACTTTGCTATGATAACTTTACAGAGGTTCTGCGTAACTCGCGAAACCCAAGCATATTGGCGTTTGATGATCAAAATCTTTTACCTCATACATTGTATGATTATTATGTTGTTGGGATAAATACCGAAGGAAGATCAAGAAGTAGAGAAAACAGAACACGGACGCTGATGGCCACACCAGATGGCCTAGCTGCTCCCCAGACAACAACACTCTCAGCCACTAGGATCGCCATCACGTGGTCTGCTCCTACTCGCCCTAATGGAGTTATTCAAGCCTATAGGCTGTATCGAATCAAATGGACAACCAAACAAGAGACACTGGCCTTTTCTGGCCTTTCCTTTTCACATACCGATTCGCAAGGTCTTGAGCCTTTCACAGGATACATGTATATCATCAGCGCCTGCACAGTGCTCTGCGTCAACACATCGGCTGCCTCCTTGGTATATACCGAGCAAGCTGCTCCACAAAATGTCCAGGCACCAATCCTTAGAGCAATTAGCCCCACTGCTATTCAAGTCAACTGGACTGCTCCGGGAAATCCAAACGGCAATATCATCCGATACAACGTGAGCAGAATCACGAATGGAACCCATGTCTCGATTTTACCAGCTGGTGATCTAGGCCTATCACTTTCACGCACAGTAACAAGTCTATCCCCATATACACTGTACACTTTTAATGTCACTGCATGTACGTCTGTTGGCTGCTCTGCTGGCCCTTCTGCATCTATTCGTACCCTGCAGGCTCCTCCAGAAGGCTTGGATCGACCCTCACTCACTGTCATAGATAACAGAACAGTTGAAGTTGAATGGAAACAGCCAACGGTAACAAATGGTGTTATCCTGAGCTATACACTGTATCGCAATTCTAGCCGCGTGTATCAAGGTTTATTACTTCGATTCACAGACAGAGGCCTGACACCAAACATGATTTATAGCTATAAAGTCAAAGCAACTTCTGGTGGTGGAGGCACGAACAGCTCGTTGTCCATTGTAAAGATGCCTGAGAGCACTCCGGCAGGTATTGCCGCACCAAACATTGCTTCAGTTAGCTCCTCCCAGCTACGTGTGTCATGGCAGCCACCTAGCCAACCCAATGGAATTATTACGCGATATGAACTGATTTATAATGAACTAGGCTTAGACCAGAGAACAATTCCTGTGAACCTAGTCACAACATATACCATCAGTAGCTTAAAGCCTTTCACTCAATATGAAGTAAGGGTTACAGCATGCACTGTCAAAGGATGCGGAACTGGAGGTCGATCTGTAGCACGTACTCAAGAAGCTAGGCCATCTGGACAGCAACAGCCAACACTTTTCGCGAGATCATCTTCGATAATTGAAGTGAGCTGGAGACCACCACAATCGCCTAATGGAATTATCACTCAATATAAGGTATCGCGAAAGGAGCTTAATGCGGTGTTGACATTCGTTGTGTACATTGGTACAGCACTGGATCATATCGATACGGGCTTGAAGCCATACACGTCTTATCAGTACAAAGTAGAGTCCCGAAATAGCGCTGGCTTTGTGGAAAGCCAATGGGCGGTGGCTCTAACTGCTTCTGGCATACCTCAAGGACTGTCAGCTCCATCTGTGACCGTTCTAAGCGGGGTTTCAGTTCTTGTATCCTGGTCGCCCCCAACAACCCCAAATGGTTTGATTACTGGATATGAAATCAAAGCCAGGACATTGTCACAAGCCAGTAGTGAGTTCGTCGCACGTTGCTGTATTCCTGCACATTTATTGAACATAACAGTGCTAGGACTCAAGCCCGCGACAACATACGAGTTCAGAATGGCAGCAATGACATCAGCAGGGTCTGGATTCAGTAGCTGGACGTCAGCACGCACGCGCGAGGACCGACCTGCAAATATAAGCAGTCTTCGAACCAACAAGAACCCAGATGGACGAGGGGATGGAACAAGTCTACAGGTTTTATGGAGCCCCCCATTGAATCCCAATGGTGTTATAACAAACTATGTACTATATCTTGGCAAAGACATGGTCTATCAAGGATTGCAGCTACAAACAATAATTCGTCGACTCACCCCATATACTAATTACACATTCACCTTAGAAGTCTGTAACTCTGCTGGTTGCACAAGAGGTAACCCTCAGATTCTGATAACTGCTGAAGTACTTCCGCAGGGACAAATGGCTCCATCTGTTGGTACATTTACAGCAACTTCTGTGACTTTGAATTGGAGGCCACCCTTGTCTCCGAACGGATTCATTATACGGTATGATGTGTTGCGCAGGGTAGGTGCCACTACCAGAAGAAAAAGACAGACCCTTGAAACTATTGTTTATTCTACAAATGAAACGATGAAATCTGCATTCACATACAATGACTCTAATCTTTCTCCATTCACCACATATCAATATAAGATCAGAGCAGTCAACTCTAAGGGTCAAATAGACAGTGACTGGCAGACGATGACAACAGATTCTGCTGCTCCTGGAGGAGTACAACCCCCAAATGCAACAGCTCTCAGTGGCTTCAGTGTCAGACTGCAATGGGCTCTTCCACGTGCACCAAATGGTGAAGTCAAGTATTATATTGTTTTCCGCAATGGTACTCGAGTAGCCACGCAAACTGGGAGGACATATCTCGATTCTAGTTTGAGTCCTGTTACCCTGTATCGATACACAGTAAGCGCCTGCACAGTAGCAGGTTGCACAGTGAGCAATGCTGTTGATGTTATTACGCTGGCTGCAGCTCCAGGCGATATGCGACCACCGATTTTGGAAGCTCTTGATGCAAACCGAATAAGGGCGACATGGACTGCTCCATCTGTGCCTAACGGACAAATACAGAAGTACCAGCTGAGGTTATCAAGTAGCCAGCAACCTTTGTTTGAAGGCCTTGCAAACACTTATATAGTATCTGGTTTGAGTCCGTACACACTCTACTCTCTTACGATAACTGCATGCACCTCCTTTGGATGTGGGTCGCCAAGCACTCCAGCCCTCACCCGCACAATGGAGGCTCCTCCGCAAGATTTGGATCCTCCTTCTCTGTTTGTTTTAGGCCCGACAACAATAGAAGCAACATGGAGGCCTCCACGAACGCCAAATGGTGTTATTCTATACTACACACTAAAACGAGGTACTGCTATGGTTTGCAATGGAACATATTTGAGATGTTTTGACGGAACAGTAGCTCCTGGTAGAAGCTACGTGTACACTATAAGTTGCACCAATGGAGCTGGCAGTGTTACTAGCATATCACAGCATAGTCAGACGACAAGTCCTAGTGCACCTGAAAACGTCTCCCGACCAAGTCTGCAACCACTCTCATCCTCTTCCATTCAAGTAAGTTGGACACCTCCCCTAAAACCTAATGGCGCTATAATCAAATATTACGTCTTGGTCGGTGGTCGAGAAATAGACGTTGCAAACAATCTGTATTATATTGTTACGAACTTGAACTATTACACTTTGTACGAATTCAGAGTAAGTGCTTGTACCAGCGCTGGTTGCACCAGTGGGCCAGCTGCTTCTGCCAGGACACTAGAGGCTAAACCGACGAATCAAAGTGCACCAATTTTCCACAGTGGTAATGTTGGGTCACGGTTTATAGTTGCTGAATGGTTACCACCTCTGCATCCGAATGGCATCATAAGAACCTATGAATTACGTCGTCGCTCCTTCGGTGTTGCAGAGAAGACTGTTTACACTGGGCCCTTGCGTATCTACAACGATTCAAGTTCAGATATACAACCTAACGTAAAATACGAGTACCAGGTTATATCCACCAATAATGCTGGCAGTGCCCCCAGCAGATGGGCTCCGGTCACAACTGCCATTGACAAGCCGGAACAAGTAAAGGCAGTCTCTATATTGCCTCAAGACATCAAATCTGACTCGTTTGTTTTCAGTGTGGAGGAGCCGGGGAAGCCAAACGGCCGTATAGTATCATACACCATCGAAATCGTTGGTGTCAGAAACATAACTTTAAATTCCGTGAAGAGAGGTTCTGTAACGGGGCTTACTGCATTTACAGAATATTCCGTCCGTATGTACGCATGCAATACAGCTGGTTGCACGAGGGGCCCAGCAACGATTGTCAGGACTGCAGCCTCTGCTCCGACTGGATTTGTTGATGCACCCGTCATTGTTTCTAAGACATCTAGGTCTGTGAATCTTCGCTGGAACCCGCCAGCAAGCCAAAATGGTCCAACCGTGTGGTGCGTATTTCCATTTCATTGCTTATTATTTTAACATCCTCATCATAAACATCAACATTGATGTCAACAAATTTTGCATGGTCTTCTCAATAAACTCCAATGAAACATACTGTACATTTTTTATTTAGTAACCTATAGAAAATCTTTATAGTTTATGCATAAATGCTCCATAACTTAGGGTCACTTCTTTAAAAATTCCATAACTGGGCTGTATCATTTCAGGTATCAAGTATCTCAACGATTCGTGTGTCCACAAGCTTCGATTCCTCCTCCGATTTGTAATCCATCTTCACAATCATACAATGCGTCGAATCTGACCATTTACTCAGTAACTGGACTTCGCCCTTACGTTAGTTACTTCTTCAAAGTGACCGTTCACAACAGCGCTGGATCTGCGCAAACTCCAGAAGCAACAACAACAACTACTGCTGAAAGTAAGTAGTGTGTTTCTCTACTATCTAGCAGTTGCATTTCCAACTTCATGATTTTATTGGACCTTGTACATCTCGTATTCAACATCATCGTTGCTGCCTTATCTCAGTTCTAAGACAACAACGGTGTCTTTTTTTTGCAGACCCTGTTGTGCTCGCCCCTCCGAATGTAACTGTGGTTAGGAACACTATCACGATTGAGTGGACACGATCATTTGATTTGCGCAGTCTCTTAGAGGAGTATTCTGTGGAAGAAAACCTTATTCAGGCATACACGGGCAACAAGCTCTCAGTTGTCAGGCCGAACAGAGAAGTTGGAGGTAGAATTCTTATTTAGTCAAATATTCTTATGCGTTTTGTTTTTAGGTTGGGAAAGTATGGTGTTACTCATAATGGTTTCTATGTTTTAATTGCGTTCAATGTACCAAATTATAGAAAAGTAATTTTTGTTTATTATGCCTACAATAATCAGAAATAGTCAAAGAAGACAGGAGTTTTTTTTAAAATGATAACCATTTTATCCTTAAGAATTCAAAGTTTTTAAAGTGTTTAAAGTGGAAATAGCTTATAGAGCTGGGCTGCAGTGCTGAAGGCGTTTCGTTCAATTCAAAGGATCGACCCTTGAATTGGAACGTTGCTTTTTTCCATCCCAGATCAAAAGGGGGGACTGATGAGGCCAAAAGGAATGGCCAAAGTAACTGGCCACCCTACCTCTGCATGCTGTTGTCCTCTTTAACAGGCGCTCCTATGCACGGATCCTATCGAAACTCTCATTTACTCCACTCGAATGTGGTTACAACCTTTCCGGTGATGGTAGTGAAGTTAAACACAGTTTAAATTATAAATAAAAGCGTACTGGAGCGAAAATTTCAAAAGTTTAAAAGGCTTCAGTGCTACGAAGCAAGTAACTTGTCTATATCGAAAAATTCTCCAATAACTAATAGCAACTGTGATATAAAAGCAACTTTGACATCGATAACGTTTTTGACTGCTGTTAACCAACTTTTCCTTCTCTTCACAGCTTATTCATATATCGTTCAAGCCAAGACGCTCGTAAACGGAAGAGAGGTTATTGTAACAGCGCCGTCCGTTACCGTCAATATTGGTGACGTTGCTGTTACCAGTGGTAGGCAATAATTGTTGCGCACTTGATGCTCATTAAATCACCTATTGACTTCAATTGACTACCATTAATTGCTTTAGTTCAAATCCAAAATCTTGCAGAATATAATTTTTACAAGTATCTTCTGTCTTCATTTTAATGGTTTTGCGCCGTTTTCTTGATTCTCCTGTCCCGAAGTCTTTGTTAATGAAGATCTAATTATTCTATTACTTCGATTGCTCCAAGCTTCATTCTGTTGCGAATACCTCATGTAAGCAACATACAACATTCTACTGGTACCAGAAACAGTACCAGAATTTTTTCCTTTAAAGATCCCTTTACAGGGACCTTCAACTGTATAGATTTAAACCATGTATTGTAATTAGTTCGATGCATACTGTTTACAGACACTGTGGCATTGTTAAAGGCCGGTTAGAAAGGACATTGTTATGACTCTTGGACACCCATCTCATCGATTAGGGAAGTGAACGTTTTGTTAAACGATTTCTTCTATAGGTATAATTTATTAGAACTAACTACTATTTCCTACTTCATTTCTTGCTTTATTTCCTACTTCGTTTTACCTTTTAGCTCCAGTAGTAGCTGCAGATTCATGGTATCAGCAAGTCTGGTTTTTCGCGCTACTTGGATTAGCTGCTGCTCTTATTGTACTTCTCTTTATTGTTCTCATATTCCGAAGATTTTCTGGAGATGTTCATGTTTATTTACGTGAAAGAGAACCCCTTCCAATACGACCAAAGAGCAAGTTAGGTTCCCGTAGTGGATCGAGGACCAGCCTTGATGGAACAAGTGACAAGCGATTTCCGTCCTTAGGGACCCCGTCTCCAAGTCGCAAGGTATTAACTTATGTCTTTTGGCTAAACATGAAACTGACTTGGCCTGCTATTCCAAAGCTTCAGTTCTATCGACTAGTGTAAAAGTGTCTCTAGTGCTTCCTTCTTCCTTGTCTCACAGTCAAGACCAATGGTTTTACACCTGTTGTACTTAAAAAATAACACCTTTAAAGATAAATCATCTTAAAAGACTAAGTAGGAAATTAAAATCTTTTTCCTTTGCATTTTTCTAAGAATGATGTCTCCATTCCCAAACCCTGTTGCAAAGTAGTTGTTAATTGATTCTATTTCTAAGTATCAGACATTATGATTCAGTTAATAACGTTAATAATGCATATAACGTTGATTAAAGGCGCAAAATAACGGTGTCTCTCAATTTGATCGTTACCAGGAAGCTTATCAGATGACTCAAAACATTTACAGCAGTCGGCAGCAGCTGGTGGATTCCCCTATAGGACCTGATTTCACTCCAACTGGTGACAAATTGTCATTTCTCGATCCTGCTGAACCGTCATGGGATACGTATTTGAAAGGGTTCAGCTCAAACGGAAAAGACCGAGATTCTGGCCTGGTAATTAAACTTTCATTTTCGATATCATGTTTTACAGTTTGAGCATATAGTCTTTCACAGAGAAATTAAACTAGCTTAAAAGTAGTAAGATAGGAAATAAAGTTCCCTTTATTAATAATCATCTTATATCTAAGTCGCAAATTGGTGGAAATTTTAACGATAAATAGTATTTCATTGTTTTTATGCATACCATAGACGTTTAAAGTATAAGGATATGATGTACCAATGATGCCAGCCCTACTAATTCTTTTAAATGTCTATTCGTGTGAATGCTGCTTAAACCAGAAAAATGGAAGACCGTGTATCTCTGTCTTTTCAATTTCGAAGCAATTTCGAACACCCCCCTCCCCCAATTACTCATTTAGTTGCACCCTAGGGGATTTCTCCATTTTATATACTTACAATCTGCGAATCATCTCTAGCGATGCACGCAGAGAAATTTACAAACTGCTTCAACTCATTATGACGCTCAATACCTATCAAAGCTGCCCCTATCTACCTGCTTCTCTGCCTCTCCCTTTGTTGTCACTTACTAGCAACAACAGCCACTCTCATTCCAGTCCGCATAAGAACAAATCAACACGCTTCGGGAGTTTTTTTATTCGAATCGGGAACAAACCAGAACAGCAATTTTGCTACGTTTCTCCAATTTGTCTTTTTTCTGATAAGATGAAATTTGCTTTCCAGTTTGATGACCCGTCGCCAACGTTACAAGGCGATGACGATTCAGTCCAATATCACAGTGTCCAGAAAGAGAGAGTTTTATTCCCAGACACACACTTGTAAAGCAACATTGTAAACCAATTGAAGATGTGGATATTTTTTCAACGTAAGCGATTTTTCTGGATGGGGACATTTTTCTTAATAGTTGTACATTTTTGTATGTAAAGCTGCTTCTAAAAATTCTGCTTGGATATAATTACTTTAAACGATTTTTTCTTGTATCATGGTATAGAATAGTAGCCCATTGATTCTTTTTGGGAACATGGCATTAACCAAGGTACTTGATGCTTCCACCTCCCCTTGTTTTCCAGAGCCTTCCCCACAAAATACATTTATCGATACTGCCATTTATCGATACATGAACTTTATTCTAACCAGCCTTTTTAGCTGATATCTACGTTTACAAACTAGGTATTAGTCCACCATGAAAGAAAAATTTGCTAATAAGCCCTCAACCTTGAAGTAAAATTCCTGTAAGCAATACACTCGGATAAGCCCCAGCCGATTTTACATGCCAATTGTAGCAATACACATGGGCGCCGACGCAGGTTGGAAAGTAGAGGGGCCATGATAAAATATAACAATCATAACAAAAGATTTAAAAAAAAGCTCTATTGTTTTGCAAAAAAAGTGAGGGCCCCCCCCCCCTTCGTCGGAGGCCCTGATACATGATTTTAGTCAATGATGCCATATTCAATCAAAAATGAAAAACCAGAGCCTCTTTACAAGGTTTTTGTTGTTAACATTGTTTTGTAGAATGCTTCGTTTCACAAACTGAACCCTTAAGAAAAGTTGGAAAAATTTGGAGATGAGCTTTCTGTATGGCGGGTTTCTGATAGCTTCATAACCTTTCATGGTCTTGGCACCTAGCATTTCCTATAGAGTGAATGCCTGTATTTGTAACTCGTTACAATGATTCTGATTTATATGTGAGCCGATTGAAGAATTTTAATTGCTATAAGGTTCATTTACGCTACGCTTTGATGTAAATTTTCTTGATTTTGAAGGTTAAAGTGTCTTTTATTTAAGCCATGTAACAATTATGTTCTGGTTAAAATTTATGATTGATATATTGATTCATTCAGCTAGAATTAGGTGATTTTCAAATTAATGCTTGAAAATATTTTGGTATGAAGTATGTCATGGACTTTTATTGTAAAGGTAGCAGATATTTGTAAATTTGCGTAATTATGTATATATCAGCATCATTCATTTTCTTCACTGTGTCTTCTCCATCAGCCTAATATACCTTTCTCGGTCTTATTATCATAGAACAGTGCGGGGCAGTCAAAAATAGGTCAAATACACTTACTTTAACGACAAAACGACCAGTACTTTAACGACAATATTGTGTGCGAATAACCTTGTCTTCTCTTTGCTCGGCTTATTTCTTTTCGAGTCACTTGATAACAAGCACCTACTCGAAACGTCATTTTCTAAACAGTCTACTTCAATTTGTTTACCTAATTTATTTGCTCGTTATATTTTCGTTATTTGGAAAAAGTACCACACGCAACCTATATATTTTGGCAATGCTTTTAGCTTTTAAAGAATACTGAGAATTACTGTAAGAAATTACCTTGGTCGCTGGAATTTAAAATCCATAAACAACTTTAACTAGCAAACAGATGTATACAATGTGAAACGAACGTCCGTTTTAGGGAATCATGACCGAAATGATACACTGTTAAGAAGAAATTCTGACAATAATGCCTGCTTTCAAAGTTCAGGGCTTTATCTTGGAGAATCTTTGCGTACTTTCTGGGCACGCATTTTCACTGTTTATGATTATGTTTGGCTAGCTCACACGAGTATGCAGGGGGTATTTTTGTAACTATCAACATGACATGAATATTCACGAAGTCTCATTTCACGCGATTCGTAGGACTGTCAAAGAAAGGGGCGGGGGGGGGTGGGGGTGCCGGTGTTGGTCAAGCAAAAGTATCTCGAAAAACAAAAGCGAGAAGAGAAAAATTTCACCCAATGGGCAACCACTCTACACCACTAATGGTAGGATAACCCTGTTTGGTGCAGCCCCGGAGTATGGTATCACAATGAAGTTGTTTTGTTCAAGACCAGAGGCAGTCCTTTGAATGAGATCAGTTTTATTCTAAATTATATACAAAGTAAAAAACGCAATAATACTCTGCTTAAAAGAGCGAGATTATAATATTTGGTCTGAGATGCACGGATATTAGTTGTTTATAAATACACAAGGAATTGATTCAGCATAAGAACTCAACGCCGTGCTAAAGCCAGCCCATACTTGTAAATTCTCAAAGTTTTAAGTAAATCGTATAAACGAGGATCTGCCGAATGAAAAATATTGAAGAAACTTTAAACAAAAAAGGGGGATGATAAGCTAAATATGGTGAGTTTATGGTTCCTGGTTAGAAATGTTACATTGTGCTTAAGGGGGTACACGGCATGGATTTGGGTTTTATGAGATTGAAGAAGTTGCCTTGGCTCACTATCTAGGCTCTTTAATTACTTCTTTTTTGGCAGATGAAGAAAAGTATTTAATACGGATGCATTTGAGCACTCAAACTCGAAATAGTAAAAGTCAGATCAGTTATGGGACGGGTTTCAACATTAATTTGCATTTTTTGACAGCATTATCGCAACATCTTTAAAAAAGTATCTTCATTTTAAATCCAATTCAGTTCAATTCATCCGTTGCACTTGCGGAAGCCCGATAATAAAATTGGCAGAAAAAAGCATTCTTGGGACCTTGAAACCAAGGACAGAGTTTGAATCTTACGAAACTCTTTTAATCAAATTCTAACTCAACAGTACAAGAACATAGAAGAATCCTTATAAATATATAATTACATGTTTACGATAGTACCCTTGCTGCGGCTGGCGTTCGAAGAAAAAAGCGGTGATCCAAATTGAAAAATTTTCGTGAATTTACCTACATCAATTATAACTAGTGTCGCCAATAGGATGGTGTAAACTAGCAAACATTTTGTTGTGGAACTTGTTCATCTCAAAACAGAAAATTTGAAGCGTCGAACGCATTGGGTTAGCAGCGTTAGAAAAAAATTGTTCTTGCTTCTAGCAGTATTCAATGGCTAGCTCGTGCATCTCTACTTCTTTGAACTGTTCTCTTAGTTCTTCCAGGTTGTCGTCATTTCTAGGAAACTAGAAAGAGGAACGACACATAATCAAAATTAAAAAAGTTTTGAATAATTCAATAAGACGTTTTGAACCACAGTTATTAGAGTCCATTAACTATCATTACAATGAAACTTACTTCTACTTTAACAGATAAAAGTATATCATTTCATCAACGATAATTTTTATAAACAATTTATAATACACTCCCTAAGGATGAAGTGATTATCCTTACAACATACCTGATTTCGAAGTGCAAGTTAACTGCGAAAGCTTTAATCTTTTAAAAAGAATATGCATGTTTCATATTTATCCGCTATAAAATTGCTTACGTTTATAGGTATGCTTAAGCCAAAGTTGCAGATTCTTAGTAGTGATTTCTTCTCATTATCTTAAGAGATGATCAAGAAATCAAAATATTATCAAAACCAAAAATACCTCTTTTTTGGTCTTCTTCTTTTTGCCCCTTTTAACATTCTCCATAGGTAAATCAATTTGCTTTTCAATCTTTCTTTTGCCCTTCCAAATCCCTATTGTTGAATCTTGCGTTGTTCTAAGCGATGCTAATGACGAAGATGAATTATATTTCAAAGAACTAGAAGGAGACAAACCAGCACGTGAAGATCCCAAGGTTACAGGAGAATAGGGAAGCGGTGTTGTTAATCTATTAAATCCAAATAACGAATCATCGAGGTTCCGGACAGCTCTTTGAGCAAGTGCTGGTGTTGAATGGCTTCCAGGAGGAGTGAAGTTTTCTTTATCTAGTTGTTCACCAATTGGATCTGGCAATTGGATCTTTGTTTCTTGAGTTTTCTTTGAGGATTCATTGAAAAACTCATTGTCTGATTCTGGACTGCTTGTCATCTTTTCATCAGAATCGCCTGGTCTTTGGTCCAGCTCAGAGTCGGCATCATAAGCATACTCTGGCTGCTGACTCTTCACGCCCATTTGCTTTTTCCCCTCTTTTTTCCCATACTAAAAGTGCAAGATAATTTTTCTATGAAACTTGTAATTAACAAAAAACAGATAGCAAAAGGAGAAATATTGGAAATAATATTACTAATTGGAACTCTTTAGCAGATTTCAAGTAGGGATCTCTGTTGTCATTTCGTCTCTTGTACTATGCTCACTGCCACTATAAAACTGTGCTAACGAGAGTGCAGCATTCTGATAAGTTTTCAAGAAATATGCATATGGGTGTATGATGGTACCTATTAAAGAAGCTAGCGTGATTGGAAATGTAGTAACACGCATGACTTTGTATAGTAAAACCACCACAAAAGAAAACAGCAATATAATTTTAGGATAGAAGTGCAGGAAAATATCTAAATAAATAAATATTTTCAGCCCACAGATCTTGCTAATTGTCTTAAACATATCGCCTGAAACAAACGCAAAACGATTGGCATCCTGGAAACACAATTTACTCAAGCACAAAAGCTTATTCAAATATTGCAGATTAATTTTCCAAACTTTTCAGAAAATCTTGTAATGAGCAACAAACATATGTTTGAGGGAAATAAGGATTTGGGATATATTTTGTAAAACTAAAAAACAGGAAGGTCAAATAAAAGGGAGTGATGGTTAATAAAAAAAATTTAAGCCATATATGGTTTTAAGTATAAGATGTAAAATAAACCCAAAGCAAAATAAAAAAAAGTTTAAAGGAGGTATCTCAACAAGCTCTAGTTGGGTGGGAAAAATTTCCGCAAATTAATACAAGAGCAGATGGATATGTTTTTTAGATAAAGGGGTGTATGAAATGAGATAAAGTACTCCCCTTCTTTACAAATATGCAAGAAAAAAATATCAGAATTTGCATCGTTTAATTGTACTTGTAATCTTTGCAAGGAATACGTTAGCAACATCAGTTATATTTGAGTTATATTATATTTAGCGTTGGTAATTTAAATTAGTTGGTTTTAATTAGCTTGTATGCATAGCTAGAAATTGTACCAACTTTAAATAAAGAAAGAAAAAAATGAATAAGCACATTCAATGAAAATTTTGGTATGAGATAGGGTTTGATGGTATGAGATAGTATCTTATTTTGCAAGGGTAGGATGTGTATTGAGATTTGATGTCTGGCAGTTGATCATTGCCATGTAATAAGAGGTTTTTTCATTTTTTTTTCTAATATTCCTTCTACAGATTCAAAAGGACCAAACGAATTGCCTGTAGTGGAAGTTGTCTTGAATAATCTGCAATCCATAGTGATTTTGGGGTAATGCATTCACATTTTAGCGGATTTCACCCTTCTCTTTTTTCATGTCTTGCTAAAGGATTGGACCAAATTATAATGGGTTTGGATGCAGGGTCTGAAAATATGATGGGTTGATCTTTTGATCAAAAAAGTGTTCCATTATTGAGTTAAAGGTGGGGCATTATTGAGTAAATTTTTTAGCTGAAAATTGAAGTTCTTACCCCATATTTAAGGCAATGATCTTCACAGGGGTTTGATGGTATGCATAGGGTCTTAATAAATGGCTAAATGGAACACCTTCTGAACATTTGTCTACATCAAGGTCAAAGAGTCAAAAAAACCCAAAAGTTTCCTTCCCTTATAATGACTCTGCCTTTAGTAACATTAATGATTAAAGTCACATAAAATTTATCTAAAAACATGCACAAATGCTCAATTTGCCTTCATGTGCAATCCTTTAAACTCTAAAAAAAGATTCAAGATATCATTTTCCCTTTTCATTTATTGACAAATAAGTGTCATCTGTCATCTGTTGATATTACTGATAAGCATTTAAAAGAAACCTTTGATTTGATGGGTGTATTTCTTGATTCAGCTTTGCTTTCCGGCTTTGTTTTACTTCTCACTCTTAATGATCTCTTAGGCAGTTCTTCTTGGTCTAGAAAGGAAAATAAAAAATACATGACTCTTTAAACAGCTTACAAAGCATTTATTTAGCATAATTTCAAAAGTTGCAAAACTCAACTTTTACTATCCTTACTAGCTTGAACATGACACCAACATTGTTAATGTGGCCTAGATTGGGACATTAAATTAGTATTAAAATCTCATCTTTCCAATACACAACTATTTATAATTTGAAGGGTTTTATTAATCTGTTAAATCATAAATATTGTGTATAATGTATGAACTATGAATCTATTTTAAATATTTAATACTGTATGTTAAGGAATTTAAAATGAATGAACTAAACTGTGCTAAACTGTCAGGGGCAGCTTGGGGTGGTATTAAAGGTATTAGTCTAATACTTTTATTTTCAAAGAAAGGTGACTTTGGTCCTCTAAGATCGCAGGAGACTTCCTTTGTTTTTTGTACGGTGCCACTTTTTCACAGCAATTTTATCGATGCAACCAGCTTGATTCATATAGCCAAGCTATATTTGTTGAATGAAAGCTTTTCTAATTTTCATTGAAATCTTTGAAAAATGCGATTGTTTAATCCATGCCATAATCAACAGCCCTGGCCATGGTATTAGTCCCAAAAACTAATGCCATTGCCCCCAAATTATTTTGTCTGTTGTGGCCTGCATGACGTAAATTTCTTTTGCTGAGCCATGATAGAAGAATGGGTGAACAGGAGTAAGGTATTAGTTTTTCATTTCTAATACTATGAGGGTCACTTTCAGCAGAAGAGACGACCGTCAGAGCTCCAGCTTATAGAAAAAAAATTGCTGGGAATTAATTTTGAGAATTTGCAAAATGTAGCTGTACTTTTGCTAGCCATGCCTTTGGATGGATAATTTGATTGACAAATTTAGACACTGAATATAAAGAGAAACAGTCATGAAATAATTTGTTTAAGCTAAAGGCAGTTGTAAAAGTTGCTTTGTATGAAACTTTGATTCTATATGTTGTGCAGAAAATTGAGCATAAAAAATACTCCAAGTCACAAGCAATATTTTCACATTATTTCTCTCGCTTTCTCTAATCAGACGATACATTTTAGGTTATGTGCTGCATATCACTATAGTCAGACGCAGACCCAGACTACAGCAACCAATGCAGAACTATAAGTCAGATTTTAACAACAACAAAATTAAATAGAAACTATCAAAACTGTTAATCAATAGTTTCTTTGACAATTTTTTTTAGCAACGTCCATCCTAGATCTGCCCCCCCCCCATTGATACCAACAACATGCAGAAGACAGGGCATACATTTTGCTGACTTTCTTTCGGCCTCTTCTGCACAGAATAGTTGAGAGGAGATTCTAGGCATTTATCTGGTCCATATTTTCTGAATCCAGAAACTTGTTTGCCCTTCAAGAGCCAATCACCACTTGTTTTACCTATGTAAGCCAATCAGAGTGTACTTCACCTCTGCAATCTTTGGCGCAAGCATTGGTCAGATTTGATTTATCTAATCAGAAGCTTAGCTTGCCTCTGCAGCAGTACAGCCAACCAATAGAAATCAGAGTTGACCTATGCAATTGTTTACAGTGGACCTAATGCAATTGTTTGTTGCAACCATGAAATGGAATTATTTAACCACTGCCTCACCCCTGCTTAGAAACTTCTAGCAAAATGAGTTATCACTGGAGTGTCTGCTTCGAGATGATGTGGTAAGACCGTTGTGGGGGGCCCTGGTTCAAATCCTACCGGGGTCAGGCAACTCAGATGTTCTTTCTTTTGCTGGTAAATTTAGTCTTCTCTTTGCGAGTTGTTTCCTTAGAATTCTTTATTGGAACCCCCTATTCAAAATCAGTGATACCAATTTTATTCAGAAAAATATTGGCGTTTCCAACACAAAAGGGTGTGGCTTCTCCTTATGACAACCTTTGCATAGGTCAGAATCCAGGCTGGATCTGCGCCTGTATAGTAAATTGCTCGCTGTAACGTAATAGAATCTCACTCAAGGGCTAAAAGCCTCGTGGTATTAGAATTAGGCTGCGTTTACACGGGCCAGCCAAAGATTTGGTCGGTTAAGTATTTGGTCACTTAGGCCTGCCTTTACACGGGGCCGGCTAAACAACCTCAAATTAGGTCACTTAGGCGTGCAAATATTCGGCCATCTATTTTGACACATTGCGCAAGTCATAAGAATTAGGCCCTGTGTAAACGCAATGCCTAAGTGACCTCATTCGTGGCCGGCTATAAAAGCAGGCCAAATTTTAGGCCAACAAAATATTTGGCTGGCCCTGTGTAAACGCAGCCTTAATGGGCTAATACCTTGGGACTCTATTACTGGGCAGCAAACCATCAAAATATGAGTTTGCTTGCATAGTTTGCTGCAGTCATAGTCCATTTGTATTCTGTAGGACCCATCCTTCACCCAAAACTAGTTAGATGAACTACATAGAACTGACAGAGTCATCAGTGTCTCGGGGGACAACAGGGGTCAGTGCCTTAAAATGATTTTGTAAGATATATGGCATTGCCAAAAGCTATTCTAAACCATTATATTGAAAAGGTCATTTTTCCCACCTCCCAAAATCAAAACATAAAAGCTCCACCTCTGTTAAATAGTTTCAATACCCTTAGTGGGGGCCTTCTTATGTCTTAATCTCAGAGGCTAATATCAATTCTTTTCTACTCCCAGCTACCCCTGTAATCCGTCCATGGAAAAGTTTGTCTTGCCTGCAAGAAACACACTATTGACAGAATGAGTATAAATATAGATTCTTAAGGTGTTAATTAACTATATAATTGCTTATCGTTTGATTTTGTTTAGCATTATTTCCTCAGCAGCAACACATTTCTTTCTTTAGAAACTGGGAGATTATCACACAGTAAAATCCCAAAAAATATGATGAGATCCATGCTCTAAGAGATCAGGTTCGGGGCAATTTCCCCAATATATAGGCCTACAATAATAGCAATTTACTTGAGGATCTTTGAGTTTGAGGTTCTTTGTTATTATACTTCTGAGCAACAGCAACGGAAACAGTTTTAACATTTATTAACATGTTACTTTAAAAGCTAGTTGCAGATGGTTATATCGTCAATTTACAACAGAAAAAGTAATGAACAAAGGAAAAATAGAATTGTGCAACTCAACGGTAGCGCGTGCAGCGGCCTACCTAAACAAAAAAATTCGGAGACAAGTTCAAAGTTGCTCTTACCGTCACTTGTCTCTACATCGACATCAGCTTTTTGCTTTTTAAGTACTATTTTTCTCCTTCGGGGCATTTTTCATTGACTCTTGCTTCACATTGTAAACAATCTCAATTACAGCGATCCAATTTTAGCGTTCTTTCGAATGGCGGTTCAGGTTTGTTTTTCCCTCGCTTTCGCAGCACCGCAAGTACCCTATGAACTATGGGAAATTTTCTTCCCACAGGTAAACTTTCCACAATGTTTCTCTTTTTAGGTAGTTCCAAGTTTCGTTATAGCCTAAGATTAGCTTATAATTTACTCAATTGATTTAGGTATTATCAAGAATAAGTTTGATAAAGGTTTTTTCAAATACTTGCTTCAAAAATCTCCACTGATGTCAAGTCTCATAGGGATTCCATCTTATATGATGGTGGAATCTCGTACCCATATCGAGTCTCACTTTCATGCATTTTTACTTTTTCAAAATTTCAAGATGGCCACATTTTCGAGATTGAAACTCTTGTCAAGGCGAATTACAACTTGCTCCAGAGAAACTACATTATTCAAACCGAGCTACAATAGTCTTAGAGATTTGAATTGTTTTCTAAATAAATTGACAGGAAACCCATGTTTATTAGGGAACCGCTTACTTGGCAAATCATTTACTGCATCAAGCACGGATTTAAGCCCTTCAAACGAAGATGATGAATTGAAAGAAAACCCATTCTACGAGAAGTATGCGGATAAAATAAAGGAATCAAGACACCCTGGAAGCCAGAAACCGCTTTCAAAGGAAGAAGTGTCGTATCGCATGAATTACGAAGCAAAAAAGTGGAAAAAACACATGAAGAGTATTGAGCAAAAACTTGGCTCAAAAGGCGAGGTTGATATGGCAGGAAAGTCTTCATTGCCAAAAAATCTCAATGATATTTTAAAATTAGATCAAATGCAAGGAAAAAACAAGGACGAAATAGGACATATATGGACTGAGTATTTCAAAAGCAAACAGTCAATCAGTGCTGTGATTCCAAAAGAGATCTATGATAGAATATTTATCAGATCACTGAGTTGCCCGTTATTCATATACCCCTTGGTGAAAGAGCAAGGTTATGAGTTTATGCTTGCACAATTTCAAGAAAACCAGTGTTTTTTTACGTCATTACTTAATTACCAAGCTCATGGTGAAAATGCACCCTGGCAAATGAACCTTACTCATTACACAGAGCTAAAGGATGAAAAAGATATTGTTCTTATGTTGGGAGAAGTTGATACTGATAAGCTGAACATTCTGGAAGCCCAGTGCCTTGCACAGCAAGTACAGATGTTTTATGCTACAGCAGATGAGGAGCGATTTAACTTGGTGTATACTTTCAACAAAAACCCAAACAACTTTAAGTATATGGATGTTATCAAGGAAGTTGAGGCTAGTCGATTGATAGAAAGTCTTCATATAACAAGTTAAAGACATTCTCTTAGAATATAGAAAGCCTTGAATACAAACATATTCAAAGTACAGCTTTATGCATAAATGTTTATTTTTTTGCTTTATTTAACTTTCTTCAAGTAGAAATCTCTAAGATATAAGAGTATTAAAACAAAATAATATTATGTACTGAAATTTGCTTTTCAAAGACATATTGCTAAAGCTAAAAAGAATTTTGTTCACTTGAAAGATACTGAAGGCAATAATCTGAATTTGAATGATCTTACAAAAGGAAATCGTAATGGATGTTTTATCATGGTCTGCTAAAGTTTTAGTGCTTTTAAATGGTTTTAGTGGTGTTGGTATCCAATGCAGCACAGGTAATGCATACTATAACACTACAACTTTCAACAAATTGTGGGTTAATATAATCAGTGGATTTGTCCAATAGGTACCTCACTACAAGGTCATACTTGTGAGACAGGTGGATATATGACAACTGTTGCAGTATTTCATTTCATGTGACTGCTTGTGTTTGTTTCTCAGCATGAACATAATTTACTCACTCACAACTCATTGACTAAAAAATCAGTAAAAGTTTTGTTTACAATATCTCTTTGTTTCCTTAAAATATTAAATGATAGGAAGGTACTGACCATTCAATATAATGAAATGATTTTAAAAAGCTGTACCTAATGTAGCTTAATGCATTCAATTTTTAAGTTTCCATCTTGTGTCATGCGTGATACAATGCTGTCAATATCTGCATCAGGAGGAGCATTGAACTTTTTTGTAAACTCTTTATGAAAGATCCGCCTCTCACTTCCTTCTTTTGCCTCAACTTTCTTTACACCATTTATGGTAATCTCCTTCCCATATACTTTAACTTTCATATCTTCTGGGGAATAACCTTCAGCATCAACCATGAGAACATATGTCTGGTCATCAACAAGTCTGAAATCACCACATATGACAGGCTTTCTTACTTTGGTTGTTGTGAGACTCTTTGGTGCTTCCTTTTCTACATTATCATATGACGAGTATCTGACTTCATTTCTCTTTGAGTTTGCAGCCTTTGTTTCATCATTCAGCGAGTTGTGCCTTTGCACAATTTGACTTTTGTTGCTAGAACCCCCAGTGACAACAAGTACACCCTCGTTATTGATCTTATATGCAATGTCTGAACGATCAAGACCCTCTGGGAGTGGGTATTTTCGATAGAATTCGCAAGTTTCGTATCCAAAATCGGATTCAGCGAAATGCTTCCCTTCGGCTATCAGAAACCCCTCTTCGAATTTGACAATAATCTCATTTGGAGCATAGTGGCTGACATCAAGATTAACTCGGAATCTTGGCTTCTTCTTTGCCGTGATTGGGGTGACACAAATCTGGGGTGAAGCTCAGGGACAATGCTGTAGCGGTTTGGTGGAAATGTAGGTAGAACTTCATTCCCCTTTGGGAGCTTGCTGGGATCTGGGTCCTTCCATAGCATGCTTGATCTGAAAAATTACACAACATTTGTTAATTTAAAGTTCGCAGGAGATTGCCTTGCAAATTCAATAGGAGATTGTGAGATTGGAAGGAAAACGGAGGGCTGGGTCAGCAAAATACACGGAGGAATATATAGAAGGCAAGTATCTTCAAATGAAATCCAATTATTGGCTGTTTGTGAAAATTAACATCAATTATAGTTTTTGAAAAAGTAACATGCATAGATACAGTTTCGTATACAAGTTAATTGTTCTTGTATCAACGACAGATTAAAACTGTAAACCCGACTAGATTGGAAAGGCTGTTTGGTATGGTTTAATCAAGAGCTTTGTCTAATTAACAATTTTTTTTTAAGAAAATGTCCTCTGCTTCAAAAATCCTTGCTGCTAACACCATACTGAAAACTTTCTTTAGCTAGAGGGGCAAAAATCTAAACTTCTGCTAATCTCTACCAATGCTACGAATCAGTATGTATAAATTGCTTTACAATTAACTTAGACCAGTTAGACCTTTTAGACCCCAAGGCACTAAACTGAGATATTTTACCTTGATCAGAATATTAAATATCAATAAGAAACCCTCGTACCTAAATGCTTCCACTGCTTTGGAAACGCCATCACTGTGTACCATTGCCCTTGCAACATGTTTATCTTCGATATCTGTTCCATAACTATTTCTTTTATGACTGGTTACTTTCAGATTACCCTCTTCACACTTGCTACGTACATCTCTGTTATTTCTGTTTCTTTTGAACCCTTCTTCTTCAAAATCCTTATTTATATCATCACGGTCACCTCTTCGTGTTGGCCTGTACTCATTGCCAACTCTTTTGTACTCTTCCCCGCCATAGTACCTCTTATCATAACGCTCCATCTCTTTACAATCAGGAGACCAGGTCCGACGTGCCTTCTGACATTTGGCAAACTTTTCCACCACTGGAGATCTCTTACTGAAACAAAGTAGCATTTCCTTTAAACAACAATCGTCTTTTCAGATTCAAGTGCAAGAATTTTCACCACTCATTAAAACATACTTTTATAACTGGTAACAAGTGACCAAATAAACCCGTGCTAAGACCAGGTAAAGTTACAATTAGCCACCGTGTTTCTTTGTTCCCTTTTTAAAGTTAATAAGACGTAAAATAGGGCAGGGTCAATCATAAATTCAGAAAAATAAATATTTATAAAGCAGTTAATTTTTATCACAACAAAACAGCTTTGTCGCAACCACGCCTAATTTTATAACTATGTAAAAATAATTTGTTGTAACAAAAGTTGCTATCATCTATGAAATAAAAACTGTAAAAGTGCACGATATGATTTATCAAGCAAAATTGAAATGAAAATATGCCATATACTAAAGGTTTTCTCTCTATTTAGCTATTTAGCCGAAGAAGAAACCGTTAATAGTCAAATTCACTGAAAGTACATAAATCAATAGCGAAATTGAAACAACATTACGACTTTTTAATTGTGAGTAACTAAATTGGTCTTGTGTGGCTAATAAAACATTTACGATGCATTTAAGTCGTTTCTTGATAAACGATAGTCAGATGACTCCACGCCCAAAGCAATTACTTTGGCGGCTTACTCTGGTGATATCCCGCTGCGAAGGAGATTCGTACGTTATCAAACCACTCGCGAACTAGCAACACTAAAGAATTGCCTTTCTCATTCTATTGAGCAAACTTTCTTTCAATATCCGGGTTTTAGAATTACTTGTATAGAAAAGATAATCGAAGTGTTGCAAATAAAATTAATACCTGCTTCGTTTCATTGCGAATGCCTGGAAGGACCACAAACAAAGAACTGAAAAAGGCGTTTTCTTCTTTGAACCTTCTGCTTGTTCGGCAGTCGATTGCCCACACAATCCACCACTTGCTAAAGCCATTTTCCTTTTTTGAAAGCAACAACCTGCTACACTAGACACCTAAAACTTGTGAGTAAAAAATGCACTATTAGAAGGGAAATTTTGCATTAAAAAGTTCCATTGAAGTTTTCCAAACGCCATAAACGTTTGGTATGGGATAAGACAGCAAAAGAAATAGAAAATGCTATTTGATATTCTTTTTGAACCGTAAGATTTTGAAATAGCTCGGAAAAGCAGAAACATTTTATACATAAAAACCTATTCTTTGAAGTATGGCAGACGAAAAACACTTGAACATGATATGTTGCTGCTTTTCCAAGCTAAACTTAAGTATCATATTGTCAAAATGTTTGGCAAAACAAACAAAACAAATGTCAAAATAAGTGCTAAAAACTTATATTAGATATCTGGGATATGGAATTAAAAGGCGTAGGAATCTTCACCTATGTTTTCTACGGGTTTATTCTTTCTTTCACATCAAAACTGAGGAATTTCGCGCGCTCAAACGAAAACTCCTCAGTGGTTTTTTCGGTTAAAGTGGCTTTTAAATCGTTTTATCATAAAGTTTCAAATTCTTTCGGAATACAAAATAAATAGAAAAAATAAGATTTAACAGATTATGCTAAAAAGTATTTTTTCATGATAGTGAGTCACCTAGGCCAAGTTTTCGTTTTTTTGTCCTCCTTTCTTGCGAGTTTTGTATAAACTCCTCAACGACACTGTTCATTCCAATCGTTTGGTTTTGAACACGATGAAAATCCAGTATCAACTGAAGAAACTTAAAGTTTAGTAGTTACTATGAAAACAAAATTCAATTATTTGGGCTTGCTGTTAATGCTGTTGTCTATAGTTGAAAGTAGCTCATGTTTTTTTCTTCTGAAAAAGTTTTGCTTTTATATTTTCTGTGATGAGAAACCTCCTTTTAGCTTCTCAGGAAAGTTTTATTCATCTAAGGGAAAGAAAATATTACATGTAAAGAATATTTCAATAATTTACTAGTAATTTTTCTCTTCGGGACTAGAAGTTGACTGAAAGAAATTGAAAGAATGCAGTCGCTAAAAGCAATTGCACAAAATTACAAATTTTTTGGGCGCACAGAACTCGATTCAACTCGATAAACAAACTGGATTCTAGATCTCCTAATGACACAGGATTGTGTTACAACGCGTAGTATGACCTGGCAAGCTGTGCTTGTCTTTTTCTGTATGGTTTCTCACAGGCACCCTCTATTCTGAAAATTTATATGACAAGTATAGAAAACCAACATCATTATTTTTTATGAGAAATATTTACCTAATCTATGGCAATGATATTAAGCAGTTTCAACAGCAAGGATGACGTTTTCTGCCCAAGCTCTCCTTTCTCTGGCTGCTTCATTGTATTTGGTCCAAGATATAGCTTAAGTTACACGAAAATAACGAAATGAAAACCTGAAAAAAATCAATGTTTGGTCATTTCAAATTGACATTTGATTTTGCCCAGAAGCTCAAATGACTTATAACTCTGGAGCTGCCATAAAGTAAAGAAAAGTAATGAAACCAATTTCAAAAGAAAATGTGATGCCAAACTTGTAGATTTTTATTCTCGAAAAAACATGAGTAAACTGAAGATGATTTTCCTCCTTAAAAGATCATTTCCTTCTCAAAAAAGATGTTGTTATTGTAAGCTGTATGCATCGAATCGATTTAGTGATTAAAATATTTCAGTTTTAAACAGTCATTTCTACAACAGAGCTTTTAAAATCCATAGATTTAGGGTAATGTATAAATGCATGATATCCGAGTGGCAAAAAATGGCTTTTAAATTGAATTAACACTCACGTAAAAACTGCCAGCACCTTGCCTGACTGTTTTGATGTTGACCTGTCAGTAAAAGTGAGAGAATTGCTAGAGGTATAGTATTGCTTTATTTGTTTTTGTTAAAATTGATAAAACATTCAGTTTCATACAGTAAGAGATTGCTAGGCAATTGCTAAATCGAGTCAAACATGCACTCGTAAAATGAAGCATAAGCATCAACGGATAGGGCTTATCATGTCGTTGGTTGGCAAATACGCTGAGTAGATAAAAAGTGCAAGCTAGGTCATGTTGCAGAGGAGACGAAACTTATATACTAAAGAGGACCATATATGATACACGTTTTTTATTTATAATCAACTGGTTTATAAAAAACTAGCTAAAAAGTGTCCAAAAAGTTAGGCAAATTTAGATCTAGTTAAGAAACTTTAAACTTTCCATTTTTAAAAAGAATCAAAACGTTTTTATTTCGTTGCTTGTTCTTTGGAAAAGATAGTATACTTTCAATCTTGATTTGTTTGGTTTTTTCGTGACAACCTGCGTTAATAAGAAACCAAGTTACTTAGTGCTTAGTTGCAAGTGACTAGTACTTAGTGCTGATCTAAGTTTCTTGTAAAATAAGAAACATGTAATCTAAATGATTTCAAGGGATCAAGGGCAATCTATTCTCATTGAAATAATTTTGAAAGACAAAAAGTACATGTAATTCACTGCTACTTACAAAACATTTTATGAAAATGACAAAGCAACTGCAATTTTTTCGAATAGCATTGTATATGCACAGTATCCATGAGTTTCATTTAAAAAAGATAAATCCACTGTGGTGAAAACCACATTTCAATGCAAGATGCTCAATCAAAAGCTAAGCCACGTTTAGGATTATTGTTTTGTTTTGTCTATGTCATGTTACTTGATAAGAGAGAATAAGAAAGTTTCCGAGATGAGATCGTCTCATTTTCAGTTAAATAGAAAAAAGTGGCTTTAAAATGTGCAGAAATTAAGTATTCAAAATAGTCTCATTGCAAATAGTCAGATTTTTATATAAAGAAGAGCAATTCTATTTGTTAGCACACAATTTTGGATGGATTCTTGCCCATACGGAATATCGCCCATACGGAATATTGGCCATACGGAATATTGGCCATACGGAATATTGGCCATACGGAATATTGGCCATACGGAATATTGGCCATACGGAATATTGGCCATACGGAATATTGCCCATGCGGAATATTGCCCATGCGGAATATTACCCGTAAGGAAAAAGAGGTAAAAAGGAGGTAAAAAGAGGATGCGTTGATACATCTGTTAAGTTGATGTTTGCCTATTCAATGGTTTTGACAGTGAATACTCTTTCCTGCAAGACGTGGATTTTCTCTTCCGATTTAAGGCATTATTTTATCAACTTTTTTGGATTTTCTTGGTTCTATATCTACTAATTACCTTTGGTTATGCAGGCACATTGCACCTGCATGCGAGTAACAATAGCACTTTCTGATCCAAGATCTTTGTTTGGATCATCTGTCGTTGCTTTCAGAGGATATAACAGCTTTTGGGAAACTGGACATTGAAGCATATTGCTATAACGCTATGAATAATGCATTTGGACTGCTGTACTAATATTGACCTATACAACCAGCTTTATGATCAACATCCTCTCAAACCATTCATTTCACAGAGGTACTGTTAGATCATTACCTTTAGCTGGAATGAGAGCAAAATGCTCATGTCGAAAAAGACTATCAGCGAATTCTAACTTCGTACTAGATGCAGTAAACGAAGAACTTTGGAAAAGGATGCTACCTCATGCTTAGGCTATAGATCTTGAATTGGTTCAGGTTAAAAGGCAATGGTACGACGTTTCTAGTTGATTGATTCATCTACCGTGACGTTTTGCTCAATCGGAAAACTTCAGTATCGTTTATCAAGAGATTAAAAGTTTACAAGTGCCACAATGATCCGGCTCGGTGGACAAGTCTACCAAAACGCTAGTAATGTAATAAGCAGTTCTGGGATTCGATCAAACGGCACCACATTGCTTGAAAGCTGTGACTTAGGTCACTTCACAAAGTACTTGGGTTTGTTTCTGGTATTTCTCTTCATCACACTTGGCACAGTGGGAAATACTGTAGTTGCTGTTATACTTACATGTACCAGACGAATTTTCCCGTCATCAACGACTTTGTTTATAATAAATCTAACGATAAGCGATTTTCTAACTTGTGCAACAGTGATGCCATTTGACATCGTATATTGGCTCCACTTTCCAGTGTGGACACTACAGCCTGCCGTTTGTAAGTTATGGAATGCTTTATTCTACACGCTGCACGCATCTTCATCAATGTTTATTGTGGCTATCGGCATTGACACTTACCTGACTGTTTCAGCACCATTTCATAGTCAAACTATAAGGACGAGCAGAAAAACATTCACAGTCATTGTTGTGATATGGGTGTGGAGTTTGATGGTTGGGGTCTTAATATTTGTCTTTCAAAAAAAGCCTCCTCAAGGAGCTTACCTGTTCGAGATAAACCACATAGGGTATGGCATTTACTTGGCGATACATATGATTCTGCCCCAAATTCTAGCTTCTTGCTGCTATTTCAAACTATTTCGAATTGCAAGACTGCATGCAATTAGCATCAAAAGCATGCAAGTTTCAGTGACATCAGAAAACACTCCTAGCAAGGCCCAACCTTCTGATAAGTTGAATTTCAGAGAAGAAATCACACTGGCTAAGACATTTCTCCTTATCACGATTGCTTACTTTTTATGCTGGAACCCATTTCTAGCCGTTCAGATCCTGTTTATATTTGAAGTTGATAGAAAAGTAGACTGGTGCACCTTGGAGACAGTAGATACCGTACTTTGCTGGTTCGCTTATCTTCAATGCTGCTTGAATCCTGTGTTTTACGGGATAAGAAAAAAGTACTTTCGTAAGTTATTCGAGAAGGTAGTAAGAGATTTGAAAGATTAAGTTGGGAAACAACTACTGCATTTGAATCTTTAGTAGAGCAAAGGATCCAACAAGTTATCAGCCACTCTTTTTGACCAAAAAAGAGAAAAGCTACCTTAACAGCAAACAAATTTTGTCGTTAGTTTTTGTCATAAGAGACACAGAGACATGTCATAAGAATAAAACCATACAGTTTGCTTAATATTCAGTTCCGTAATTCTCGGCTCTGTGCAGACTTTTGGGCTTGAGACTTTTAGAATTGGGCTTATCCTGGCTGTCTTCGTTACCATTAAAATATGAAAATTTCAGGCTCACAAAACGTGAATTTTATGATTGTGTTTATTTGAGGTATGCATGGGACTTAAAGAATCTTCCTTCAGAATGTGTTTGTAAGGCAAAGTTTAATGTTGATCATGCTCTTTCATGCAAGATTGGGGGCTTTGTCACCCTCCGACATAATGAAATGAGGGATCTCACTGTTGATTTGTTGTCAACTGTATGCAAGGACGTGTGCAAGGAACCTTGTTTACAACAATCCGAGAATGGGGTAGAATTGCGTGCTGATGCAAGTGCAAGAGATTTTTGGCAACGTATGCAAAGAGCATTTGTTGATGTGAGGGTATTTTCCTTTTCGCTCCTAGCTATCGCTGTAAAACCTTAGCTGCAACCTTCAGATCTATGGAGCTGGCGAAAAAAAGAAAATACAACCAGATTGTTATGAATCAAGAAAACGGAACTTTTACCCAGGCACCGCGCAGCCATTGGGCTAGCAGGGGCTATAGCCCACCTACTTTTTTGCCATAATAGGCTAGAAAATTTTTTGAAGGTTTCTTCTAACGCAACTTTGGATAGTTTACTTCTATGCAGTAGCAGTTTTCATTGACTGAGACCACTTTTGTTCTTTTTCTAGGTGTTTCATCTTGTTTAATGATATGATGTATTTTCTAACTTGGTTAGCTTCGTGTTTCACTACCCTGAAGCTAACTTCATCTATTTTATTGAAATCTTCTCAGAACCAGACTGTTCATAAAAAATAAGAAGAAAAAAGCAAGTATTTCCTAAAAAGGGCGTTTTCCAGCGTTCTAGATGGCGTGGCCTCAAAACTTTTTCGGGCACACCCATTTCAGCCCTTCCACTTTAGACTGGCACGTGGTCCCTGGCCTTCCAAGTTTGGCCCACGTCCCAGAGAATAAAAATCAAACGTCGCAAAGATGGGAGCAGTTCAAAAGAATAGCCTGTTCACTATTTATTACATGATTTACTCAATCAAGACATGTTCCAGGCTTTTGCTAATCTTTCCAAAAGGTTAGTGAAACCTCTGATTGGATCAAAGAGAAAGCTGAGTTTTTGCTTACTTAGAGCTGCAGTAATTTGTATAAGAGGTTCTAGGTCCCGACAACATGTTGTCCCTATTGGTGGAATGGGTGACATTGACACTAGAAACAATTTATCTAGCATCACTAATTAAAAACATTATGTTCGTACTTAATTGTATGTTAATTCAATTTAAATTACAAATTAAGAAAGAATGTTAAAGCGCTGCTGCTTAGATAAATAGTCCCAATGAAGCATATGCATTTGCTTAGACATTAATCACTGCTAAAAGGACTATTACACGCTTATCTTCTATATTTTATTTACTACAAAAGAACATACGAAAATGGAGGCCAAAGACGGCCGACTCTTTAATATAATATGCGCCTAAATGCTGAATTCAAAGTCAATATTGATATTATATATTATGGAATTGACCTTTAATTTAAAATACGCATGTCCATTAATGGTTTGAAAACAGTCGATTTGAAAACAAATATAGCAGCGAGGTTATTTTGCTTTGCGAGAATTCTTATATTTGTATTGATTTCTCAAGTAGTTATTACCAATTAGTAAGTTAGTTATTAATAAAGCTCTCATGACGTTTAGTTAGAAATTGCACATGCTTATTCCCATCAAGTCACCGTAATTTGTCGATGTTCATAACTTTATCAATCAAGCCAAAATAACAGTAATTCGACAGCAAGCTTAAAGATTTTCAGAAAATTGACTCTTTTTAGATCTCTGAGGGGTTTCAACGTTTGAACTTGGAAATCTTCTTCTTGTGGCAATGCCAGTACTCCAAAGTTGAATTACCTCTTCATTTAAATCGGGCGGGTAAAATATATGCATCAACCGTAGTTAGCAGTTAAGAAATTATCTGATTATAATCAAGTGTTTTTATAAAAACGAGCAAAAAGAGGACATCAGTTTCGCAGAATACTTCTGTATTGCTATGAAGCTTCAGTTGATGTAATGTGTCGGGTTCCCACCAAATATCGTGTTGAATTTCCCGCTATAATATCAATAGACATGTAAAAGGCATTCTTAAAGGAACCAGATTCGCTCTTATCTTGCTGATGAATTCATAAAAGAACATTATTGGTTGAAAATTCGGCCCGATCCGCCAATGATTCAGCAACTATATTTCGTTACTTCTCTTCACAACGTCTATTTTCATACCCTTGACCTGTGTACTGGCAGTTTGTCTCACGATTTCAAGCAAAAATCTACATATTTGAGGTACAGCTTTTTGACCATTATGTGCAGTTTTTCTGCACAAAATCGACATATTTGCAAAACAATACAAATTTTTCCTGGAAGGGTGCATCTGGTATTGGATAATCTGTTAAAAAGTAAAACCTTAGTTTGTTAATCTGTGTTGTATGGGACCCTGAAATTTTCTAAAGTATGTTCAAATGCAATCACTCTACAGTTCGGCAGACAAATTATGAACTCGAAGCCGTCCTTCTACTTTTGACGCTTCTACTCAAGATTTACACAATTAACGCAAGCAGAATAATAGGGCTCACATTTACATAGCATTTTAGAATTATCTTTAGAAGACTCCGGTTTTCCGTCACAATGACATCCCCACCAATACACAAGCAAACATAACGCACAACTTTTCCAACTTTCTTGAAAAACGCCCTTAAAAATTGACTATTATTACACTATTGCAAAAAGAAAGGACCAAAATTGCCATTAGGAAATATTTTACGAGGACACGGGCTGTGTATATGCCCCTCGTCCGTTAGCCTTTGTTATTCTTTACCGACTGAAGTGAATTACCAATAAAGGTTATGGCCAGCCCAGAGATATGACATATGAAATGTGTACGTTTAACCAAAATTTGCGAGTGAATTTAAGGCAGCTTTGGGACGCGGAAGAGAATGCTTGATGTTGTTTTCGTTGCCAGTAAAAATGGCGTGAGTCATTTGTTCTCAGATTTTATTCAACAACATTTCCAAACATTTCCTCTGCAATTAATGAGTTTTAGTGAAATTGTTTAACTGATGTCTAAAGAGCGCCAACAGCAAAGCAAAGATTTCAATTTTGTATTATAAGTTCACAGGTTCCAAAATCAATATATGATCAGTTTTAGGGTCAGTTTTATTCTCAAATAGCAATTCTAAATTCTGGCAGTCACTTTCAGCAGGGAAAGTGAACAATGGGGATTTAAGATTATGAGAAAGTCTACCTTGATTTTATGTGAAGTTCTCACAGCTAAGAATAAGACATTATAAAACGTTTCAACTAATATGAAAATTTGTATGATAACATATTGTGTTCTCTTTAACAATTTTCCATTATCAAGGCATCTTACAACTTTTTGAACCACTGCTTTTATTTTAATTCTAAGGTTAATGGATTCGAAGATGAATGACCAAATATATTTCAGCCTAATATATTTCTTTATATATAAAATTATCGTCGTCAAATCGTCAGTATTCCTGTTGACTGCAGTACCCCCATTTGTGGTCACTGTCATAATTAAACGTGGTTGAGCACCATGAAGATTCTTTTCCCTCTGAAATGCAGTTATTGTGGGTCTTGCCATTGTAAATGAAAGGGAAATGGCAGCAGATACCATATCCATTGCCACCGTAAGATCTCTTTTTGCAAGGCTCTGAAAACAGAAAGACAAAGAAGTGAGTTAACAAGAACCCTATTTTTTCTGAGTAGCAAATTACAAATTTCCGAAATGCTTTGTGGGCTTCAATCCCTTTTTACTAGAAACGACGATTCTGTTAAGACTTCTGCTATCTTACTACCTTGCATGCTTTCTTGCAAATTTGAATCGTGTGTATGTAAAGGCTAACCAAGTCAGATAGCTCACTTGTCGACAATCAGCGGCATTAACCCCTTGCAGCGGCATTAACCCCTTGTTATTTGTCAGATCTTGTGGGAGTTGGGGGCATTAAGCATGCTCCTGGCTCAGGGGAAAGTATGATATATTTATTATTATAAAAATGTAACTATTACAAGCATTTAAAATTTCAAGAACTAACCAGCGGAACAATGACCAACGTCAACAGTTCCATCATGATAATTAACTTCACAAGATGCCACGTTGTTCTCATAATCACTTTCAGCTACCAGCCTTGTAGGGTTTAGGTGAACCAGTAGCGTATAGTTTCCTTCCTCGATTTCAGTGACGTCAACCCATTGACAATCAATGTCATTTGAGTAATTATCAGCACAACCAACTGATATCCCTTGGTCACCTTTATCGGTACAGTTGTACATCTTCCTGACACCACTGTCACATTCTGAGTCTTCGAGACAGAAACTTGCTTTATGTCCCTCGGCTACTTTCCGGCCATGGAAATCTGAGAATGACCAAAAGCTATTTGTGAAGAGGAAGTTAGCAACTAAATTTAAAAACTGTTCCCTTATGAAATGAATATCGCATGAATATGTGCTACCAATGGCAAATTGTAGCCATAGGTAAGCAAAAGTTAGATTCATTTAGTGTCCCTCTGTAATAAAAATACCTAAAGCGGACTGATATCACGTAGATAAGCAAACAAGAGACAAGATCAGGATCATATTAGCATAGGTTGTCTTAAAAGGCTAAAGAGTGAGCTCTGTGAATAAAAGAAGTAACCATAACCAAATATTCCCTTGAAGTACCATCCTACTTGAAGAAAAGGTTCCATATTTTGTTCAGAAAACTACGAAACAAATGCACCTGACGGTTGGCTTTCAAATGTAACTTATTCTGTTCAAATCAATGAGTTGATATTTCTGAAATTGATAATCAACCTTTCTACTATCTCCTAAAAAGGCTTCAGCTTCCCTTCGTTTTTCTTTCGTCTCTGGAACTCCACATAGAAGACAAGAGATGGAAGCAGAACGGCCTCCAGTCATCAGGCAATTTATCAAATAAAGTGTAATCAGACGAATGAATTCAGCAGGGTACGTTATTTCCGCGTGACCTAATCAAAAGTAGATATTGGTTAACAGCAATTTTATTAAAAAAGAAAAATTACCAATGACGTCATAACGAGCGAAATATTCCATGGAATGAAAATGCTTATGACACTGGTGCCACTCCCATTCATCTTTATGTCTATTGGGACGAAAAGCTGCCGTGCCTCTGTTTTCAATCAGAGACGTAAAAACCATAAGCTTTCTGTTGTAGGACTTTGGATTGGTATAGGCATCATAGGCGTACGCTGATCTTGACAAACAGTTTTCGGATCGCGAGCAAGACAGTTGTCGAAGATTCCAGCTATTGATCTTTACGCTTGATTTCATTGCAGCCACGTCTATGAGAATATCTGGTGCATCTTAAAAGAAAAACAAGATACAGTTTAGCTACAATTTGCAGAAATTATGATTTTTTTTATTCATAAAAGATGGCATTTCCATCCATATTCAAGAGCGTGTTGATCGAGCATTAACAATCTTCCCCCTTAGAAGCAGGGGAACCAAAAGAAAGCAACTTTTGGAAGCGATCTGTTATTTCAAAGATACTACTAAAGAAATAATAGAGAACTGTTCACAAATTTCGGAAAGGGACTGATAACCTCAAGTTTCCTCTAATCCCTTCCGATACCACCCCAGTCGCAGTGCTTGCTACAAAAAGCATTTTCACGACTGTAATTCTTTCAATCTGAACAAGACAGCTCATGCACTTCAAAACAAAAAAACCCAAATGGGCTAAGAACCTGAATATTCATTTACAAAGGAAACAAGTCACACAAAAAGGTTACTGAGAAGGAATTAGATAATTGAGGCTAAAAGAAAATTTCACAGAAAACTTTTCATCTTCATCCTTTTAAGTTGACTGCTCTTTACCTTGAAAATAAGAAATCCCCTCTCCCCAAATAAAGCTTCAAATTCAATCATGTGTATTTTCAATTTATTTCTAGAACAGTTCATTCTCGCATCTGAAAGCTGGGTCTGGTGTAAGAATTAATGGAAGTAAATGGGACCAAACTCACAGTTTGCACACTTAACGCTGGCCATGTCGTAATATCGACAAGATCCTTGAAACCATGGTCGATGATCACAGTCGAGGATCGATGCCTCGTTTCCAGAACAGCGTTGCTCGTAAATCCCTATTGTACCAATACCTTCGAAGACAGAAATGATGCAGTGTATCAGAATACAAACTAATCAAGGGATGCCGGGTTACGTTTTGGAGTAGGGAGGGGGGGGGGGCGACGTTCTCTAGAAATTTTGGCGAACTTTTATGATAGATTCTCATAATATCTCAGATGCCACTATACTTCAGCAAAAAGGGAGGCTACAGGCACGGCTCTGGTGTTTACAACAGCTCAGTGTTATCACAAACTTAAAAACTAAACGCTCAAAAAACTAAAAAGGGTTTTCCCGGTTGTGGTTATGATTTTTTGGCTTAAGAATTGTTTAAAATTACCGTAGAAAGATTATTAGAGGGGCACATTGCAGCAAAAGGAATGGTTCATTGGAACCAAAGTATTTCAATAGCTTTGGAGGGGCACAAGCCCCCTAAGAACAATAGTAATTACGTCCCTGACTGTCAAAGCAGCCATTTTTCTCCTTTTGACCTTTTCAGAAAGAAGATTTGAAATACAAACTATAAATTCTTGAACTTGCTGCAGAGTTGACCAGTCTTTATTATTCCATATTCATGATCGGTTTAGCAACCCGCAATAGGGATTTGATTGAAGTATAAGAGACTTTCCCGTAACGTTGTTCTTGTTTTGTGACATGATGTAGAAAAAAGAGGCCTTGAGTGGACCTCAACAATAATTCCTTTTTTGTCTTCTAGTTTCGTTTGTTGAAACGTAAATTTGATACCGTATTCCCAAGAAGAAAATGCTTTGCCCAGGAATCCAAGTCCAAGTTCTCTGCAGACGACTTCTCCATCTTGTTCTGAGAACTGTACGCCACAAACTGAATACCACATGCTGTCACGATAAACTTGAACACGTCCCTCGAAACGCGTCTTACCTCCAACCAGCCTGACCTGAAAGAAAAATGATGCCGCATAGAAATTGAGAATAGCTTAAAGGCAATCTGTCACGACGTTGATTGATTGTAAGAACAAAGGGATTTTTTATTGTTTCCAGTCCCCCTTTAATTTATCGCATTGCAAAAAATACGGCAGAGCGCTGGAATTGTGTTTAGGCTCTTGTTTCAGCTATTGTTCTCGTTAACCAATCTACAACGAGACAGATTGCCTTTAAAAACAGTTTTCCGATTGTCTTTCACTTTTCAGACATTTCTGGTAACTATATAATCTGTAGAGTACGGGACGAAAAGTGTGAATAATGCAAGGCATAATTTTCTGCTCTACGTGCAATCAGTGGCGGCGTCAAGGGGTGGTATGGGGGTGGGGGGTAATTACCTCCCCACTTTTCTGAAAAGATAGTCTATATATTTCTTCTAAAAATGGATTAAAAAGCGCTGGGTAGGGGTAGATCAAATTTCCCAAGGAAAGGGACGAATCACTGGAACGAGGCAAAAGGGGCGTGGTCACACTGACCACGCCTATTACCCTCCCACTCTATAATAGCTGGCGCCGCCACTGCGTGCAATATGGAACTGTTGAAATAGTATACGCTCATTTTTACAGTTTGTCTGTCAAAAGATTCGACATATCAGATCAAAATGTAATCATTTGGTCGAGCATTCAAAATAATTCTGAATGATTGGTTCAAATAAAACATCTGCAAACCAAAAGTGATTATATTTGATTCAGTTTATGCGCTAATCAACTAAACTTCAAGAAACCAGACCTTATGGAACTGTGGTAGTGGGGCATTGCAAACAACACCGGCATCTTTGAAGTGATCACATCTTTCGGCGGGGTTCTGATAAGGGCATGATAGAAGGTCTCTTTCTGTACCTTTGCAATCGAAGTCACTCAAAGTTATCTACAATGATGATGCAGAAACATTAAATGATTATATCTGTGTATGTGTATATGGAAGGGAAAAGGGAAGGGGGATACCTCAGCTCCTGTAAGGTGATTGTTTTGTAGAACAAATAAATAGTAATACAATGCCTGCCAAAAGTCTTGGAACACTTGCAATAAAATACGTTGTGCACGAGCTGCAACATCCCCTCCCCCCTTGTACAATGTTGAGCCACGGAAATATGAATAATCCTACATGTACAAGTGATACATTTTTACATAGCTATGGTTTTCAGCTAGCGAATCAACGGGACACGCGAATTCACAGAAATCTCAGGGTGTTCCAAGGACTTTTGGCAGGCATTGTAAGTGAAATTATAGTCTTTGGGGCGAAGAAGGCTAGCCATTGGGTGCGGGCGAGCCATCTTTGGGAAAAACAGTACTACATATGGCGATGAAGGTATTGACATGCAAATTTTCATCTGTAAGCATCGAGGTTACAGACCAAAGGCAACTAGATATCTCGGAAAACGTGACAATAAGAAATCAAGTATACAATCGAACTCTTGTTGAAATTGCCTACACAGTCCTTAGTAGTGAATAACAGAACAGTGACTTATATCTATTTTCGTTGCAAAATAGGGCAAAATACACTGGTTTGTTAAACAAAGCAAGCCAATTATATAGCATAGCTCTAGACTTTTCTTGCAGTCATAAAAAAATGAAAATAACCTTTTTGTAGTCACATATGTATATGAAATATTGATTATTTGGAATAGCTATCACTTAATCAGGAAAGTCCTTTAGGAATTACAAAAATACACACAGAGATAAAACAGGAAAATAATTCTATACCGGCACTGTACCAAGACCATACTCCCCCCACCGAACAGCCTTTCTGGCTGTTCCGAATCCTAGCTGTTTGCAAACAACATTGGCATCATTTAGATCCCATGAGTCGTGGCATATAGTCGACCAGCTGCCGTTTTTGAACACTTCTACTCTGCCCTCTGAGTTACGCTGACCACCACGAAGGCGCATTCTCTGCTTCTAGAACAAGAGGGAAAGAGGTTGTCACAAACATCAAGATAAACTTGAGAAATGTCGAGACGAGAACCAACTGAATGGGTTCACAAATGGTAAAAAAGGAGATTTGGCACGTACTGCTTTCTCGTCAATGGTGACACCACAATGGAGAACAACTGATTTCTTGCAGCCATGATGTTTTCGAAACCCAGCATGTTGACAAGATAGAAGATTCAACTCAGATCCAATGCAAGACACGTCTCTCATTATATGGTAAGGGGGCCTTTCGTAAACCATTGCAGGCTTACTTTCCTGCAATGAAAAATAGTTTCTCGATGTGTGATTGACTGAAGAAGAGGAATGGAGGGCAACAACCAAGGCTTTTATGCACTCTAAAGCCTGAATTTTCCATTACTTTCAACAATTCTTTATGTTAAAGTCCCTGTGCTCCCTATTATAAATCGCAAATTTTGAGGCTCCCGTACCGTATCTGAGAGCAACTGCTAACAAAGTGGCTTATCTCACAGAGATGAGCTGTTACACGTCAGAGAGAGAGAGCAGTTACACGTCAGTTTTAAACATCCAAGCTTGCAGTCACAAACCTTTCCACTCGCGCCTCAAGAAAATTTCGCTTCAAATGCTACGCCCGTAAGTTACTTTTATTGCTACCTCGATCTTATTTTCATCACCACCTATTTCATTAGTTTTGCACATGAAAAAGTGGAGGGTCTTTCAACTTTTTGCTCTGAATAACTGCTACACAAACTGGCCCAACACAAACTGCAGCACAAACTGGCCCAAAAAAAAATATCCTACAATCTTCATCTGAAGAGCGCAACAGAAAAGGTTAATTTTTAAAGGGCGTGCACACAAAAGTCCGCAGACGAGTTTCCGGTCCCTGTTTCTTGACTTTCACTAGTTTTGGCCGATCCAACAATCCAACAACTGGTTAAATTCAACTGTTTTTTTCCTAGTTTACGTTTACAAAGGTCGCACAAATTCGAGAAAATTGATATCAACCTCTACTTACACCCTCCTTAAAGCTTCATTTGAACGTTCCCCCCCCCCCCACCTCCTCGGGTAACGGAGCATCAGAATTTTAAAAAAGCTGAAGACAGAAAAGGTGACGGAGGTGAAGATGATCAAACTTCACTTCTTCTACTTACCTTTGAATAAGAATAGCCCAGGTGTCCACAGGCAACATGGGAATTCGCTTCAGTCCAGCCATCTGCGCAAACCTGTTGCCACCGTTGTTTAATCTTTATTTCCAGAACTCCTTTAGGTGTGGCTTTCTCTTGGCCAGATACGACATCTCTTAATCTCACATCAATGTGTTTGACCTACATTGTAAGCGTTTAGTGTAGTGGAGAAAAACAAGCGGGAACATCGAGCTTCACAAAAACGACCACTTTTATAAAACGGACCACCTTTGAAAACTACCAATCATAAAGAAATGAATGAATGCATAAATTCATAAGTCAATCATTACTCGTAAAGACGAGCCTTTCTTATCACAAGTGACATTGTTACCCTTTCTGTTTGTATACACTATAGAACCCATTATTCCCCATTACTTTGCCGATTGCCTTCATTCAAAATGAAGATGTCCTTGGATCATCAGTTTTTAGAACTTGTTACATCAGTCTTAAAAAATTTGCAGTTTGTTACTTTACTTTTTCTTAAGTGAAATGTTATTATTTGATACTAAACATCCCGATCTTATTCCGATCTTTGCCGCAGGCAATTTTGGGATAGAAATTGGTAACGACGTCAACATTATGAATCATTCATTGTTAACAGTGGCGTACCCAAGGGGGGGGGAATAGGGGGGTCCGGACCCTCACTTTTCTAAAGTATGGTTCTCGAGATTTGTCCAAAAATGATGTAAAACTCATGGGGGGGAGGGGGTAGTAAACTGTATGCTTGTGTCAATAACAATTGTAAAATACTATTTACCGTAGCTAAAATAAATCAAACAATGTGGAAAAATTTTGCAAAAAGGGCGTTTCCCCGTATTTGCGAGTGTTTGAAGGGCGTGGTCCAAAAAAATTTTCTCCAGACCCCCCAATACTACAGCCCTGGGTACGCCACTGATTGCTAACATGAAACAAAATATCAAGAATAGTGTTAACAATAACCAAACTTTGGCATACCAATGCACTAGCATTTGACAGGCGCGGCTCCAAAACTGCTTCCTCTCTATGGTTTAAGCAAGACACCCAGACTTCATTTCCATGCTTGCAAAGGATATGAATCTTTCTGTAATCCATATCAGCTACGTCACAGTGTGATATATGTCTCTCGGTTCCCTGACACAAGAAATGTTTCCGTGTGAAGCCTGCATCCAGTGCGTACAATGGTATGCTATAAAAAGCACGAGAACGGCGTAAAGACAAAATTTCTAGAAAGCATTTGCAATAAAAAGTTAAGATGCTATTATAACGGGAAAAGCGAACAACCAAAGTGAGCTATGTATAATGCCCTGCATTTGAACTTTAATTCAAATACCACGCAGCGTTGAGAAAAGCGGGGGGTCTAAAATAAGTGAGGGGGGCTAAACCCTATAAAAAGAGGCTTTACTGGTAGTTTATTACTTGATAATTGGCAGTTTTTGCAAATGGTAGGGGGAGGGGCTAAAATTGATTAGTTTTATGGTGTTTCAAAAGGACGAGAAATTATGAAGACATGAAGTGCCGAGATCTAAGGGCTGCGGGGTTTATTTTCACAAGGTAGAGAGTATGCTTCTATAGTCTGAGGTGTATAAACATGCAATATGAAAGTTTTGAAGTAGAATCTAAGTATTGTAGTTCTATCGAAATTGCTTGAAAACAGAGCTTTCCGGGCTTGAAACTCGTAGGTACAATGCAGGGATTAATTTAAGGGTTTTTTGAACGAGCACGGCTAAGCTAAATGTGACGACAAGTCCGTAATTTCGTTTATAACCCTACATAATATACAGGGAATTTGCATAAACATCTATTAAACTGCCTAACCAAAAAGTTTAAGTCATCAAAGTAAAGGTCACTGATCATTTTAAGTCTTAGGTACATTCCGTCAAATGACCGTCAAATGAATGTTTATGAAAGCGTGAAAAATGCACGGTCAGCAAAATTTTGACTTTCAAATTTTTCAAATCTGATGATTTTATCAGAGAGAGCTTGCAAAACTGAGTAAAAATATTTTAACATCATTGTTCTCTGGCGCAATTTGACGTGCTGAGTAGAATAAGATGCAACTCCAACTTTAAAACATCACAGAAAGCTATTTTTAGACTTTGGTACTTGTGCCCAGGCTGCTGTTGGGTATCGCAGTGTAACCTTACAACTATGCACGTTGTTCAACAGAAACTTTGCTTTTGAATGACAGTTTGTATACATTTTTTTATAAGAACCAGTCTACGTAAGTTCAGGCTGACTGTTCTTTTTCTCTCGAAAATCTGAGGCTGGATTGTTCTTAAATTGTTTTTATATTAATAGGGTGTAAGCAGTGTAATTACTAGCTTTTTCGCTCTGGGGAGGTGTTCAGGTTTCGTTTGCCAACAAAGTGGGTGAAACAACCTTCATTTGCCGACAAGTTTGAATATTCGCCGAAAACGCACCCACACAATGACCAAATATCCTCATTTTTGAGATGAAACGTTGTTCCAAATTGCATTTTGCAGAAGCTCAGTCTCAGCTTGTTCTTAAATTTTGACCAATTTGAGGCTCGTTCACAAGGTTATGAATTGGAAAGAGCCTGTACTTCCTTGGCCTGATTTCACACATCTACAGGTAATGTAAAAGATGTTCTCGAACAGGTTATGTGATCCAGAATCAAAATTCTAAAAATATACTTTTGTGACGTCATCACTTTAGAACTCTTTCATGTATGCGCTAGAAATTTAACTGGAGTTTAAGGTGAGGGGGAGGGGGGTCAAGGGGGCACATGCTTTAGTCGAACTTAATTGATACATACAAATTTCGAGACATGTTTTATTTGATGCAAGTTGATAAATTAGCCCAAAAATTAACTGTTTTGTACTAATTGTTTATCTGCTGAAATATATTGTTTATGTTCTGAAACGTATATAACTCTTAAATTTCATAGAAAAATCCTAAATTTAATCCATTTGCTGTGTTGTTTAAGATGTGTGCAGGGGACTTTAAGAAAACCGATGCCCCTTTCCCTTGTCCCGAAATTCGTCCAGATATTAGTTTGCAAATGTCCAAATAAATGCATTGTATTGTATTGTATTGTATTGTATTGTATTGTATTGTATTGTATTGTATTGTATTGTATTGTAATGCATTGTATTGTAGATTATTTAATGTTAGTTTCTACAATAGTGAATATTCACTAAGACTAACATGAAGCAATTTCAAGGATTGCATAAGACAGTTCATTTACTGCAAAACGAGCATGCGCACTTGTTTTCAAGGAACCAAGTTTTGGTCGAATTCTTAAATTGTCTAGTATTTTGTGCTGTCTTTATTCATTCTGGGAGTGAAATCAGATTTTAGGCCCTTGAAAACTTGATGATCTGATACCATTTTTGGTAGTTCTGGCTTTTGGAATGTCAAGGGGGTTTTTGAGTCGAAGGTTATGACCTGTTGTTTTGGGTACAAAATAGTATTTCATGAAAACAGGATTAAGGTTGTTAAGTGTGAAAAGATTTCAAGTAACAAATGATTAATGAGCACAATGTCATATAGAACATAAGCAAATTTTTAAAGTACTGAGAATCCTAATTGAATTAAAATTAAAATCAGTTTTATTAAACTTGATAGAATGTCCTAACACTCACTTCGACGGTCTTTTACCCACGTCAGCAAACCCAAGTTGCTTACAAACGACGATATCATTCCTGTAGTCCCACTCTGCATTACTGATTTTGAACCACGTTCCACCTTTCAATATTTCTACGTAGCCTTGATGCAAACCATAATTACCGTCAGCAAAACGAATGCTGTTTTCTTGTGTTATTGATTCACTCGAACAGCAGACGAGCAGGATTTTCAACAACACAGAGAGCTTCAGGAATCGCAACATTGCTCCTACAGTGCCGTAGGCCAACTAGACTGTCGAGTACAGCGTGCGAAAGTCAATGCTCTCTTATAATGTTAAGGTATTGTTTTCGTTGAGGGGAACTGACACATTTTGTATGACGCATGAAATTTTTTAGACACGCCAATATTGCTTTTGCCTTTGGGGTACTGACCACAGTCGTGACTTCTATGATCCGACAACAAGTCTTAAATGGGCGTTCACTTTACAAAATCGGGTTTTATTGTATGGTATCATAACCTACAAATCATATTGTTAATTGAATGTTAATCTATAAAGTAAGAAAGAAAATGTCTATCATTGATCGAAAAAACAACAAATTAAATCCTTTAGCGGAAGTGAAAAGCTTGTGGTAAACTCTTTCAAGGCTTTTACCGCGAGGAGATCAATCATAGCTTTTCAACGCTGTAGGACTAAGAACAAGGCTTTCAAATAAAATGTAACTTTTATAATACAAGACTTTCTTTGTTTTTTCGATAGGGTTATCACAATGCACTTTCAGATAAAGACCTTTGGTGCTCTGTCTTTCACTGCCTATAGATAGAATATTATAGTATATTCAGGCTCAGAACCATCCAATTTTAAGAATGTTTTATAAGAGTATTGCTCAGCTTCAGCTCGTATACTCGTATACTCGTATCTTATTTTTGAGCAGTTGCCTGTTTTGCAATGTTCATTAAAGGGATTAAAGGGAATCATAGAACTCACTACTTCGCTTTTCAAAAAACGTGCTTTTTATTCAAAAGCAAGCGATGCCCCCCCTAAAACCATATCAGATTCGATAAAATAGAAATACTTTAAGTATACAATACGAGAATTTCTCAAGAATACTGAAGCTGTACAGAACTCATTGTTTTATTACAAATATGTATCAACTTTTTTAGTATGTATGGATATAAATGAGCGAGAGATTTTGCAGACACTGCATGAATGCCGTTTTACAAAACTTCTTTGAGTGCATATACCCATTATCTTATGTTATAAAATGTTGTTATTTTATAATAGAAACCACAGAGTAGAGATTACATTGTAATCCCTATTCTGTGTAGAAACTATCACAAAAAGTAAAAGACTTGAGATGGGCTATTAAAATTGTTTATGACTTTGAATAAATCTAAGTGTGTCAGCCCATTTGCGTTGGTGGAAATATCATGAATTCGCTGATTTCTGCACAATTCAAAATTGAATTGTGTGTTTGTTTTATGGACTGAAGTTTCTAAAGTTCTTCGCAATGTCCAAAACAATGTTTCTTACAAAAAAGGAATGCAGTTTTCAGGGTATTTTCATTAGAGGAGGAGGATTTGAAATCTATGTGGCCTTTTCCGTTGGAAATTTTTCGGATTTCTTATTGCGAAAATTTTTCGTTTCTTCAAAAGCTCTTATTTAAGATTTTATTTTTTGGACACTCTTTTTGCCCATTCCGTAATGATGCGGATCTAGTTGCTGCTTCTTTATAAATTTTTATTGAAAGTCTAACATGTTTTTTAAAAAAATCCATCGCCTATTCCAGTACAATGATGGCAGGAAATGCAAAAGATTTTGTCAACAGCTGGGTTGATGAGGAAGGTGAGGGCGTGAAAGAACGGTAAGTCTCGGAGGAAATCAAAAAATCCCCTTTTTATTCTCTTTAGCACTTCCTTACCAGTGAAACGAATCCTGGATAAACTGGATAAAACTGTTGAATTTTGCGTGGGTGCTAGCAAGCCTTGTAATGGTGCAACCCAGAAGAAATTTCTCATACAGTTATCAAAGAATATGGACAGTTTGAGAGTTGTTGTGAGGACCTGAAAATCATTCCTGTAAAATCATTGAATTGAATTATTCTCGTTTTCACTTCCCGCCTTGAGTATGACTGAATCACGTCAGCAGATATTTAGTGAACATTGAAAATTATTGTCGACCTTCATGTTCAACGTTTGTAAAAATTTGTTCAAAGAAAAGCAGATACAACGTGTAGTTTTATTTGCAAACAGTAAAAGGTATGGTTTTTTCTTTTTTTTGGGGAAAAATCTCGCTAGAGTCAACAAGAGCCCGTTCCTTGCCTCCTATTCATCTATTGGTACAAGCTTCCAATTTACACACTTACAATAGATTTTATAAAATATTTTTGATCAAATTTGGTAAAAATATTAAAAAATGTACAGGCTCTAATTTCATCAGCAATTTGACCTTCATTCTGAATAAATTTTTGACCAAACAAGACAAGGGCAAACTGTTTTAAAAAATTTGGATTCATTACGGCTCTTATCCTTCCAACAAAGTTTTCGTGCAAAATTGAGACATTCTCACAGGAAGGTTTGTAGCTAAGCCATCCATTTGCTGGTATGTTTAGTCAGATTACACCTAGAAAATAATTGCAAACAGCAAAGCTTGGCCTAAAATAGCAAACCTTTTTAGACAATTCATATTGGCTATAGGTACATTTTCTTAAGGTGACAAACAATTTGTCCCGTTTCAAAAATATGATAATGTAAATAGGAAAACTAAATTAAACTAGGTACTTTCATCTTTTTCATTTAAAGACTTGCAATCTTTATACGGAAGCTTGAAAACTTCCAGGTGTGAAACATGGTGCGAATGAAACAAAGTGTAAAGAGAAGAACACTGTACATTAGCCCATTGGTCAGACCTGGGATAATCGATGGGAGAAACACGTCAAGACCGATCAGTCCTTGGAGGCAGAAAAACGAGAGCTGGAGACCTAAAAGAGACAAGGACGCGAAGAATGAGCTGAATGTAATTTTGAGAAAAGCGTGTAAACTTGAAGCACTGCACAGTAACACAAATGAGAAAAAATGTATAAATCTCTCAGGACGATTTAGGCGGTTTAGGCCATCAAGAGTAAGTTTTCTTTTCATCAATTGATTCTTTACTCTCAAAGATTCATTATCACTAACTGCATTTATCATAAAGCATAAATTCTCAGAAATGAAATGCTCTCAAATTTTAGCTATAACTCTGCACTGAAGGACAGGGCCGTCGACAGCCAGCTCGGGCCCAGGGGTGATTTACAAAACTGGGCCCCCAAAAGATTTCTGTGGCCTCGTCCTTCAGTCTCCCGGAGAACTAGGGAAACGCCCTTCTTAGTTACAATTGTTGAAAAGTTTTTAAGGATTTTAACAAGATTATGCAAAAACACTTTGCATGAATCAAGGACATGTGGATATAGTTTTTCTCTGCGATAAACTTACAGGCGTCGATTCCATGTAAGTAGCTGAAACAGTAGTTTTTTAATGTGAATATAACTTATTACATTATTGCGGGCCCAATCGAAGCACGGGCCCCGGACCTTCTCTCCTTCCTAACCCCTCTCTCGACGCCCTTGCTGAAGGGTAGAGTCCAGGATATATATTAAGACTACGCTTTTTTATATTACAAATAGACAAACTTCTTATATTACTAACTTTCACCAGGAAATACCAGGATAACCTGATATACCCCTATATCCATTTCCAGATGAATTAGGAGGACAACACTTCGGTAGAAGAAAAGCTGTGGTTATTATCTTGGGCAAAATACCAAATTACATTTCATCCGACCTCAGAGAATGAAGCGTCGGATCATGATCAACCTGATTTATGAATAACTGAAATAGTTAGAGAAATAAGAAATGTTTTGTGGCAGCAAAAAATGCACCGATTGATTATTAAAAACTCCTCATTATGTTTCAAAATAAAGTCCTCAAAGTATCTTTGTTATTTGAAAACCCGTAATTGCAATAGACAAAAGCGACAACAACAAAACGAAATTTGACGTGTTTTTAATTAATCAAAATTACCAGTAACTTAAGGCTTTCAAGGTAAGAATTTAGGTTGAATAATTTTTTGTCATATCCTATTACTTTAGGACGCCCTGAAAGAAATACGCAAATATCAGAGAGCTGTGTACCATCTCATTCCAAGAATTTCCTTTCAACGACTAGTAAAACAGATTACGTCATATATAAGCAAGGAAATGCGTTTCAAGACCGATGCATTACTGGCATTGCAAGAAGCATCTGAGAGCTATTTAGTTGGACTGTTCAAGGACACAAATTTATGCGCTCTGCATGGCGGCAGAGTAACTGTGATGCAAAAGGATCTCCATTTAGCAATGAGAATACGCGGTGAAAAGTTGCTATAGCCAAGAGAATCTTTCAATCTAGATGCTTAAAAATGGTAGTTCCAGAGCAATACAGGATGGAGCATTGAATCACTATTGAATCGATTCTCGTAGCCCCAGCCCATCCTTATTTGTTCATATTTCCGTTTTGGAATCTCCGTTCCGTTTCAGATTTGATTTACTGTCTAATAGTTGCGTTAAAAACATTTTTTAGATGGGCCTAAGTGATCTTAGAAGGTTTTCAGCACAAAGATATAGATTGCGGTTTTTGCATATTGCTAAAGTGAGGCAAGTAGTTTCTGTCACCTTGCATTATCATCTTAAATACAAAAATTACTTTAGTGGAGCCACAAAGTAGAAAAACATCCTATTTTACCTTAAAGCAAACACTATACTATTCAGTCAGACCCAAAAGATTTACGCAAAAATATACCCCTGCATCAAACATGGCACTAGATATGTTTCTGCTTAAACGTTATGAAGTCTGATATCGTATCATCCCTCAGGATTGCCTTTTGGACCCTGAGCTCCCTGTTATGCCACTGCTAATAATATTTGTAGTTTGTTATGTTTTATTGAATTTTTGCTATTAACATTCACACTTCCTAAATTTGATGACGGGAAGTAATTTGATTAATCTTAGGGCACTCATGTATTGATTAATTTATTGCTCTTTGCAGTTTTTGGAGTTAGCATTAAATGTATTGGTTATCGTAAAGAGAATAATCTTAAAAAACGCACAAACTTGTGTCTCATTTCTGCGATTTCAGATCTTTTTATAATTGCATTTGAAGTCGTTCAGCTTCTCCAAGATGTTTTCTTAACGAAAATTTATTAATTATTGTAATTTGCATTTCTTTCTATCTTTCTTATGATATACGGACTCTACATTCTAATGACTAAATATATTAATCAGTCAATTGAACGAATTACTTTACTTAGATGTATCATTTTCGCAAGGATATTGGCATCTAATCTCAGAGCCAGCAACAAAAAGATTAATGAAGAACTTTGCAAAATTTGCTGGTGGCCTTTAAATACATAAACTACAATTTGTCAATTTTCTGACAATTAAAGCTGTTAAGAAACAAACACCATTTGACGTAAACTAAGAAAATAGAAAGATGACTGTAAATTATAAAGCTTAAATGAATGAGAATAGAATAATCACTATAACTAAGAAAATTGCAACTAATTATAAAAACTCTGTCCAACTTAACATAGTTCCATACGAAAAGATCAGATTTAACTATCTTTACTGACTTTTTTAAACTTAAATTTCTTGAATTTCTGACTTATTCTTATATTTTCATTAGTAGTTGGAGATCGTTCGCGCTTTCTTTCCGAAAGATCTTGGATAGTTGGAGGCTTTGAACTTCGAAAACTAAATTCCTTTTCAGTAACAGAAATTGGTTTGTTGGCTACACTTAAAGTGTAATTTTTCTCTTTGCTTAAATGTTGAGTTGGGCCTTCTTGGTTTAAGGAAAAAGGCCAAGCATCTTCTATGGTTTCATCTAAATCTTCCTCTGACGCGAAGATATTGGGATAGTGGTTCAAATTCGAAGGCAGTATAACTTGATTTGAATCAGAGTCACTTTCTGAATTTGCTTGACCTGCAGGAAATTCTTTGCATGACGTATAAGTGGATTCGTTTTCCATTTGATTAAAGCCGATGGTAAATTCGTCACTGGAGTTTGTCAGGCGTGTGAAAGTACCTGTATAACTAGGGACACTTTTGTTTCTGTTGCTATCGCTGTCGTCCCTGATAACAGGGGTATTCACGTCCAGTGCCATAGGGGTGTCAAATATTTCATTATGTGTAACTAGTCCTTTCAAAGCATAGAGAGTATTGTTTTGCGATTCGCACAAACTGCTTGGGGAACTCCTCAATATTTCTGTAGGAAAGGAGTCTTCTGTGCTGTTACTGGTCCCGTCAACAGGATTCGTTGTTGCTAAAAAATTATCAACTAAAGGATTCTCCTCTATCTCTTCCGCCCCTACCTCTTCTCTCCTTCTACCTTCTGTCTCGGAGCCATCAGCTACAGATCCGGGTCTTTCGATCACCTCGGTTCTGCATTCACCAATCTCTTCTCGGTTGTCATTTCTTATAAGACTTTGTCTTTCTTCTTCTGATTCTAAAACCCGTTGTAGGATATCACCGAGTTTCAATTTACTAAGAACTATACGAGCTTGTTTTGCGTATTCGGCATCTGGATCCTGTGTTGGGAAGAACCGGTTATAACATGAAATATTCTATATCAATCGCTACATTGTCAGATAAATACTTACTTTGCTTTCACTTATTGAGTTAGTACAGACTTTAATGTGGGAGTTGAAAATGCAGATTTACTGAGATGTGAGTTCAGGTTGCAGGTGGAACAACATTTACTGTCCTTTTACCTACAACAAACCAACTAATATGTCAAGATTCCTGCTAAAAAATTTCAGTATCACGCCCTCTTATGTAACAAGCTAACACATCCTTATTCATCCCCTTCCGAATTCTCCTCGAAATTCGAACTAGCTAGCAGTTATTGAGTCCACTTCTTGACAATGGTTAAGCAAACATAGGAAAATTAATCAGAAAACTTGTTTTACCTTTGGAAATGACGTATGCAGCGGATTGAGTCCCTTTCCCAGTATTCCTGAACTTTGCATTGACGACTCCATGATGCAAACTGCAACAACAGCATCTTGCACTGTCACTTCTTTGTGGTATAAGAGTCGCGCGTGAGCTTGGGCTATTCGAATCAAACTTTCGAGAAGGCGCAAAGTTGTTCTCGCTGCATTTCGTAAATCTGCTGATCTCTGAGCAGTATAGTACGAGCTAAGAATCCTATAACAAGAATAGATATTTCATTTACATTTAGTATAGTGTGGACTACAATTTTTATGTAATTAAATTGATGGAAGATTTTAAATCAATAATTCAAAAGAATACAAAGATGGCAAACAGCGGCTAGTTATGTGATCTCAGTCTGGAATCCGTTGTTTAAGACCACTCTTTACAATGTAAATCGGTGGCGTAAAAGGGGTCAGTTTTAGTACAGGTGAAATAGTCATCACTTCAAGTGCTGCAACAATGACGAGTTCATTGGTTGCAATTATCCACCTTCCCACAAATATGGAAAAGTATTGACGTATTTTCATCCAAAGAAGGCGTTAAAGAAAAGGGTATTCATGAATTTCTTTAGATTTAGCAAAATCATAATGGGTGTTTAGCTTCAAGAGAAAGAACCTATAAGCATGGAAGGGGGTAACATGTTCCAAGGCTTCTAGCTCTTGGTTGTAGCAGTTTTTCTCCTCCGCTATCTCCGCCTAATTTTTTAAACTAAAGAAGCAGGCGTTTTTAAAAATGCTATTAGAGATTGCAAATTCTTCTCGGATTTTGAAATAACAGCCTCCGTAGGGTTTAAATCCCTAATACCATTTTCTTTCAATTTCAAGAGAATGAAGTGAGTATGACTGTGAGTATACCTATTGCTGTCCGGAGTCAGCGATGGCTTTTTGGTCTTCACGTAGCAAAAATACGCTTGCATTCGGTCGATGGACCAGATTTCTTTTTTGGTCATATTGTTATGTAAGCCAGGTCGTGTTCCATGTAATACAAACGAAGACACTATCCTGCAATCCGAGGTAAGTATTGTTTGGTAATATGGTAATGAAAAGTAATCTGAAACAATGTGCAATCTTACTTGAAAGCTCATCGGATGTCCGACAATGCCTAACATTTTAACGTATCTAATATCCAAAATATATTGTTTGCCAGAAATTTCAGAAATATTTTTTATACAATATAGGTAGTAGCATCAACACCCGTTACAGGGCTTATCAGACACTCAGTCTAACGGCTTATCAGACACGTACTAACGCTCAGTCTAACGTAAAATTTGTTGCAGGGAATTTAAATTAAAACATTCAAAAATCTTTGATACATCATTTAATACATATGTTAGTTTAGTGCCTCTCTAACGAAGATATTGTCCCTGTTTTGAAATAGACAACACAAATAGATGTTGTCTTACAGTGTCCTTTAGATGCATATTGAATCTAGGCAAAAGTCAATTACACAATAAGGCTCTATTACTTAAAAAAATATTCCCTTGAAAGGAAAAATGCGTTCTTACATAATACATATTTATGTCAGTACTGTCCATCAAACACTTGAGGATATCATTTACATAAATACTCTTGAAAAATAAATAACCTTTATATTATAAAGTATAAAAAGAAAATCCTACTTATCCCAATCTTCATTTCTGTTGTCCAGTAAAACCAACACTATGTCAAATCGACTGAGCAAAGGGCTTGCCAATGCCACATTAACACTCAAAGGTTCTTCACTGTCATAATTTCCTTTGGGATTTGTCGCTGCCAAAATTGTAGCTCTGGTATTAAGCTTGCAGACAAGTCCAGCTTTTGCTACACTTATCGTCTGTTGTTCCATTGCTTCATGAATGGCTGAAAATATAACACTTGGATGCACTTGCAGTTCCAGTCAAACTTTGGTTGGTAGAAAACCACAAAGAAGAGACATTTACAAATATGCCACAAGGAAGATACATTTTAAAGGTCATCTGCTACTATTTTAAATTTTAAATGATTTTGAAAAATTATACTAATTTTAAATGACTGGAAAAAATGAAGGACATGTCCTACAATAAGTACAGCATAGCAAAATTGCAGTTTTATGAATATTTTTTATACAATGTCTATCAAAAGGTGAATAATTGAACTTAAACCCAAGGTTGCTTATTAGCAGTTTTTTAACAGGGAGAAAACTTATTGGAGAAACTTGTGTAAAAACATCAGAGAGACAAGCCAGCTGCAAACGTTTCACTGTGAAATGAAATGCTTTATCCACCTACAGGCTTTATCATGTTCCCTGATGCAGTTAAATTCATCAATGCAGCAGAGACCCCCATCAGCAAGAACTAGTGCCCCAGCCTCTAGTTGCCATTCCCCTGAATCTTTAACAGCAGTAACAGTCAATCCTGCACTTGTAGTGCCAATTCCAGTTGTAAGCACAGAGCGAGGCATCAGCTTAGTTGCATATTTAAGAAACTGTGATTTCCCAGTGCCTGAAATTGAGCTATAGTGCTAATTAAATATACATAAAAATATCTTTGTGGCTGTAAAGAAGGCCTCATACAGGACTAACTAGGATAATAAAAAGCAAGTATTATTACAAAGAACAGCAAATACTTTGCAAATTACTCTAACTCAATAGATGCACTCGCCTGCCGGTCTTTTTATAAACCTTGCAGTCAGAATGTTTCTCCTTGTAACAATGAAAAACATCATTATTTAATTGTTTGAAGGCAGGCACCATGAACAAAATGTCTTCAAATGATGTGTTTCTGTGATACAAACTCAGTTACTGACACAATGAAAATGGCAAGTTACCTGGATCTCCAACCAGTAGCAAATGTGATTCACCCCTTACTCTTGTGCCACTTTTACTGAGTCTCTGAATTCCTCCTATTAACGTGAGGGCTACAGACAACTTAACAAGATAAAGACCAAATATTTGTGGACAAAATGATGCAAGTATCTCGTTTCTTCCTTTAAGTGGATGCAGTTTGTGCCTTTCCCAAAAGTCATCAAATTCTCTTTTTATTTCATCAGTTAGAATGACAGAAGAACTTTGATTATTGTTTACCACCAAATTGTTGGCTCTCAAAACCAATTCAATTTCACATTTTGTCTGCAAAAAAGAGATTAGATAACAGATTATAAATGATAAATCTATGGCTATTTGCCATGCAAAATATTCAGACTAAATGTTTTAATTTTCACCTATTGCTGGATTCTTTTTTGAAGATAAGATAACCATGTTGAAAAAAGTCTAACCTAACCCTGAAATATTTTAATTCCATTAATAATTCAAAAGAGAGGGCCATATTTTGATGTTAAGATCAAAACTTTACTTTTTGACTGAACTGACAGTTATGTACTGTTTTAAAATGCTTCAAAATTCTAAGCTGAACAATTCAGTGCACTAGAAAATAAGACTGTTAACAAAACAGTACATCTTACATCATTATATATTGGTTTCCATCTCCTGTGTACAATTCCATAAATTGTTACATCATCACCTGGTTTGCAAGTATCAACAAGATCATCTTCCAACACAACCCACATAGTGCGAGGTATTGTACCTACAGCAAGCTTCTGGACCTGTTCTTGAATCTTTATTTCTTGATAATCTTTGAAGCTAGATTGTTTGGTTTCTTTCTTGTTAAAGTTAGAAAACTTAATTGAATTACATCCTTCTGGTGATGGGCAACTGTTGGGTCCAGGCATTGTAAAATATTGAGAAAAATCAGCCTCAGTTGTAAAAACATGTTTACATTTGTTGCACATGTATTCCTTTTCAAATTCCAACAATTTGGCCATGCTTGTTCTTATGACAGTTCCTAAAGGAGCAGATTACGAAAGAGTAAAATAAACAGGAAAACATATTCACATTATTAACTTATTGTTTAAAATCAAAGAATTTTGCAAATATATTTGCCTTCCAGAAGTAGATTATTTCAACAAAAAAGATGTAGTTATTGATGAAAGGATAGACCTTGCCATAACCTGCCACAAAGGAGGAGGGTATATGGAGGCATTTTGTGAAATCATAGCAAGTTTCAATTGCAGTGGTACAATACAATTGATAGGTTAATGTATAAAAAATGAACAAGGAGGTCTCTTGGGAGGGGGGGGGGGGAATTGCAAAAACAATAGCAAAGAGCAGAAAATGGTTAATTTTAACCATTTTTGAGGATGCGTTCAAAAAAAATTATTCAAAAATGTAAAATAGAGCACATAGAGTTCCTTTGGAGCTCGTTTTATGGAGTAACTTTATTCAATTGTGCTTGGAGTAAGGCTTGCTTCACATAGGTAGGTATGTAGTATAGAACTATAATAAAGTTTTAAGAGAACGTACCTGAAACAGCAAGAAATGAGCCAACATCTTCACTTTTTGGAATGTTAACTCTTGTTAGTTCCGGGCAAATAGGCAAATTAGAGAATCTAGCATGGACATTTGATTTAATCGACAAATTTTTGTTTTGTTCTTGTTCGGGAATAGAATGCATCACATCAGCATGAGCATCTTTTAATGCCTCGTTGAAAACTGGGAGAAATTGCAATGGTTTTTTTAAAAGCAATTGTCCAACATGCATGTTAATGTCAAAAAACTCTAATGCGTTGATATTTAATGCATAATGTTGGGAACTACTTGGGGCGGCTAGAACTTGAATAATGTCCTCGTGGTGGTATTGCTCTAGGAAACTCTTGAAAACAACTGCAGCTTCTTTTCTGTCCTCCTCCAATTCATTCTCTTCCTGTGTGCATCTAGGCATAATGTTTCTCAATCTTCTTCACTGTAACCAGTATTTTTCAAAAAACTATCGACATCAAACAGCACAATAACAGTTAAAAAAAATCAGGCCTAGCCGTTTACCCGCCAAAACAACGAAGGAAACCGAGACTGCGCCAACGCATAACTGAAGTTCCCACCAGCGCAGCATTATGTTCTCTAGGGTTTGGGCTTGGGGTGTATTTCAAATCTATTTGATATCAGCCCCTTTGGCGCGCTAACAGCCCCGCAACCCAGGGACTGGTGTGCAAAAATCTCTCAGATGTGCCAGGCGCGCCAGACCAGTGGCGTGGTGGCAGGGGGGGCCAGGGGGGCCATGGCCCCCCCTGAATAGGGGCGCAAATGGAGATAAGGGGGCACCAAAATTGTTTGCTTGTAATATTTGGCTAGGAACATCAAAAGTGATCGTACACGGGTAGAACACTTCGCTATAACTTTCTGTGAACAATCTAAAATAACGTGAGATTCTACAATCGAAGCACTTTGCGCTGCCATGACCCAATCAACATTTGTTTCATATGTTTTCGTGTTAACTATGTACGTGATTTCATGTTTAGCACTCCAACTAACGAAGATTCTGCGTATGCCAAAAATGTTTTCTATTAACCCAAGTACATGGAATGCACCCTGGCAATCAATATAGCAGCTTCTTGTTATTAACATCGATGTGACTGTAATATAGGTACTTATTTCATTTTAGGTCAGTCTTGCGTTTATGCTTATATTTGTTCATGCTTCTCTTTGTTTAGGATATATTAGTTTGTCGCGTGTTAGTTTTTCATGTTTTCCGGTATAGTAAAATTTTACATGCCCTTTTGCTCTACAAAGTTCCCCCGCGTATCCTAATATATCTAACACCTCCTACTAGTTCATTTACGTATTGCACGATAGATACCGACAATAACACCGGCAATTATTGATATTAGTTTGCTATATTGTAATGCTGTTATATAAAGTAGAGTACGGAGAAACAGAGTTAGTTAGTTAGTTAGAGAGAGAAGCGTGGTGCTTGCGAAAGGCCACTGCTATCAAACATGTAGACACTAACTCACACACACACAGAACGGTAATGGATGGAAAGGCTAAGAGAGGGCTGATGGCATTCAACCCGAGTGGCTTGTGAAAGCACTCGAGGTTTCGTTTCATATATATATAATTTAATGGCGTAACAGTGCTTGTGAAAGGCTGTTTAGTACCTAAGTTTCGATATTGTGTAAAAGTACGTCTTAGCTTTGGATGGAACAAAAGGAATTGATTTTGTGTGTCAAAACGTGTCGTTTATTCGCTCGGTCAATCGCTCAAACAACGAATGGTGTCAGAAGTTATAGCAGCAAATTTTACAATGGTGACAGGAGAAGTGGGATTATATGGTGCTGGAAACAGACCAGAACCCAGATTCACGAATCAGTTAAGGACATGTACCTCAAGATGGAAGGCGACGAACAACTGTTCACGAGACGACAGTTCGAACACCCTGCATACCATCCAGAGATGCATAGTCAAACCCAGTAGCTGGCAAATATCTCAATCACAGGACTTGTCGATTTCTAGTTTACGGACACAAATATTCATTAGACGTTTAATTATTTTTCATTAGATTCACTTTAAGAATCGAGGACGATTCATTTTCCTTGATAGGGAGGTATGTAATATAGGTACTTATTTCATTTTAGGTCAGTCTTGCGTTTATGCTTATATTTGTTCATGCTTCTCTTTGTTTAGGATATATTAGTTTGTCGCGTGTTAGTTTTTCATGTTTTCCGGTATAGTAAAATTTTACATGCCCTTTTGCTCTACAAAGTTCCCCCGCGTATCCTAATATATCTAACACCTCCTACTAGTTCATTTACGTATTGCACGATAGATACCGACAATAACACCGGCAATTATTGATATTAGTTTGCTATATTGTAATGCTGTTATATAAAGTAGAGTACGGAGAAACAGAGTTAGTTAGTTAGTGAGAGAGAAGCGTGGTGCTTGCGAAAGGCCACTGCTATCAAACATGTAGACACTAACTCACACACACACACAGAACGGTCATGGATGGAAAGGCTAAGAGAGGGCTGATGGCATTCAACCCGAGTGGCTTGTGAAAGCACTCGAGGTTTCGTTTCATATATATATAATTTAATGGCGTAACAGTGCTTGTGAAAGGCTGTTTAGTACCTAAGTTTCGATATTGTGTAAAAGTACGTCTTAGCTTTGGATGGAACAAAAGGAATTGATTTTGTGTGTCAAAACGTGTCATTTATTCGCTCGGTCAATCGCTCAAACAACGAATGGTGTCAGAAGTTTTACAAATGTATTACCAGCAGCAAATTTTACATGACCATAACCCTTTCTTTCTTTATCCAACGCATGAATCCTCCCCTCCAAAATTTTTTCTAAAAATCAAAAATCAATGTTTTTTCTGAGCATCGTCGAACTGTCTATTCTGAGCGGTGTAGTAATTTGTTAAATTTTATTCTGTGAGATGCAATTTTAGCCATTCTAGAAGGCTTGATTTCAAAAATTTTCTTCCACGTCGCACCCAACCATGGTGGGTCCTCCTTTGTTACTAAACTTTATCCTTAGCCCAACCCCAGATTCAATTTTGTGCCCCCCGCCTCTGTCCGATTCAATAGTGCGATTCAATGCTTGAAACTTTCAAGTTGTTGAAAAACTACTATTTAATAACTACTAAAGAATAACAAACTTGAACGATGTTTGTATTGAATATAAACTTGAACTTTTCCATTCATATTCGCATTTTTAGACAAACCTTATTTATGAAATTTCTGATTCAAATTGCAAAAATCGATTTCCCTTCTAGAAACACATGCTTTATATAACCACGATATTCTGTGACGATATATAGATAGGGCGCAAAAATCGACTTGGCCACCCCAGGGAAAACATAGCCACCCCGCCACTGGCCAGAACTATTAATTTTTACTGGATTTAATTTGAATAACGATACCATTTATCCTTTATGGGTGTGCGTGCACCAACGCCATGCTCTGCGTACTGGATATCAGCTTCCAATAGCTTTATACTCGGTCAATTGATTTTTCGATCCAGCACCTTTGTTCTACATAGACCACCTCTCGGTTAGTTGGAAGAGTTTACTCATTTCTTACTTTTCAACTTTGATATTCTCCGTCCTCCCTAAAATAAGTTTGATGAAGAAGTAAAAAAGATAAATTTAAGCTTAACATTTTTTATTTTTTTATTTCATCAGCCTAAATTTCTTTTTTGGTGTTAGGAACGTAGCCAGTTGATGGGACAGTGGCTCCAGCTTTTGCCTTTTCTAAACGTAGGGTTTTCGCCTCTTCTTTTTCAGCAGAAAATTTTGTCATCAGATTGTAAACACTATTTTATCTAGACTGAGTTGCTATAATTTTCCACTTTAATTTGTATTCCACTTGTATTGTGTAGGGCAAGGAGGCAATGGGGGCAAGAGCAACTGCCCCCGCCGTAAGCACACCTCTTTGTACCAAGCCCGGTGAATATCCAGCCCACGCCAGTTAAGGATTTTTGTACCCAGTCAATCTTAAATTGCCTTTTTGGCACGACATTCCATTCCCTACCAGTTCAGGACATAGTTTGCTGTCTCTGCCATAATTTACCATACAACTTTGTCCTTATCAAACAAAAAGCAAACAGGTATCACAAAATTAGTCCTGCTATTTCTGGTGGTTGACAAAGTTTTACTGTCTTTCCCCTCCTGAGAATAGATGTGAAGCCAAAGTTTTTTATATTCATTTCACATTCATTCAAAGCATCAAAGACTTTTCAAAGGTGGTGGTCTGTGTGATTGCCGAAGTTTTCCTGGGGAAATTACTGTTTTGATCATGTGTTGGTCACGTGGGTAGCCCAGACCGGTTTGACCAGTGTGAGCAGTTTTGGGCAGTCGAGCGCCAAGATAGACCCAGATTCGAATCCATTGATAGATGTGGTAAATGGCGGATAGGAAAAGTTTAGGGGAACTGAAACTTACTCTTCCAGAATCAATTTGTTTTCACAATTTTAGTCAGTTTATTGCATGATAAAATTAATCAAAAGAAATTATGAATATATTATCTGTAAATGGATTGGAAAGCCAAGCTGCCAAGCTACTGAACTTCAAGGACAAACTTGATGTGGACCTTCTGGATAAAGTTATTACCTCATTGTACTCAGGGGAAGGTGTTCAGGTAAAATATGAATGTATCATTTTAGCTAGGCAGCCAACCTCTATCAAACTTGGGGATTCTCAATCGTTGTGCGACTCGAGATTTTGCTCACCAAGTGTATCGCCTTTGGAAGAAGATCCCTTGAATATATAGAAGAAGAAAACAGGTTTATTGGACACTATACACATGTGCTCGTAAAATATTTCAACGGTCTAAACTTTTTTAGTCCATGGTTCTCAATAAACAGATTTGACCTCAGTTGATCAAATTTGTAGCATCTTCTTTTTACTTCTATGAATAAATGTTCTCAATTCGATTTTTTCCAAGAAGTTAATGAATTTTAAAGAATTTCCTTTGAAAATTAAATCGCAACACCACAAAATACATCATAATTTTTTACTGAAATGAGTTTTAATATAAACCTACTCAACTTATTGTCAGGTAGAAAAAATGTTTGTATTCAAATTCAGCAATATTTATAGCAAATTTCTGTCGACTTAATAAACGCCCCCTTAAAAACCCGTCTCATTATATAAACGCCTTTTTCGCGTGCGTTTTTGAAATACACGCCCTTCGCGTAAACCCGCAAATAGTGTTATACAGGCCGATAAAAGAATGATAGACAACCGAGCAAGACAAACACGAGGCAACAAATGTCTCATCTTCCAAACTTTTGCGTTAATATTGTTATTGTTGCAAATGTAAATCTGCCTCTGCGCTTTTGCCATGAAATTTTTATGTACGTAAAATATCAAAGCATATCTTTGGATTTACAATCCTTGTTTATGAGTTTCTTTTAAATCAAAAGGTACATTCTTTCAAGCCGACTTCTAGGGACCACTTTTTGTGGTGCACACGCACACAGTGACACATGAAAATTGAGCATTCACCTGATTGGCTCTATCTATTACAATTAATACAGATTTCAAAAGAAACATAATTACTAATTCTAAGAAGATTTGTGGCAAGGCAAGTCAAGAAAAGCCATGACCTATTGAATCTTTTATTTTAAAAAACCCAGCCTAAATTGTGATCCTTCGGTTTCAATAAAAGCATCCTATGTACAAAGAATGAGTGCATATATCAGTGATGTGATGGACCCTGTGTGTAATGGTGGAAGTGACACAGTTCCCCAAGAAGAATTCCCATTTTTCTGCAATTAGAGCAAAGACAGAGATACAACTTTTTGTTTGGGGGACCAGCCCTGATAAATCAGTGTAACAAAAGCCATATTTTACAAAATAAAAGTATTTTACTTATGCCACTTAAATTTTTTTGGGGGGCCAAGGCCCCCAAGCTCCCCCAATTTCTCGGTCCTTGAATTAGGGTTATGCTTTCCATTGCTTGCTGCTATGAAATGATGTAGACTCAAGGTCATTAGTAAGTTTTGCAAATTTTATTTTGGCCTTGCAAAAAGAGAAGTTGGCAAAGATTCAAAGGAAGCTGCAGCACCAACAATTCATCAGTTGCGTCCTTGTACAATGAAAGAAACAGGTGTGATAGAAAGCGCAAGAGGTTGGCAACTGAAGCCCCTGAATAGCCAAACTTATGGCCCATAAAAACTACCTTTTCATATAAAATTTTGACTTCCAAAAACACCTTTTTTATTTGCCACTTCATATATTGTAAAAAATCTATAATTTATTACTCTGTTTGGCATAATATTTTACAGATATTTAATTTCAAGAAAAGGCACCTTACTTGCAAGTTTTTAGCATCATATCGTAGCAACTTTTGCCAATGCAGAAGTAGACCAATTTAATGATTGATTAAGAATTCTGGATGGTCTCAGCTAAGTTAATAGACAGGCTTGTGAGTCATAGATCAACACGCATTTATTGATTTATTAATCTTTGTTTTGTAGCATCAAGTGGCTAAAAAGGTATTGCAAGATCTGAAAGACCATCCAGAATCATGGACAAGAGTAGATTCAATCCTTGAATATTCAAGCAACCAGAAAACAAAGGTAAAATGGGATTATTTTTGTGTATTTTAAACAGCTATCAAAAATAGGCCCTTTCAAAATTGTTTAGCTATGATCACTGTATTATCAATATACATGTAACTCTGGGGTAGGATTGAAATGAAGAATGTTTATTGATTACATACTGGGACACAATATGTTTACATGTCTATTGTATATATGTCTAATTGACATCATCACAACAATATGTCTTGACACAAATAATTTTGAGGCAAAGGTCCCAATATTTCTACACTGTTGCATTTTGTTGCATTCAATCTTGCTAAAGGTAAAATGTGTCCATATAAAAGGACTGCATACACCAACTTGTCAAGTTACATCAAATAACAGCTTGCGATTGGTCAGTATTCTTGCGAGGCAAAACTGCTCACATGAAAACCTAACCTTGCAGCAAGGTAGATAAACAGAACAACCATAATGGCTGAGACAATGACATGAAAAATAATGTTTCTGAAAACCCCTGCAGTGTTGCTTGCTTTATCTGGACACATTACCTTTTAAGATTCTTTTCTAATGGGTGTTAAAGCACTTCTGTTCATTTATACGCTTCCTGAATAATCTGTATTCCATGTATAAGAACAGCTTACTAGTGACTTGGAGCTTATAAATGGCAAAATGCTGACAACCAATATATAATATATCTATGTAATCAAAGAACCTTTTAGCACCTGATACAAAACTGATTAATGTGCCAAGCACCAATGAAACATTGATATACAGAATGAAATCAATTATTTTTTTGCAAACAGAATATATATGAATTAAACTACTTATCATTATCTTTGTAGTTCTATGCTTTGCAAATTCTTGAGGGTGTCATAAAAACAAGATGGAAGATTCTTCCATTAGAGCAAAGAGAGGGTAATATTTTTTTACCATGACAGTATTGTTATTTGCTAAATAACTAAATGAAGATTTAAGATTTGACATTGACAAAGTACAGTGGCAAGATTTCTAGAACATTAAGAATGAAACCAGACCTTCAAAGCCTTTGGTTTTGCTGGGAGTCTACAACCAGGGTTGCTATTTGGCAATTAAAAATCAAATTCTTCCATTTTGGCCATTTTTCAAATCCCTCAGCCATTGAAAATTGATTTTGGTGAAGAAGCACAAGTTTGCCAAACTCTGACCGCATGTTGAAAACCAGAAAATACAAAAAGAAACACCAAATTTTGCACAAATGATATCCAACATTTTTGTTAAAATAGTCTCAAAATTGCAAATGACAAAACATGGAACAGTAAAAGATAGCACATTTGAAAATGAAAACAAGTGAAAGCTTTGGTAACATACAAAGCCAGTTTTGAGCACACTAATTCTCCACAACATTAGCCAAAATTTAGCTGTTTTTGTTTACCGTAATGCCTCAAACAACCGAACAAGCGTAATGCCTCGAACATCTGGCAACCTTGCACCCTGTTTTTAATGTTAGCTCAATTAATCCTTTGCATTTCATGGTATTTATATGTAATAATTTGTCATTTTCAATGTCTTTATGAAAGAAAATTTTCCCCATCCTCAGCAATCCATTGAATGTTCAAACTGTGACAACTTTTCTGCATTTTGTTGACAGTTTCGTTTGTCGACTGACTTATGGCATATTTTGTATTTTCCTTTTTGTTTTTGTATTAGAATTTTCTCAGGTCTCCCAAGATTTTATATTAAACCAATGTTCTACATCTTAACACATATGGATAGCTCTGTCTGTACAGGTTTAAGCTATTTACCACAGACCAGTTAACATTTATAACTCTTCGTAACCTTGTTGTAAATAATGTTAGTAATTCTGAGACTATTTGGAAAGATTTGGACAATGATACATATAGTATCAGTTAGGCTTTTGAATTCAGTGTTTACTTCTTTTGGTTTACTTTCAGGGATAAAAAAGTATGTTGTTGGTCTTGTTATAAAATTATCCTCATCTGCAGCAACCTTGGAGGTGAGTTTTTTATAAATCAACATCACAATGACTGTTCACAAGTAAAATTGTATGTATTATTATTTGTAGAAAATGTGGATTGTAATTTTTAACTGCTTGTGTTTTGATTTAAATTTATTTCGAATCCCCCCCTTTCCCCAAAAATCAATGTTGGATTTGTAGTTCTATTATCATTTCTCCTTCAAAATCATGCAATCAACATATAGTCAGGGGAGGGGGAGTTAGTTCTTTTGAATTCTGGAAACCATCTTTTTTGTATGGAAAATGATAAATTGGTCCTTTGAGCAACAGAGCATTCACAGAAAATTGAATTTTTCTTAGTGCGAAACGGTTTCCATTGATCATCAAATTATGTATTTGGAATTTTAAGAAGTAGTGAATGTCAAAATAATGTTTTCTTGAATTTTGCTGTGTGGGAAAATGGCAAAAAAATTGTTTTGGAAAAGGCAAGTGAATCATCCAAATAATAACATATTGAAGTTGGTTTGCAGTGCTTTGAACTATATTTTATATTTTATGGCACAGTATAGGTGGAAAAAAATTGCTATAATGCTCCCAAGTTTTTTCTTAAAGCATGTCGTAGTGGTGTATTATAAAATCCATCCCTAATAAGAATTCTTTCAGAACTTATTCCATTAAAATTTTAAGCCTGGTTACTCTTCATTCATCACAACAGGCCTGACTGGTGTACAGTGTCAAATAAAGCAAATTATGTATGGGGCCAGAGAGCATTCTTGTATGTATCCACAATAAGTGAGCCATTTTCTCAAACTTCCAAGGAATTAAAATGTAAGGACTTCTTTAAAACTATAAAAAAGTCATCAAAATTATGGCAACAACAAAAACATAAATCTAATGGTAAAAGGAAGTTTCTTTTTAAGCAGCTCCATTGGCTACAAACTCAAGCTTGGCTTACCATAACGGCTTTGATATACTGATAAAAAGTCAGGCTTTTTGTGTTAAAATCTCCACAAGGACAGTAGATTGTCCCCATTATGAAGTCTCAAAGAATGGTCTCCAATCCAGCCATCAATACTTAAAGAGAAAACTTAAAGAATATATTTGGGGGGGGGGGTGTAGTCCAGCAGTAATTTCCTGATCTTTGGCTTGTAAACCAGATATTTGATATATATGGTTTAGTTTCAATGTTGAGGAATTAGTGTTATATTAAATCAAAGGTTATGCAGTGTTGGTTTCCATCAAAACTTTACAGATGTCCATTTGATGGAAACAGGTGTGACCTGTTTAACTGTGGATGGCCATTAACCTAGTATGTAAATTATCACCTAAAGCTGATTATCACCTAAAGCCTAGTCTGTTAATTATAACCTAAAGCTGATTACCACCTAAAGCCTAGTCTGTAAATTATCACCTAAAGCAAGGGCAAGTGCAATCACCTGCCTTAAAATGACTGTATTTCAGATTGAAGAAATGCTTGATAAAGGCTGTCCCTGGATTACCTGAATCTTGGGGTGAACAATTTTATGATGAAAACATTAGGGAACAAAGCAAATAAGCTACAGAACCATTCAATGTAAATAAGTTATCCAGTGTTCCCCCTAAATGCAATTTGAACATTTTTTTACCAGGTTGTATTTGCTCTGATGAAGCATGTATTTAAGGAAACAATTTTAGTTTACATCTAGTTTCTTTTGAAATTTGGATTGGTCTTTGTAGCTTTGTTTTGGTAAACTGCTTTTCAATTTGAAACAAGAAGGCAAGGGTATAACCAAAACTGAAAAAAATTCACAGTAAAAACTATAATTGGATTGGTTTTAATACATGTTAACAATCAGAGCTGTAGAGAAAGGTAACATATTAATCACCACATGCTATTTTTTGCTGCAAAAACACAGTTGTTTATATGAAACATAAATAATGCCCAAAATTGAGATATTAATTTTTTGCCCTAACATCTTGTATATGTAATTCCTTTTTTTCATTTTTTAGAGTGAAAAGACCTATTTGAATAAACTTAATGTCATCCTGGTTCAGGTTGGTTGTAAATTTTTTATTAGTTCATATCAAAAAGCCTGTTTGTGTCCAAGTATTGCACAATTTAATTAAGTCTTGTAAAACCTAAGCTATATCAATATTAGAGTCTTGTAAAACATCATTCTCTTCATGATTCCTTAATAATATCATTGTGGATATAAAAAAGCACCTACTTGCTGAATGCATTTGCAGCCAGCTCTGTATTTGTTAAGACCAAGTGGTACAGAAAGAAGAAATGTTTTTAAATGGGAAATTTTATAAAATGTACCGCAAAGTGTGCAGCATTAGTTTCATGGCCAAATTTTGACCATGTCTTCTTATTGGTTTAAAGATTGATCTCATTCCACTATTTAATTGATCAGTTCAAATGATAAAACAAATTCAAAGTCACTGGTCTAAAAAGGCTTAGATTTTTAATCATCTATTTAGCAAGTGTCCAAGCAACTTTGAGCAATAAATATGCATTTGTATACTTCATGTATGTACCTGGAACCAACCTCTGCTCCATGCCCAAGCATAATTCAAAAGCGTATTCATATTCAAGTATCTATGTAAGCAAGGTGTTTTAGCTTTTATGTGCAATCCTTATCATTTTTTTAGTACAAAAGAGTTGTAATAGCTGTAAGTGTGCCTTCTTATTTCATAGATTGTGAAAAGGGAATGGCCAAAAAACTGGCCAACTTTCATTAGTGATATTGTTGGTGCAAGTCGTACGAATGAGTCATTGTGTCAAAATAACATGGCAGTGCTGCGTCTGCTCAGGTAAGAATTGGTTGCTTATTTTGAAGGTTTTTAGTGTTTTTGTGTGCCAACATGTGCATAAACAGATTTGAAGCACTTTGCACATTTGTAATAAACCAAATTTTCTCTAACGAGCACCAGGGGAGTTCATTTAATTTTGCCTCAGAAAGGTGTCTTTTGTTAGAGAGGGAGTGCTTATTTAAAAAAGATAAAGATCCACTGTCAATAAGAAATTTAGCAATGAAATTCAAACAATTGTTGTTTTTACAAAAATTAGTATTTGTTCATTTGCACCACACTTGTTTTAGGCTAGACATTTACAAGATGTCAATTTCTTTAGAGACGGAACCCTTTTATTGATTTGCACAAATAATGGTGTGGCTTCTTGAATATCTTAAATGGCAATACAATTATATGGATTTTTATCTGGTTCTGTCAGTAATTGCAGAGGAGTTTCCTATTTGAAACAGCATTGGTCTATTAAATATGTTTTGCCATTTGATGCCTATTGCAATGATTTGTCATAAGATCCAGGTGGTCCTCCTTGGAGAGGGGCAGTCATTCAATTTTTTGCTCAAAAAGGGAACTCTCATTCTAAAGGGGTATTCATTGGAGAGAGGGTACTCATTGGAGAGAATACAGTGACATTTTTTTTATCTGTAACTATATTCTATAACTTTCCCCTCTCATGTGAGACTATGTTTTTTATAACCTGCATGTTTTTGTAGTGAAGAAGTCTTCGACTTTTCAAGTGGACAGATAACTCAAAACAAAGCTAAACACTTGAAAGACAGGTAAATTAGATGTTCAAGTGTTTTCCATATGTTTGTTTTTATATATGGTTGGTTTGTGAATTTTTCATGTTTTTGTTGCTTTTTATGGTATTGCCAGAGGCACTGATATTTTCATATATTGGTTGGCTTCAAGACTTTAGAGCTGTAATAGTTGTTTTGCTATTAAAGATCAATTGAGTTACCATTTATGGCCATGTTGGTAAAAGAATGAAAGTTGCATTTATTAATAGACATATGCCCCACATCAGAAAACATGTCCCCCCCCCTTCAACTTTTCAGAAACAGAAGTAAATTGCCTTTGCTACCCACAGATTTCTCCTTTTTACCTACATGTACTCCCTAGCTTTTGAAATGTTTCCTACCTTACACCTATATCTGATACTTCATTTGAAGGCATCAGGCCTCAAAAGAACCTATTGCATGAATGGAAGCTTCTTCCACCGTGTAATTCTGCTGCCTGGATTAATTTTAAGCCTTGTCCAGTTATGATAAGGCTTTGTGCATTACATCATATACATCATTTTTCATGTTATAATGTCTTCTATCTGTTCCGCTTTCTTTCCAGCATGTGTCAAGAATTTTCTCTTATATTCACACTTTGTCAGTTTGTTATGGTGGGTCTCAGTTAAAATTTTGAATATTTCAAAATGATTATATTTGAATGGTTAAATTTTTCAATGTCATTGTTTCTTACTTTTTTGGCAGAAGTTGCTAGTTTTGGGTGCTGAGTTTAATGCTTCTCTCTCTTTATGCATATATCAACCATGGTTATAATATAAAATCATTTTGCAGTATTTTCTTTCTTCTTGCTGTAGGAAAATTCTATGAATGTTGCATTGGTAGAGTCCACTCTCCAGGTTTGTAGATTTTTTAGTTATCTCTCTAGTACTGATATTTGATTTAGGATCAAGCTTCGTGTTTCAAGGTGATTTCAATTTTAACATTTTATCAAAGTTGAATTTTGTCCAGTCTATTTTTTCAATGATTACATGTTGTGCTGATATTGAAAATTATTTTGTTGCAGAAAGTATTTTGCAAGAATGTTTGTTTCCTCCTTATAGACACTGTTAAAGTTTTTGAATTGGATTCCACTTGGCTATGTCTTTGAGACCAAACTCATAAGCACATTGATATACAAGGTTTGTATGGTTTCCCTTTTATTCTAATAAAACTCATGACAATTATAGTTTGCCAGCTTTTTTTCTCATTGCTTACAACCAAGCCCATCCTAGCAGAGCTTGAAGTATAAACTCTCTTTATATGTATCATTGCCAGTAATCATATTCATCTTTATTGTTATTCTGTTCTGAAAGTGTAATGCTTTTTAATTACAATATAATCTGATACTATTTATTAAATCCAGAGTTTTTCTATCCTTTGCTATTTTCTATCTTTTGATTTCAGTTTTTGAATGTCCCAATGTTCAGAAATGTTACACTGAAGTGTCTAACAGAGATTGGTATGTAATTAAACAATTCAACAAACTTTTGAGAAAGCAAATTCCTTACTTTCATACATTTTTGTTATTTGATTGAGTTCCTTGTAAAATATTTTGTTAATTTTTGCTTTTTATTCTGTATTATATCGCGACCACTTCCAAAATATTAAAAATTATTTCTAACTCGCATTTGCAATCCAAATATATTTCTTGGCTGCTTTATCAATAGCTTTTATTTAAATTGGTTTGTAGGAGGTATATCAAATATTCAGTATGATGAACAATTTGTTTTACTATATTCATTGACCATGGCACAACTTAAACAGGTATGGATGATTTATCATTTACTCTTTATTTTCCTATTTTTGAATCATTGTAGTTCATTTGGACATATTTGCACACAATGACTTGTATGATCTCTGCTTCAAATTAGCTTGTTGAACTCGCTGATTTATACAGTGCATACATAGTTTTGGAACAGTGGCAGACACCTGGGGTTGAGGGGGCAGTAAACCCTCCCCCCATACTTTGGAGGGCAATTGTCTTTCGCTCTAAAATAATGGGAAAATATGATGTGATCTTGGCAAAACAATAGGGTTGCCCCCAGTATTTGACCAAGTGTCTGCCCCTGTTTTGGAAAGGTTTTTAATTGCCTTCTATTACGGACCAAGAAAACATTCCAGATTCTGTTTGATTTGGGCTTGGAAATTCTTTCATTGACATGTAGGCTTTGAAGGTTATTTTGTATATTATGCAAATTTGCTTTCACTTTTTCATTAAGATGCTTCCACTGGACACAAATCTCAAGCAAGCATATGTTAATGGAACAGATGACGAGCAGAAGTTCATTCAAAATTTGGCTATGTTTTTAAGTACATTTTTAAAAGAACATGGTCATTTGTTGGAGAAAAAAGCGGTAAATAAAGAGTTTTTTTAATATGAATTGAATATTTTCAGAAAAGGTTGGCTCGCAAGAATGGCTTGTGTTATCAAAAGTTGAAATTGTGCCAAGATCATAAAAAAGTCAGTGTCAATATTTGAGGAATCCTAACGACCAGTTCAAAGAAATTTTTGTGTAGAAAGTTCTGTTTTGAAAATGACGTTTTACGTCTATATTCATAAATGTGTATTAACCGGGCCGGAAAAAAGATTTTTCAAAAGTAAAGCAGAGTAAGTATGTTTTGTTGACATGAGTGAAACTGGCTGTTCTAGTCCGATGCACAGTATTTGTACAGTAAAAACATACCCTTGAAAAGTTGAAAAAATTTATGTTTAGCCTATAAAGTAGTGAAGAGCAAAAATTTAATTTTGACATTGCACGCTTTCATATTTCCTGTCAGTGTTTACTTTCAATAATTTATGTCAATTCGGCAAACGTTCTCCTTTATATACACTGCCTTTATTGCAGGTAGGATTAACTCCTAAGAATTCGAGTGGGTATGTCATAGAAAGTATGGAGCCTAGCTTTAGCCTTAAGGTATATTCCCTTTGCACAAAACTATGCTCACTGGAATAAGATACCCCTTGCTTATGATCCTTGCAATACGTTTGTCAGGCAGTTCCACTAGCCCTATGAGCTAATGATTATAAATGACGAGCCACCATCGACGATTCTAAGAGATTCTATCCAATGCATTCTGTTTAGTATTGATAAGGGATTTCATTTTAAAGTATGACCGTATTTAAAAGAATAGCAAGGTAATCATTGTTCCCTGTTGTAATTTATCTTCATGCTAATTACCAAAAGTGCATAATGTCTGTCATCTACAGCGCATCAATTTTATTTTAGGTGGATTTAAAGTCAACCCTTTTAGAGGTATGCAGTTTTGTTTGTTGATATGTGGTTCATAAGTTAAGATGCTAACTCAAATGTTTACCTATCTTTTATCTTTATTCTTTTCACGACAATTAATTCATTCCATATCTGAATAGCTATCAGGGATTCAGAATTATCACCATTAATTTTATTTTCACTTTGGAGCCTGATCATCTAAGAATATCCATTTTGCCACTATGTGTTTGGAACGCATTTGGGAGTGGTTATACTGTGTTGTTGGTATAATTTCTTGCGATCGTATTTGAACAAAAGCAAACTATTGCTGAGAATTGCTTAGTTGGAAGCGCTTTGATTCATATTTGCATGTGAAAATATACATCTTTGTATTTTAGGGTCTACAATATTTGGTGCTGATATCCGAGGTTGAAGACACAGAAATATTTAAAATTTGTCTGGAGTATTGGAGCGCATTGGCTTCAGATCTTTACAGAGAGAGTCCTTTTTCAACACCGTCTCAACTGCTAGGATCGCCGTCATCACTGAATATCCCACCCAGGCGGCAGATATACTTGGAAATTCTTTCTACGGTATATATTTCATTCTTAATAGTTATTAGCTGTTGTTTGTCTGTTTTGTTTATTTGTGAGCAAAACCCGGATTTTCTATAGCCTAAACTACAGTTGCCTGATGGTAACACTGAGCTTAGAACTCAGACTAGCAGCCCAAGTTAGCTCGAACTACATGTGTTTTTAAATATCATTTAGTTTTAGAATATAATATCAGTTACACTTTTGCCCTGCAGGTCAGGTTTATCATGATTTCCAGAATGGCAAAACCAGAGGAGGTACGACATTTCACAAGCTTTCTTGTTTGAAACTATGATATCTAACATCTATACTTTGTTCTGGTTCTGAGATGATTATGCCATGTTGTTTTTTATCACTTCTTATATCATTTGGTGTCTCAACATCTGGTTAGAGTTTGTCATAGGTTTTAAGCAAACTTTCTTGAAAATCAGTTGAGTTATATGTAATTAACATAACACTAGAATGAAACAGAACAGAAAAACAGAAGAACATAACATAAAATCAGAACAGAACATAACACTGGAACGGAACGAAAATGTGGCAAAAAGATCAGCTTTACTGGTTATACACCTTCGGATATAGACTGTCTCTCAAAGGCTTGCTGTGTTTAGTTATTCAGACCTAGACTCGAAAGAAGAGGAACATAGGCAATCATTTCAAAAACCAACGCAAAGAACTAGGCAAATAGCAATATTAATTGAACTTACACACGTTACCATCAAATAAGTATCTAAGTAGAAAAAATTAGCCACTGATAGTCAACAGCGGTGACATACATGGAGGTGGCCATTATACGCAGTAGACTGGTAGCAATGATAGAAAATTCTGTGTCCATTACATTTTTAACTGCCCGAGAACATGTTCTGGTATTCAAGACCATTGCGATTTCATTTGTGCCTTCTTTTCATTTTGTATGTGTGTCATTTGTAGTACTCTGTTTTGTACAATATTTTCTTATTGGCTTTTTACCTTCTCGCAGGTGCTTGTTGTTGAGAATGACCAGGGTGAAGTTGTAAGAGAATTTATGAAAGATACAGATTCGATTAACATGTACAAAACAATGAGAGAGACGTTGGGTAAATTTTTATATATACACTCACTGCTTTTATATTTTAAATGGTTAATTATAATTTTAATTGACAAAATAAGAAATATAATTGCTTGTAATTAGAAATTGTTTATTGATCGATAAATCATTTCGATTATAGTTTACCTAACTCATTTGGACTACCAAGACACAGAACGAATAATGACAGAAAAATTACGAAACCAAGTGAACGGATCAGAATGGTCTTGGAAAAATTTAAATACGGTAAGGCATTATAAACATTACAAATATGCTCAGTACATTTGTTTTATCCAACACCCGTCAGAGTATAAGCCGTCAGGGTCAAGCCAAAGGAGTTAACCGAGTTAGACCGAGTTAGAATGGCAAGGTGATGACGTCATTCAAATCTATTTTTAGAATTTTTGATTTTTTTTATCCTATCGTCTGAAAGCTTCTAAATACTTCTAAATGTGACATTTCATGGCCTTCTTACTTTTGGGCCAAAATTCAAAAGTGCTTAAAATGTACTTATGTGTCATCATCAATTGCCAACTCCATCGATACCCATGTGGTGAGGAATGGTGCTTCTCATTTGTTCCTTGCTTTGACCAATCAACCATCATTAGTCTTTCCATGGCATACAACCGTTTGAAAATATTTTCGCAATAAGATTTTAGATATATCAGCTTACAGGAAAAATCATAGTCCTTAGTTTCAAGGCTATCGTTAATAGCTTGTAATGAGAGCATATTTTATGTCACTTACTAATTCGTGTTTTGTTGTCAAAGAAGTTCACCATTAAGCTCTATTTGGTCAAGTAAACAACAGTACAGTTTTTGTGATTTGATAAGCGTGCAATATTTGAGTATGATTGGGCCATCTCTAGATCATGATTCGGTTATAGTTGCCAGGTTTTTTTGGATCTCCCTGTTTGGCTTTCTAGTGGGTCAGCCTTTTCGTCTCTAATTGTATTCATCAATGTATTTTGCAGCTTTGTTGGGCCATTGGCTCAATTAGCGGTGCAATGCACGAGGAGGATGAAAAGAGATTTCTTGTCATATTTATAAAGGTACTTTAGCTAAAAATCTTCATCAAAATGATTTCAAAAGTGGATGAAAATCTAGTTAAAAACTATTGTTACACATTCCTGTTTAATGTTGTCTTGTTTTGAACTTCTAAATTGATTCGAAAAAGCCAAATAGGTAATAAATGAATTGTATATACATCAATTAATATATATTTTTGCCATAACTTGTTTTAAATGCTTTTACATTAGCGTGTAAAACATCACCACGATCATGATTCGAGAACATGGCTTACACATTCTTATTTTTCTAATTTCGTTAGCATATTATTTCTGCTAACTTGATTACCAACTTACCTGTCTCCTGTTTAAAATTGTGTGTTCTGTTGCAGGATTTACTAGGCCTTTGCGAAGTAAAAAGAGGGAAGGATAACAAGGCCATCATTGCTTCTAATATTATGTACATAGTTGGACAGTACCCCCGCTTTTTAAGGTAGGGAATATACTCGATTTAAAAGCTAGTTTCTATGTGTGTTTCTTTCATATAGTTATCCAGCCCTGCACGTACACATTATTTTTTTAATTAGAACAACTAGACAGAATGTAGATTTGTTGCCATTAGGGTTTTCTTGTTATAGATGGGCGAGTATAATTCTGTTTCAAACCAAACGCTGAAGAAAGTAAATAATGTCTGTAGGAATGACTTTTGTGTCTAACATGTCTTCAAATTTCTTAAGAGTTTGAACCATTTTTGGAGACAACATCCCTTCCCTTTTTATTTATTCGTTTTTGCAGAAATAGTAATGATAATGGCAGGTCTTTTATTGTTTATTTTATTCAAAACTGACATCCAGCTGACTGAATGTTAAAATGGTGTTATTTTGCTAATATTCATTTTTTCCTTCCTTTTCAGGGCTCACTGGAAATTTTTAAAAACAGTTGTAAATAAACTTTTCGAATTTATGCACGGTATGCTTCAATATTTTTAAGCAAATATTTTTCAGGTGTTTTTTAATCTTTTTTTGTACTGGTTTGCAAATTATTTGCAGTTGAAAAATTTCCTTTATATGTGACTGTTTTTCCTTTAAGCTATTAGTCGAGCTCTTTTAAGTTTCTGCTTTCTTAAGATGCTCTGAATTTCAAATGTTCGGGTAGTAGTAACTAGCGAACAGTTTTCCAAGCTAGATTCTTGGTATTTTGTTTCCAATTGGGTTTTTTGGTCGATTCCTAGAAACCCACGACGGAGTACAAGACATGGCATGTGACACATTCATAAAAATCGCACAAAGATGTAGACGGCATTTTGTTCAGGTAATTCTGTTTTCTTGATTAACTGTGAGTCGATTCCAATCTGGAATCATTATTGACTTTATGCATTTTAGAAAGTTATATTCCTTCACAGTTCATTTTTAGGATATCCTACAACCTTTTTCTGGATTTTTTCATTAGGTGCAGGTCGGTGAAGTGATGCCATTTATTGAGGAAATACTTAACAACATCAGTACAATAATCTGCGACTTGCAGCCCCAGCAGGTATGCAAAGGTTCCTGCAACTGTATTTTAGTCAGTTCTGTACGTCATAAACAGAACCAATCGCTCGTCTTGATTTTTCTAGTCCTGATTTATTTTCTTTTTTAATATATATCTATGGCATATTCACAAGTGCATAAGAGTATTTATTCGAAGACAGTGTCCAAAAATTTCTCGAGTCTGGCGACTTCATTTGCTGAATGCAGCTCTGCCCTGGTTTCTTTTTTCATTGCAACCTGCTTATTTTGAGTAGATGTTTTCATACCCTATTGAATTTTCAATAATCTTTGGTGTACAGATAATTTTCTTTAGGCGGCAGCCGTTGTCTAGCCTTGTGTGTTGAGAATGGCAACAGTTTTGATGGCAATTTTGCGATCAGGGAATCTTTATGACAGCACTTATCTTTCCAATGGTGAATTCTTGGCTTATGCATGTTCTCTTTTTTGTTAAGGTGCACGTGTTTTACGAAGCTGTTGGCTGTATGATCAGTGCACAAACGGTAAGTTAGATGTTTAACACTTTCTACTTCACTGTCTTATATTAACAATTAAAAACGTTTCCTGATAATAGTTTGATTGAGCTTGAAGCACGGGAATAGCAACTTCGAACCAACTAGCGTCCATGGTTCTGCCTATTCGGCATTAAACAGTCTGCAACAGGCCGGTTGATCTCTACAGTTACGATTTATAACTTTCTGTCTTATAAACTAGATAAAGTAAAGTATTTTGGCGATGTTTTTTGGATATTCTACTGCTCTGTATTAAAATTCTCTTTTATGTATACACAGGCCCGTAATTTTAACATAAGGTTGTGTTATTTGTAGCGATCTAAGAAATGAAATTTTTATTTTAATGTTTTGTTTTCCATTTTGTTCAATCTATATTATATGTTTAAAGGATTCAGTGGTGACAGACAGGCTAATAGAAAAATGCATGCAGCTGCCCAATCAGGTCTGGGATGGAATTATTGCTTCAGCCACGAAGGTATTGTATGGAATTAACTCTCCCCCATTTTTCTTTCTAAGATATTCTGGAATATTTGTAACTTTAATTCACGTGTTGCATAGGTATATTTATTTTGAGTAAATGGAGTAATGTCATCAGTTTTTGAGGTATAGATCTTTTGATCGAGAAAAATTTTGCATGCACTGTTTCTAATCTTGGAATCATGAAAGCATTAAGGTGTGCC